GATCCAGAACCTAATCTCGGGAGGGGCACTGGTAGATTATTTAACCCCTTCACGACGCATGACGGTTCAGGACCGTCCTCTGCATTTTTGCGTTGCCGACCGAGGACGGTCCTGAACCGTCCTAACGGAAAACGGGCGGCGGGAGCGATCAGAGATCGCTTCCGCCGAAATCCCGTTGTTACTATCTGCCTGGCATCCCAGGCAGATAGTAACAGCCAATTACGGCGTGTGAGCGATCCGCGATCGCTCACAATTGGCTGGTGTCAAAGTGGGTGTTACAAACACTCACTTTGACACTGATCTCTGCCTCTCTCCCCTCTGTAGCATTTTGTGAGAGGAGAGAGACAGAGATCGTGATAGTTTGTTGCAGCAGCTGTTCCAGAGAGTTGTAAAAAGTATCTGCAGTGAATAAAAATCCCATTTTAACCCCTTCCCTGCCAGATCTGTTACAGACAGTGCATTTGTACTGTCTGTATTTTTTTTTTGCCCTTAAGGGTTAACTTTATTTAAAAAAATCTGTGTCTTAGACTGTCTTAGACTGTCGTAGTCTGTTTTAGTCTGTCGTAGTCTGTCGTAGTCAGTCAGTCAGTCAGTTTCCTTCCCCCAAATCTCCATTAGATTCTTCTAACAGGAGTTAGTTTAGGGATTACTGTTTTAGTCTGTTTTAGTCTGTTTTAGTGTTAAAAAAAAAAAAATATATTGTGTTTAGTATTTTGTTAGTTTAGTCTGTTAGTGTGAAACATGCAGCACATGTACAGCTTGGAGGAGGCATATGCCTTCTTGGCGTCAGACTCTGACGCCACTGACACTGCGTCCATTTTGACCCAGGTCAGTTTAGCGGCACGTCTAGTGACATGTCATCTGTGTGTGAGCCAGCTGCTAAAAGAAGCTGTGCTTCCCCTGCTACGCTGAATGTGGAGGAGGACTGGGTACCTCCACAGTTAGCTGAGCCCAACATCCCCCCTTTTAGTGCCAACGCAGGCATTAATGTGAATGTGGTTGACTTCTCCCCTATACAATATATGGAGTTATTTTTAGGGGATACCATCTGGGAGGAGATTGCTTCCCAGACTAATTTATACGCTAGCCAATTTATTGAGACCAATCCAGGTAGCTATACAGTCAGGGAGCATGCTTGGCATCCCACAGATGTCCATGAACTTAAAACATTCTGGGCTCTTACCATGCTCATGGGGATAATAAAGAAGCCATCAATCCGCTCTTACTGGAGCACCAACCCAATTTGTTCGACTCCTATATTCTCCCAAACAATGCCTAGACCAAGATATGAGCTGCTGCTGAGATACTTACATTTCAACGACAATACACTCTGTCACCCCAGAGATCACCCCCAATATGATAGGCTTCATAAAATATGCCCACTGGTACACCATCTTCAGAACAGATTTTCTGAAGTTTATACTCCCCAACAAACTTTATCTATTGATGAATCCCTTATGAAATACAAAGGGAGATTAGGGTTCAAACAATATATCCCCTCAAAGCGGTCTAGGTATGGCATTAAAGTGTACAAACTTTGCGAGAGCGAAAGTGGCTACACATTTGCCTTTCGTGTATACGAGGGGAAAGATGCTCAACTGAACCCTCCTGGCTGTCCTGACTCTCTGGGGACAAGTGGGAAACTTGTTTGGGACCTACTGATCCCCTTGTTCAATGAGGGTTACCACCTTTATGTGGACAATTTTTACAGCAGTGTCCACTTGTTTAAAATTCTTTATAGTTTACAGACACTGGCCTGCGGCACTGTAAGAAGAAATGCCAAGGATTTCCCCAGACCTCTCATAGAGGCCAAATTAAAAAAAGGGGAATGCAAAGCTCTGCGCAAGGCTGAACTGCTTGCGCTAAAATTTAAGGACAGGAAGGATGTTCACATGCTAACAACCATCCATAACGAGGGCATGTCAGACGTCACTGTCCGAGGCAGGGTACAGACAAAACCGGTGTGCATCAGGGCTTATAACAGGCACATGGGGGTGTTGATTTGGCTGATCAGCTGATGCAGCCATATCTTATCTTAAGAAAGACAAAAGCCTGGTATAAAAAGGTGGCTATCTACCTGTTGCAAGTAGCAACACATAATTCATTTTTACTTTTTAAAAAAATGAATCCAGGAAGAACCACCTATCTCCAATTTCAGCTCAAGCTGATTTCCACAATAATTTATGGAGATGGTCAAGTTCCAACGACAGTGCAAGAGTCATCTAGACATTTTATTTTTAAGATACCGCCAACACCAAAAAAAAGAAACCCCCAGAAACGTTGCCGGGTCTGTTATAAAAAAGGGAAAAGGACAGACACCCCTTTTCACTGTCCTGATTGCCCTACAAAACCTGGACTGTGTATTGGAGCATGTTTTAAGGTCTACCACACAGAAAATACATTTTTATAATACTTGTTCCTGATTTATTTTTTTTGTTTATTTTGAAAGCAGCAAATTTCTGTTAGTCAGTATCCTTCCCCCAAATCTCCAGTTAGATTCTTTTTGCAGGAGTTAGTTTACAGATTGCTGCTAACAGAAGTTTTAGTCTCATTTAGTCTGTTTTTATCAGTTTTAGTCTGTTTTTAGTATAAAATAAAAAAAAAATTGTGTGTTAGTAACTCTGTGTTAGCCAGACTCTGACGCCACTGACACTGCGTCCGATTTTGACCCAGGTCAGTTTTCTGACATGTCATCTGTGTGTGAGCCGGCTGCAAAAAGAAGCTGTGCTTTCTCTGCTACGCCGAATGTGGAGGAGGAACAGGTTTCTCCACAGTTAGCTGAGCCCCAAATCACCCCTTTTAGTGCCAACACAGGCATTAATGTCAATGTGGATGACTTCTCCCCTATGCAATATATGGAGCTATTTTTAGGGGATACCATGTGGGAGGAGATTGCTCCCCAGACTAATTTATATGCTACCCAATTTATTGATACCAATCCAGATAGCTATGCAGTCAGGGAGGAGTGTGCTTGGCATCCCACAGAAACTTAAAAAATTCTGGGCTCTTACAATTCTCATGGGGATTATAAAGAAGCCATCAATTTGCTCTTACTGGAGCACCAACCCAATCTGTTCTAGTCGAGTGTACTCTCAAACCATGTCTAGAACAAGATTTGAGCTGCTGCTGAGATACTTACATTTCAATGACAATACCCTCTGTCACCCCAGAGATCACACCCAATATGATAGGCTTCATAAAATACACCCACTGGTAGACCATCTTCAGCACAAATTTACTGAAGTTTATACTCCTCAAAAAAATGTATCTATTGATGAATCGTTAATGAAATATAAAGGGAGATTAGGATTCAAACAATACATCCTCTCAAAGCGCTTTAGGTATGGCGTAAAATTCTACAAACTGTGCGTGAGCGAAAGTGGCTATACATTTGCCTTTCATATATATGAGGGGAAAGATGGTCAGCTGGACCCTCCTGGCTGTACTGACTCTCTGGGGACAAGCGGGAAACTTGTTTTTGACTTACTGATCCCCTTGTTCAATAAGGGTTACCACCTTTATGTGGACAATTTTTATAGCATTGTCCGTTTGTTTCAAACTCTTTAGGGTTTCTAGATACTGGCCTGTGGCAGTGTGAGAAGATATGCCAAGGATTTCCCCAGACCTTTTATAGAGGCCAAATAAAAAAAAAGTGAATGTAAAGGTCTGCACAAAGCTAAAGTGCTTGCAATAAAATTTAAGGACAGGAAGGATGTTAATATACTAACCACCATCCATGACGAAAGCATGTCAGACGTCACTGTCCGAGGCAGAGTACAGACCAAACCTGTTTGCATCAGGGCTTATAAAATGCACATGGGGGTGTTGATTTGGCTGATCAGCTGATGCAGCCATATCTTATCTTAAGAAAGACAAAAGCCTGGTATAAAAAGGTGGCTATCTACCTGATGCAAGTAGCAACACATAATTAATTTTTACTCTTTAAAAAAAAAATGAATCCAGAAAGAACCACCTTTCTCCAATTTTAGTTCAAGCTGATTTCCACAATAATTTATGGAGATGGTCAAGTTCCAACAACGGTGCCAAAGGAGTCCAGACATTTTATTTTTAAGATACCGCCAACTGCAAAAAAAAACAAATCCCCTGAAATGTTGCTGGGTCTGTTATAAAAAAGGGAAAAGGACAGACACCCCTTTGCACTGTTTTTTTTTCTTTTGAAAGCAGCAAATTTTAGTTAGTCAGTTTCCTTCCCCCCAAATCTCCAATTAGATTCTTTTTGCAGGAGTTAGTTTAGAGAATGCTGCTAAAGGTGCATTTGATACCTGCACATTTGGTTAAAAAAGTTTTATGGTAGTAACATATAACTGGCTGGCCAAAACCAGATGACGTGTGCATAAAAAGCAGAATTAAAAAATTACCACCATGCACGTTCTCTGAAATTTGTTTAGCACAATGGTTGGGGGAAGGATGTGAAAACACCTCATATACAATACTCTGGAATGTCTACTTTATAAAAATATAAACTTTCATGATGTTAACATTAACGGGGGGATGCAAAAATATGCCAAACTGAAGATAGGCCAAGCATACCTATATATCAAGTTGAAAAACTGATATGTACAAGTCTTGAATGTGGCCTTTTAGCCCCCAAACAACCCAGCAAACCTATGCATGGGTGATGTCACTGTACTCAGGAGATGTTGCTGAACACATATTGGGGTGTTGTTTGGCAGTGATACATAACAGGATCTGTTAATTCATGCCTAAAGTACAATGTATGTGTAAAAAAACATGAAGAAAATTACTACCCAAAAGTTTGCCAAAGGCTGGTGGTAGAATTATTGCATGAAAAGTATTAAACTACCACCATTTAAAATACCCTGAGTTGTCTACTTTTCAAAAATATATGGTTTGATGGGGGTAAAATACATTGGCCCAAATAGGACAGGGGCGCTGGTTTACTACATGTCAAAATTCCAAGTTGAAAAATGGATATGTGCACCTGCCAAATGTGGCCTTTTAGCCCCCAAACAATCCGACAAGCCTATGCATGGGTGGTATCACTGTACTCAGGAGATGTTGCTGAACACATATTGGCGTGTTGTTTGGCAGTGACACATAACACGATTTGTTAATTCATGCCTAAAGTACAATGTGTGTGAAAAAAAACACACAAAAAATGACTACCTAAATGTTTGACAAAGTCTGGTGGTAGAATTAGTGCATGGAAAGTGTTAAAAAAACACCATTTGAAATACCCTAGGGTGTCTACTTTCCAAAAATATATGGTTTGGTGGGGGTAAAATACATTGGCCGGCCTTACAAATGTCCCAAATAGGACATGTGCGCAGGTTGACTACATGTCAAAATTCCAAGTTGAAAAATGGATATGCGCACCTGCCAAATGTGGCCTTTTAGCCCCCAAACAATCCGACAAGCCTATGCATGAGTGGTATCACTGTACTCGGGAGATATTGCTGAACATATATTAGTGTGTTTTTTGGCAGCAAGACATAACAGGATCTGTAAGTTTATACCTGAATTGCAATGTATGTGAAAAAAAAAAAAAAAACAACTATCTATGCAAAGTTTGGCAAAGACTTGTGGTAAAATGGCTGCATAGAAAGTGTCAAAATATCCTTAGATGAATACCCTGGGTTGTCTACTTTAAAAAAAATATATACATGTGGAGTGTTTTCCAGAGATTTATGACAGATAATAGTGTTACAATGTCACTATTGATACATTTTAAAAATGTTTGTTTTGAAACCGCCATATCCTACTTGTACCTATAGCCCTATAACTTGCAAAAAAAAGCAAAAAAGCGTAAACACTGGGTATTTTTAAACTCAGGACAAAATTTTGAATCTATTTAGCTGTTTTTTTCATTCGCTTTTGTAGATGAGTAAAAGATTTTTCAAGTAAAAGTCAAAAAACATGTATTTTTTTCAATTTTTCATCATTTTTTTTTTATTTTTTTAAAATTAAAATACATGAGATTATATAAATAATGGTATGTAAAGAAAGCCCCTTTTGTCCTGAAAAAAACAATATATAATTTGTATGGGAACAGTAAATGAGAGAGCGGAAAATTACAGCTAAACACAAACACCAGAAAAGTGTAAAAATATTCCTGGTCGCAAATGTACAACATCGCAAAAACAGTCCAGTCCTTAAGGGGTTAAAATGAAAAAAGGGCAACACATGAAAAAAAAGAAAAAAGAAAACCCCACAAGTTTTACATATGTGATTTTCAATGTTTTATTCCATGGTGTAAAAGTAATTGTTCAATTTTAAAATATATAAATGTATCCTACATTGGATTACAAAAACAAATATATGTTTAAACACGGACATATCTATATTTAAGTACAGCGTGGCCCTTTACACATTGGCCTTTAAGAATCTGGAAGAATGATGAGAGTAATAAGTAAAATAATATTTGCTTTTTTTATATATATTTGCAACAGCTTAAAGCCATATTCCAAGTACATCAAACAACAACTCAAAATACAGTTTTGATTTCACATGGTTTCATTGAACTTGTTTTCTCATTGCTTCTCTCAATACCTTTTTTCTCCAAAAAGACATGGTTTCTTACAACAGCATTATATAAAATGATGATTTGTATACCTTTTAATTCATATACTTTTTACAAGCATGTTTAAACCTGTTTTTTGCCTTAATATGAAAAGACATTTATAATAAGACACATGTGATCCTTTAAAAAAAAATAAAAAAATGCTAAAGAGGCCAGCAAAATGTAGCAGTGTAGACCTAACTGGGTTATTCACTAAAGTGACAATTACTGAAAATTCAAATAGAATTTTAAAAATGTCAGGACACAGTAGCCAAACTTGACGTATAGCTGACTCAGACTAGTTTGGCCTTAAATTTGATATTCACTTTGAATTACCAACAATTCTTTCTTTAGCGAATAACCCTGTCTATGTTAAAATGTGTATTGAAATTAAAGACATACACGCACTCATCCCCAGTTACACAGAAACCGATTTGCTTTCACCTACCACAGTGTATACATTCAAGGTTCATAGCACCAAACAGCAGTGGTAGACAGACCATAATTTTCTTGTTGGACGCGTTCTGGTAGAGAATATTCTGCCATTTTTTTCAGCTGCTTTTGGATAGGGTGACTCACAAACTGAAATCTCCCTGGGTCTCCGATGAGAACTTGAGTCTTGTGCTTGGCAATGCAGTGTCTGAGCCAGAGATGGAGGTGGTCTGCAAGCTTCTCATCATAAAACATGTCACCCAACACAATCAGGTTCCAGTTCTCTCCTTCACGGGCGAGGATGTTCTCAGTGCTAAATGCCAATGGCTTCAAATTATTCAACTGACAGTTCAGGCTAAAAGCTGCTCCTGCAACTACAAAAATACAAGACAGCTTCATTAATTTGGTTTATTAGATCTAATTTATCTAAAATAAAATACATCATAAGAGTACAATTATAAAAATGTCCAGCTAGTGAGGATCAGGCTACGGTTTATTCCCTTAAGGAATAACAGTTTATTTTACCATAACAATGAATTCTGTAAGGATTTATTACAAAATGGAAAACCTATTTCGATTAACTATGATCAGCCAGAGGCGAACCTATTGTATATGGTACCTGGGGCAGAAATGTCTGACGGCATCCCAGTTGAAATTCAGCCATCACCACCATTCGTGTGTCTCTCCAACAACCTCGTTCGTTTTTCGTGGACTATAGTAAGTGAGAGGAGGGAGTGGGGAAGCAACTCCTATCAGGCTGCAATAGCCATATCGGTCAGTGGAACACAGGGTATACACTTTTCAGCTTCGCTCCCCCAATGACAAAATGGTGAAGATAGGGCAATGCTCTTCAACACTCCAAGCATAGGGGTAGTGGCAGTGATAGGGTTGGAGCGTCTGAGCCAATCAATACTCCAGTCCCTGGTATGAATTGGCACTTCCACCATAGAGTAGTTGGAGACCAGGTTGCAAGCTGCCAGGGGCCTGAACAGCTCTACTAAACGGTGAGTAACTGTTTAGCAGTGATGTGGGACCCTGCACCCACGGACTACAAGCACTAAAATCACTAATTGGAAATAGTGTCTTCAAGTGGTTATGGTGTCTATAGCGTTCCTTTAACAGTTTTGCATGGATTTTGATCAATGAGAATCTTCATAAAAGCCCATTTAAACTTTGTGCTGCCACTTCTTGCCATATCCCAACAGCCATGATTTCTGACCGCTAATGGGAACAAGTATTTTTGCACATAACTCGCAAAAGACGGCTGATAAAGCCATCAGGTGCTGAAGATGGAGCCACTTTAGGCAAACAATTCTTTAATTCACCATAGGTGACATGTCACCTTGGGGGATTCTCTGATAAAGTAGAGGAGCCAACAAGTAACAGTGCTACTTTAAAAATCAACTTGCCATTTTATTTTGTTTTATAAATGATTTTTATTGTATTTCAGTATAACAAGACGTCAGTAAAATTATCAATGAACAATAAAGTTTCATATCAAACCACTGATATAAACAAGACATAATAAAGTGCATACATATAATATAATTAGACCCAGTAGTCATAAATATGATTGCGAGGTAAGGTTTCATAGGTTTCACCAGTTTAGCTTTCTGACAAAGACATGATATAATTATGTATGAATTAAATGGCATTAGACAAATAATATTGAAAACTTCTTGATAAAATAGGAATAAACTGTAAATAGTGAGTTCCCTCAATCTAACATATTAATCCCTTAAGGACAGAGCTTCAGAAGCTTGTCTTTCACTTAATGACAACAGCATTTCTTTCATTTTTTGCTGTTTGCGTTCAACTGCAATATGCATTTTACGAATTTATTGCACAGACACATATTATACATCATTTTTTAAAGGACAGAAAGGGCTTTAATTTGATGTAAGACAAATATATATATATATATATATATATATATAGAACAAAATTGGTGGATAATAGCACTCCCAGGACTTCATAAATATGGTGAAAAAAATAACTTCGCTTTATTTAGCGACAGCCACAAAATATCAACGTTTCAGTTCCTATGTAGAACTTTCGTCAGGATCTGATATATATTTATGCTTATTTTTTATAAAAAAAATACAGAAAAATGCAAAAAATATGAAATGTTTTGTTGTTTTTTTTTTACAGTTTTTGCAATAATGTGTGCATAATTAGTGCAGGTTAAAAAAAGTAATTAAAAATAAATTCATTTAGTTTACAGAATGTATAATGTGTCTGGGATTTTAAGTTTTTTTTGGTAGTTACAGGTCACAAAGCACAAGGAATAAAATAAACTTTTAATGTGGAGCGATTTTAGAATTTAGTATGTTTGTCTTGTAAGCTTAATAGCCATAAAAGAAAACAAAATTGCCACACAAAAGTATATATTTATATAAAGTACACATCACAGACTATTTACCTAGGGTTGTTTTGACAATTTCTACGTAGCCATTTTACCGCCAACCTCTGCTAAATATTGGAGTAAAATTGTGTTTTTTTGTTTTTTGGCACACAAACTTATAACAAAGAAATTCTCATGTGTATTTTGTAAAGTTGGCGTGTGCTATTCCTGTACAAAGTTTTATTTTTGTGTTCTGTTACATCTGCTGAGTAAAAGGACACCCCCATTGTATGTGGTAAAAAATAATTTTGTGCGTTTTTTACACATGAATTGCATTTTTGCTGGGCATTTTGTATATTTCACATGTGCCACTAAGTTCAAACCCCCCAAATTATGCTCAACTAAGTCTTCTGAGTAAAATGACACCCCCATTGTATGTCTTTGGCACTATTTCGTGAAGCTACAGTGCCATATAGGAGACCTGTCCTTTTCAGTATTCACAGTAGAATTTTGAGAGACAGATTTAATGAGCCCATGCTTCCATTTGGGGTATTATACCAGTTTAACTGTTCAAAAAAAAACCACAAAAGCCTACCATTTGTTAAAGTAGACACTCCAGGGTATCTCATAAGGTGCATATTGTGCCTTAACATGCCCCCATTTTTTCACCAATATATGCTAAAGTATGTGATAAAAAATAATTTTGTGTGTTTTTTACATATGGATTGCATTTTTGCTGGGCATTTTGTATATTTCACATGTGCCACTAAGTTCAAACTCCCCGAATTACGCTCGGCTAATTCTTCTGAGTAAAAAGACACCCCCAATGAATGTCTTTGGCACTATTTCGTGAAGCTACAGTGCCATATAGGAGACCAAGCCATATCAGTTTTTACCGAACTTTGAATTTTGACGCTGGGCCTATGTGCAATTTTCAAGCATCTTAGCAGGGTTTAAGTTCAAACTACCCCACAAAGGCCTACCATTTCTTAAAGAAGACATCCCAGGGTATATGTGGACATCGGAGGAGCACATTTGGGACACAGCCACTCCAGTTTTTTTCAAACTTTAAATTTTTACACTGTGACCATTAATCATTATAGAGCATTTTACCAGGCTATAAAATCCAAATACCCCATAAAGCCATACCATTTCTTAAAGAAGACATCCCAGGGTATTTCAAAAGGCATATTTTGAACCTTGGCGTGGGTTCATTTTTCCGCTAGCTTGTACCAAGTGTAGTGGTAATAAGTGTTTTTTCTGCCTTTCTGACACACAAAGTGAGTTTACACAGTATATTTTGCAAACCTTATGTGTGCTACGACTGTATAATACTTCATATGTTGCTCAGCTATGTCGTCTGAGTACAGCAATACCACCGTATGTACCTTTGCCAGGTATATGTGGATGTTGAAGGGGCGCATTTGAGATGCAGCCAGTTTTTTTTCTAACTTTGAAGTTTTACACTGTGTCCATGTTCCAATTTGGAGTAGTTTAGACGGTTGGTTATTGAAACTTCCCCACAAACACATACTATTTAATAAAGAATACACCCTGGGGTAATTCAAAAGGCATATTTTGAACCTTAGCGTGGGATCATTTTTCCTCTAGTTTGTTCCAGGTGTAGTGGTAATGCGTGGTTTTAAATGTATTTTTTTTACTTTTTGAAACTTTTTTACTTTTAAAAACTAGTTTTTAAACTTTTGTTTTGCTTATTAATTTTTTTAAACTTTCTTAAAACTTTTACAGATTTAACATTTTTCTAAGTTTTTTTTTTTACCGTTAACCCCTAACTAGCAGTAAGCAGCACTAACAGTAAATTCCCCATTTTCCCATAACTCCCACCCACCCCAGCTAGCAAAATATATAATTATAAAATATTTAAATTAATTAAATAAATTGAACCCCTGAGGGTTAAAAAATAAATAAAAGTTAATCCTCAGGGGTTAAAAAAAATTAGATCACAGTATAATACTGTGATCTGTATTTTGATCACTGTAGGCAGTGAGTGACTGGCAGGGAAGGGGTTAATTTTTATTTGAACTGGGTAAGGGGGGGGGGTTATTTTTTACTTAAACGTTATTACAACTTTTTTTTTAGCTTAATTTTTTACTTTTTAAAGTTTATTTTAAAACTTTTTTTAGCCTAACACCAAATCCCCCAATTACCAGCTAACTTCCACTCACCCAAGCTAGCTAAACATATAATGTTAAAATATTTTAATTAATTAAATAAATTTAACCCCTGAGGGTTAAAAAAAAAAAAGAATTTACCCTCAGGGGTTTAAAAACTAAAAAAATCAGATGACAGTAAAATGTAATCCCTGCCAATTGATCACTGTAGTCAGTGATCAATTGGCAGGGAAGGGGTTCATTTTTAATTAAAATGAGTAAAGGGGGGTGGGATTTTAAATAAACTATTTTTTTTAACAGGGGGCAGGATCATCACTGATCCGTATCCCTGCACTTCACACAGAACCAGGAAGTGCAGGGAGGCAGAAGGCAAGTATACTAAGCACATGTGCTTGCTCTGACATGCTGTCAGAGTGAGCACATGTGCTGGGTAGCACTATCGGGTCCGTCACTCGTCATTATGGCAATTCCCTGAGTGACGGACTTTGTCCATCACTCGTCATTAAGGGTTCACTATATTTATCAGTACTCTAAAATAGCACATTGCCATATACCATGTTAGTAATCAGATTACAGATACTCACAGAAAAAAAAAAAAGAAAACATCCTAAGTTAGTTGTACTTGACTAGTAGTTTGTCAGAGAGGATGATCAAATTGCGCACTGGGGGAAGTGTTAAGAAAGGCGGCCATCTGATAGTTGAGGTCGAACACAAGGAACAAGGTGCATCCACAAAATTTCTATCTATGCCCAGCTAGTTCGTTCGTTGTGGGTCAATTTTCCTTTTTATAATATTCAAATCATTTAGACCAAATTTTATTATACTTTGGGATATTACTGTTATTGAAAAAGAACGCCTTTTCCATAATTCCTTGATCATTAATTTGAGTTAGGATTTCAGTGACCTGAGGAATAATTGTAGTCTTCCAATATTTTGATAGGCAGATCTTAACTGTCATTAGTATGTTTATTTTAGATATTTTTCTAATTTCATTAAACCATTAAAGGACCACTATAGTGCCAGGAAAACAAACTCGTTTTCCTGGCACTATAGTGCCCTGAGGGTGCCCCCACCCTCAGGGTCCCCCTCCCGCCCGGCTCTGGAAAGGGGTAAGGGGTAAGGGGTAAAAACTTACCTTTTTCCAGCGCTGGGCGGAGAGCTCTCTGCCTCCTCTCCTCCTCTTGGGCTGAATGCGCACGCGCGGCAAGAGCTGCGTGCGCATTCAGCCCGTCGCATAGGAAAGCATTTACAATGCTTTCCTATGGACGCTGGCGTGCTCTCACTGTGAAAATCACAGTGAGAAGCACGCAAGCGCCTCTAGTGGCTGTCAATGAGACAGCCACTAGAGGATTAGGGGGAAGGCTTAACCCATTCATAAACATAGCAGTTTCTCTGAAACTGCTTGTTTATAAAAAAAATGGGTTAACCCTAGCTGGACCTGGCACCCAGACCACTTCATTAAGCTGAAGTGGTCTGGGTGCCTAGAGTGGTCCTTTAATGTTCATATGAAAAATAAATTTCTCAGGAGTCAATGTTAAAATCTTTAAATCTAGATCTTTAAAAAAAATCAACTTGTCATTTTAATTGGACTACGTTTTGTTTTTGTTTCATTTGAATGGTGACTGTAGTCACCATCACTGGGAGCATAAGATGAACACTTCAATTAGATCCCTGGACGACTTCTATGTTTAAAGTCACCCTGTGCCCATTGTGGGTGAAGGGTGTGTTTAATGTAATTGTTTAGATTTAAATGTTAGTGTGTTCTCCTGTCTTGCTAATGCTTGCAATCAACTACGTGGATTTGACTGTGGAGCCTGAACAGCGTCACCTGTTGGCTGTAAGGATCTAGCAATGGCTGTATGCACTACCTGAATAGCAAGGAATGCTAATTTGCATACTCAGGTAGATTTGCAGATTGCTGTTTCTGCAGGCAGGAGAGATGTTGTGTGTTTATTTTTTTATTTAGACAATCAATCATTAAAGGGACTCTCCAGGCAGCCCTTTTTACCCACCTGGTTCCAGCGCCGGGAGCCTCGAAGCCGCGCCCCCTATTTCGTCAAAATGACAAAATAGGCGGGCGCGAGCAGGGAGCACTCAGACGCTTCCATTTGGAAGCGTCATTGCTCACTACACTTCATATATGAAGTCCTGAGTGCACTACCGCGCGAGTGCGCGGCCGCGAGCTGAGCTGACTGACAGCTCAGCTCGCGGTCTTTGCCCGCCCCCTCTCCTCTGCTGACAGGCAGGAGAGAGAAGGCGAGCACACAGTGCCTTCTCTCTCCTGCACACGTCAGACGTATTTTAATACGTCTGACGTGTAAATGGCCTTTTTAGGGCCATACATGATAGGAAGTCTCTCTGGTGGCAGTCTGAGTGATGGCCACTGGAGGTATTCCTATAAATAAATGTAAACACTGTATTTTCTATGAAAATACAGTGTTTACATTAGATTGCCTGCAGGGAGCTATAGATCTCACCTGAACAACTACATTAAGCTGTAGTTGTTCAGGTGACTATAGTGTCCCTTTAACAATGAATTAAATATCATTACATATAGGTATACAATACGTATGTATGGGTATACAAATACATGTTCTTATACGTTTTTTCTTTCCTCATTTCTTTTATCCTCATTCCCCTCCTCTTATTTTCCCTTTGGTTAATAGAGTGATATGAACATACAAGTATATAAATACATACCACAATAGACATAGACAAAAAAAAAAAAAAAGAATTGGCGGATCATGTGGAAACACGAATGATAGGCGATTGAGAATATAATTTTATTTTATTGCATTGAGGACTATATCCTTATGATTTTCCTCTTTATAGGAGAATTTTGACTGAGTGTATTAAGCTTTGGATTCAGTTGTATCGAGGGTTAATCTTTATCTAAAATATCTAGCCAGTTTTTCAAAAAATTTAATTCTATCCGATTCCAGTTAGATTGACTTACCACCCCCCCTTTCTGTGGTATATTGTGTAAGTATCTGAGCTTTAATTTCAAGCCAGGTTGGACCTTTGTTTGACATCCAGTTTCTTGCTAATAATAATTTAGTTGCTGTCAGGATATGTAAGATTCCATCTTTTTTTGTTTGGGAAAATTTAAATGTAAAAGAGCCTTTTCAGAGTTCAATTTCCACTCAGACCCAAACAATTGTGTTAACCGTAGGGCTAGAGGGAGTTTATCAGTTTCACCTGATGTGAACAAAGTCACCTTTTAGTAAACCGCATCTCCAGCATTTTGGGGAAACATTAGGATACATCTTACTAAGAGTTGAAGGGACTCTATACCAACGATTTATTGATTTAAATTGGACCTCATTGAGGTTCAAACAATGTACTGTTTTATAAAAAATGTCTAAGGATTTGTTCCATTCGTTTGTATCAATCTGAATTTGAAGTTCATTTTCCAATCTTTTAATGGCTGAAGGGAGTGTTTCTTTTTCAGTTTGTCTGATCAGCACAACAACATATCTTGAGTCCCAGTCTCATTTATTTCTATTTCGTACTGTTGCAGTGTAAGCATGCAGAAGCCAAACACAGAAATATTGGACACAGGTCTTCAGGAAGTAACAGGCCTTTATTCACATTACCGATCGGGTCTCAGATGAACTCCTGTTCCAACATTCTGAGAGACCAACACATAGTGTACATTCCTTATATAGCACTATAACTCCTCCCATTAATAGCTACACCCACATATACCTTTAACCAATCAATGAGCAGAATATAGACTTGTACATCTAGTCAAACCACATGGCTCATCCAAGACAAAGGAAATAAGTGCAATTTCAGTTCCTGCATTCCTGCACATGCTCAGTACACTGATGACAGTATCCTAGCTACATGTAGCTAACCAACTGACACAACATACACATATGCCACATGGAGATTTTGGCCTACTAAATTTTGACCATGCTGGAATCCCATCACATTCCCCCCTTTGATGCCTCTGATAGAACATTATTCCAGATGCATCACCAATCACAGTTTTACCTACATCTCTCAAGTAGCCATTGAACCAAAGTAGACCTTGTAAGCATCTTAAAAACTCCTTCAACATTCTTCATCCTGAATATATTCTCTTCGGGCTAGGGGATCATATCTTCCAGACAGCCATTACATGAGCCGCTGTCTTTCTCTCTATAGTACTCTCTATAATACTACGTAGGGACCTTACCACTAATGGAATTAGACAGGGCAGGAGGAGGCACAAAAAAAAATATATAATAAATTCTACTCCTCCTACTAATGTCTTAATTCCTCCAAGCTGCTCATACCAACTTCCAAACCAACTACTTAGGTTATACCCATTCCAGACCTGAGTAGGTACATGCTCAAATTTAACCATGTGGCTTGTAAGTTCAGCCACTGCCTGCCCTTCATCATCTATGTGCAGACAACAGTTACTTAGATTAAACTTTCCGCATACACCTCCTTCTACTGCTAGTAAGTAATCAAGGGCTAGCCTATTCTGGTATATGGCTGATCACATCTTGGTATTTTGCTTAGCTAGAAGATTAAGCACTTGAGCTGTCTCATTAGTAATAATCTCAACTACCGCCTGTAGTCTAATAATGCGGTTGAGCATATATAATCGGAGTTCTATATCCATAAGTGCCATCTTCTGCCCAAGTAGCAGGTCCATAATAATTAATAATACGTTGAGGGGGCCACTCATTATCTTCCCAGCTACCTATATTCAAGGATGCTCTCTCCCTTTTATGATTTACATCGTAAACCTTAACTCCCAAGGTCTCTCCTGTTTCGATTGGCAACAAGAAGAAGGATGGCTTTGGCATACCTAATACACATGCCCCTTCCCAATCTTGTGGTAACTCCGAATAAGTTTTCTTACCACAAATCCAGTATAAATTTGCTGGGGCTTTCCAACTAGATGTAGCCGATAAGTCAAACCATACCTCCTTTAAATGAGTGTAATTGGCAAACGGATTAGTAGGTTCCGAGACATTTGAAGCTGACCACCAAGTAGTATTTTTAGTATTAACATTATAGGCTTTTTGTCCCAAGCAAGTTAGCTCACCTACAGACGTGTTATACATTGTCCCTTTCCTGGCTATACAAACATGACCTATAATGGAGGTTTTTAACCACCATTCCAATTTACTTCTAGTACTTACTTGATGATCAGACTGGAAAGGTATCTGTTGTTCATATGTCTCAGAGCCAGGGTACCATATTTCCTTTGCCTCCCATGGCCACTGGTCTCCCATATTAGTACCTCCACACACATAGCAATTAGTTACATTAAGACTACCTGCAATACCCTCAGCCAAATCAATAAATAGGTTGTTAACATTATGGGGAATTTTATCCTCAATACTCATCTCCTCATAGAAGGAATGAGAAACCTGATGAGTTTGAGTTGCCACTGTCTCAGTTTCAAGACCTACATATATTATTGTTCCTGAATCTACTCCTGTGCCATATATTTGGAACCCAAACAGACCTCCAAACCTGTCAATAAAGTACTGCAGATTGGAAATGGTCATGTGAACGGGGTTACACACATAGTTTTACAGTATGGTGTGGTAGGCAACCTTTGGATAATCATATCTTGATCCACTGTTTTTCCCAGGTTGCCCAACCTACACATGACCAATAGGGGCAGAAGTTAGTCTCTATTTGGGCAATCAGGATCAGTAGATCTTTTACTGGGACATAAGTATTTATCATTAAACCCATAAGTTCGTTCCCATTTAAGATTACCACATACATTCCAAAGTCTTCCACTACCCGAAATCGCCTTACATGCATCAAATAGTAGAATACCCGTGGAATGTATGGTGCTTATCACAGTCCTATTTATTAATGTCCCCTGGGAGTTACTATTCCGAATTACCAACCAAATTGTACGGGGTTGGAATTGGGGATCAAAACATTTAGACTCTCCTGATATTGGCTTGCACACACTATAATCAATATCCAAATATCTACATTTAGATACAGATCCCTTACATTCATACTATGAGTGCCAGATGAGAGTTTGGGATATTTGGTTACCTGTTTTAGTAGTCTTAATGCAACTATCGCAATTCGGTATGTCTGTACTCCTACCTTCCTGAAAAATCATAAAAATACTAAGACACAATAAAACACATTATTCCTGAAATCCTCATTTTTCTTCAACCGTGCGATGGCCTCTCAGCTTCCCGATTGTGAGGGCTGCAAGGATGTTGTTCTTCTGATCCTCACTTTCCTTCACAGAGATCCCTTCAAGATACTCTGGCTATGACACGTAGGCAGGTGGTCAGGCTTTATTATGGCCGTCAAAACACCTACTTGATGATCTTTGTAGACTTTTAACTAGAATGTCTCGATATCCCCTCGTCACTCCGACTGAGTTGCACGCTTCAACCGGGTCCTGCAAGGATTCTCAGGATCTGGAGTAGCTTGCCAAGAGTCTGCCGCTGGTTTAACCTTAGAATGATGAATCCAAGGAGTCACTTCCGCCACCTTTACAGCTGTTGGGGTAGATAAAAGAACAACATACAAAGGCTAACAGGATACACCCCGAGCTTTAACTCAATATGTATTGGTGGGATATTATGAGCAAGTCCTGGAGGATTATTTTCTTCCCATACTCCTGGAATGTCAAGTAAGGATTCATCACTCTTAGGGTTAACACTTGTCACTATGGAATAGAAGCGTCATTCTTCTTCCCTTGGCACCGATATCGCCATTATGCCTGGTAACCCCTTAAACTTCAGAGATGTTGATCCATTAGGTAAAAGGTTATCTGAGCTTAAAGCTTCGATAATAGATCTCGTCCTAAAAGTTGAATCGGACACTCTGGCATATATAGGAACTAATGCTTCACCACATGGCCTCCCAGAATACAAGTGCGACTCTTAAGAACCGGTCTAGCTGCACTTCTCCCAGTAGCTCCTATCACAGTTATAGTCTTCCCCGAAGGCGGAGCCACCATCTTAGTCACCACAGAATGTTCAGCACCTGTGTCGATCATGAAAGAACTTCTCTTTCCCCCTATTGCTACATCGACCATAGGCTCCGCTCGACCAAGTGGGATGGAGCCCAGTCGGTATCAATAGTCTTCCATGATAGTGTCAGCCAGACCCGCAAAATCTCTATCCTCTCTTTCTCTAGGTCTCTGCGTGGGTAGATAGTATCTGTCTCCTTGAACACTTCCTCTACTATTCCCACCATTCCCTCTAAAACTTCCTCTTACTCTATAACTACCACTATAACCTCCTCGTACCCTTCTCTCTCCTTGTCTATCACCTTCATACTGCTTTCTCTGTGGACACTCACTCTTCCAATGTCCCTCCTTTCTACAATACGCACATTAATTCCTACTTAAAGGTCCCTTGCTCAGCCTATTCTCGTCTCCTCTATTCACTTCCCTGTCTTTCTACACTTAAGATAGCTACCGCTAGCATATCTGCCTTTTTCCTCATTTTACGTTCTTCCTCCGTCTCCCTATTCATATATACTGTATTTGCAATCTCCATTAGCTGTAATATGGACATCCCTGCAAATCCATCTAATTTTTGTAATTTCCTTTTAATATCACCTTGGGCCTGGCTGACAAATGCTGAATTAATCATCCTAGAATTCTCAGGAGCCTCTGGATTAAAGGGAGTATACAACCTATTTGACTCAAGCAGTCTCTAATATGGGACTTCGGCAAGGCTGCTCAATAATAGGTTCCAGTCTAGGAGTAGTAAGATAGGTGTAAGGGGGTGAGCTAATTTTATTAGTCGGCATTTGGTGGATGAAAAAACGTTTTTGTTTAAAGTGTTAAACCAAAAACCTACCAGTAGGTGTCACCAGAGGGTAATTGTATCAAAATAATCTTTATGGGTCTAATAAGAAAACTCAACTTTTAATATATTTATACATAAAATAAAACCTTATAGCAATAAATATATTAAAATAGGGTAAGCAATCCTACTTCTATCTGTTATAAACAATGTATTATCAATGTAACTCCCAAAGATGGCCAGTAGGTGGCTTAGAGTGCCTCCCTAAAGTCAAATGAAACAAATAGACTTTAATTAATGATGTCCTATTTTATTATTACTTATTTTAATCACTGTCCACCCTGATATCTAGGCCTGATTAAATCTTTAGTTCTAAGGTAAATTAAACATTTCAGTTTGTAATTTAGTAAAAGGGGACATTTTGGACAAAGCTGGGAGGGGCCCATCCAGTAACTAAAAAAAACCAATATACCATCTGATACCATTGATCATTGATTAGGGGGAGGGGTAGTACAGAAATACAAGAGTTTGAAACACAGGAACAGATAGGTATGTGGGTAGGCGGGGACAGTAGAGCAGGGGGAGTGCAAATACTGACTATATACCAGTTCTTAGCTTGGGAAAAAGAATAGGGGCGTGGCTAATCTGGCTCTGGAGGATGTTTGGGGGGTTGGTAATCAGATGCCAGGGGGGAGGGGATGTCCAAAGCAGTTGTAATTAAGTCCTTAGTTCTGACCACCATATGGCTACATTGTTTCCCATATGACACAGTTTAATTCACCAAGGCAGTTTTTCAACAATCAGTTTCCAACAGTCAATATATAGAAACTGATCATAGAATTCCAGCCTACTAGTTACAGCCACATGTACACCCTGCACTAATTTTAAGTGAAGACTGCTACATGGAGGCCATGCGGCCACCAGGACAGGCTACTCCCTACTTTTTTTTTTTTTTTTTAAAACATACAAGACAAAGCCTTGTGAATCAGAAGATTATTTCAACAGAACGTCTGATTCAAAAAGCTGTACAAATATACACACAGTTTCAACAGTCACACCAATCTCCTTATCACCAGCAACACATTGCGCAGTCACTAGGCCCAAACACACACACAGGATCCTCACATGCTCAACAATATCACGACGTCGCACACACGAAATTAAATCAAAAACCCACCAAAGACTATACACTTATCAATGTAACTATTATTCAAACCATACAACTATCCACGCTATTAATCCATATAAACTAACCGATCACATAACATTTCAACAAATTCATCTCTACAATTATCCGTACTATAAATCAACTTTTGACTAACCAACTATATCACATTCTAGTAACCTCATCTTTACAGTCAGTGGTTATGGTACAGTTAGTAAGTGGTTATAATACAGTTTTAAAGTCACAGATCAGTTAGTAACAGTTATGGTATTATACATATAACATAAAACAGCAATTGTTAGTAATTTTTACACAATGTCAGTGGTTATGGTACATGTCAGTAGTTATGGTACCGTGCGCTATTTTACAGTTATACACACAATTTACACTCCCACTAGACAGCAGAGCTCTAACTTTCTAGTAGGACATACAAGTTAACCAATTCACCAACTACAATATATTTAACAACATTTACAATAATCCCAACTATTCTAACTGGCCAGCACCTCGAGAGCTTTCGATCTATTTATACACCAGAGATTCGATAAGTTCTTCGCTGCCCAGACACCACGTATAGCGAACTAGAGGGCAGAATTTACACAGTACCCAGCTAGTCTATTAAACTATCAATAAGCTAGTGGCTGGATTTACAACAGAGCACACTTAGTTAAGATAGGGTGAAATCTAGCAAACTATAATATACAACAGAGTATGCTAGTCTCCCGGTCCCCCCGACCTAGCGAACAAAATTTACACCCTAGATACGCTAGTCAAGACAGGACACCGGTGTCCGACATGAGCTATTTACACCAGAACTCAGTCTGACCCAAACCAATAAGTGTTGCGCTTTTCACTTCTTCCATCCATAAGGACAGGGCAGATTCCAATAACCGGTTCCAAATATAAAACCCCTTGTGGGTCTACCGCTCTAACGGTATCAATCTTACCTGTTAATTCCTGGACCTGGGTTCACTCATAGACGGAACAATCCGGGACTCACTGCGCAGAAGCCGATGATCTCCTGGACAAAAGGCCAGTGGCGCCGAGACGAAAGGAGGTCCACGCAGTAGAAGTCCAGGATTGTAGCGTAGAAGGTTTGGTAAAAGTTTACCGTCTCAAATCTCTGCGCCAGCTTCCATGCAAATGAGGTTCCCGGGCCAATTGCACCAGAAATGTTGCAGTGTAAGCATGCAGAAGCCAAACACAGAAATATTGGACACAGATCTTCAGGAAGTAACAGGCCTTTATTCACATTACCGATCGGGTCTCAGATGAACTCCTGTTCCAACATTCTGAGAGACCAACACATAGTGTACATTCCTTATATAGCACTATAACTCCTCCCATTAATAGCTACACCCACATATACCTTTAACCAATCAATGAGCAGAATATAGACTTGTACATCTAGTCAAACCACATGGCTCATCCAAGACAAAGGAAATAAGTGCAATTTCAGTTCCTGCATTCCTGCACATGCTCAGTACACTGATGACAGTATCCTAGCTACATGTAGCTAACCAACTGACACAACATACACATATGCCACATGGAGATTTTGGCCTACTAAATTTTGACCATGCTGGAATCCCATCACAGTACCAGCTTTCATTTATTGCCCTACTATTTTGTGATGCTACTGCATGTGCCAAAAGAGCAGCGTTTGCATATTCCTGTATATTGGAATCCCCAGTCCTCCTTTATTTTAATTTTTTAGATAGTAATTGCAAACCTAATCGTGGTCTTTTATCCAACCATATGTATTTTGAAAAGGCAGATTGAATCATTTTGAGCCATGGAGAAGGTATTGACAGAGGTATCATTCGAAATATGTAAGTGAACCTAGGGAGTATAAATGATTTGATGGAATTTATTCTGCCCCCACCATGAAATTTCAAAAGATTTCCATACTTTAAATAATGTATTCGTCTCTTTTATAAGTGGGAGTAGATTTATTGCTAACCACTCAGTAGGTATGTATTGATATGCAAACACAAAGATAAAGCACCGCGCTTACAGGAGCAGTGGCTTAGTATCCAACAGCTTAAAATACATAGTAAAAACAAAGAAAACGTTACCTGCGCTCTGGCCTAAATCCCCATGTGCATTTAAACAAAAATGGAGGCTCTTTAGTTTTATTCTAATGGCCATTTGAATATATAAGCTCACCAGCCACGTCAAGGCAAGCCTCAATAGGTGAGTTCCTACACTAGCCATTAGATATGCTGATATCAGCCAAGAGTCTCCAGTGAGACAGGAAGGGGTATTTTATAAACCCTTTAACATTTAACCCTTTATAGGGCTTCTGCACATACAATAAACTTTGCTGATATCAGACAAAGTGAGACAGAAAGGGGTGTTTTATAAACACTAACATTTAACCCTTTATAGGGCTTCTACACATTCAATAAACTTTGCTGGTATCAGACAAAGTATAGACGTCTCTAATGAGACATGAAAGGGTATTTTATAAACCCCTACATACTTTACCCTGAATAGGGCTATAACATACAAATAATCACCTTGCTGGTATCAGCTAAAAGGCAAATTTCTCTGATGAGACAGGAAGGGGTGCTGCCCCTACATACTTATAAAGTCTTAATAAGACAAACGTGGGAAGGCTGGCAGCAATGTAACATAGCTGAGTGATACAAAATTCATATACAAACACTGTAAGCGCGGTGCTTTATCTTTGTGTTTGTATATGAATTTACCCCTCACGCCTCCATAAATATAGCAAAATCTTACTGTATTCAAGCATGAAGCTGTAGACCTGCATGCTGTTTGCCTCAGATGTCTGCTGTCATCATCAGAAGTGGCAGCCTGATCCAATCACAATGCTTCCCCATAGGATTGGCTGAGACTGACAAGGAGGCAGAGCCAGCATGATTCAAACACAGCCCTGGCCAATCAGCATCTCCTCATAGAGAAGAATTGAATCAATGTATCTCTATGAGGAAAGTACAGTGTCTGCATGCAGAGGGAGGAGATACTGAATGTTTGGATGCATTTTAGGCAGCCATGACCCAGGAAGGATCTCTAACAGCTATCTGAGGAGTGGCCTGTGAAGTTATCACTAGGCTGTAATGTAAACACTGCATTTTCTCTGAAAAGACAGAGTCTACAGCAAAAAGCCTTAAGGCAATGATTCTACTCACCAGAAAAAAATCAATAAGCTGTAGTTGTTCTTGTGACTATAGTGTCCCTTTAATAAGTTGATCAAAATATTATAAGATTGCATGATCATAAGGGAATTTTAACCTTTTTTTTATGTAAGATTTAACTTTTAGATAATCAAAAAAGTCTTTGTTCGAAAAACGTGATGTTCTCTTAAGATCATCAAAAGTTCTTATTTGTCCTACAGAGAATAGATCAGCAACCATATTAATATCTTTTACAGACTATGGATGTAAATTATATCTGGTAATAAATCAGTCTATTCTAAGAGATGGAAAAATGTTCTATACCTAGCTTTCATTTGATTTCATACCAATTTTATAGAATATTGTTTAAAGCACAGTTTTCATTGTAAAATTTAAATTTTCAGAATTCTTGGTCGGACCATATAAGCTGTGTAAAGGAGGCTTGTAATAGTTTAATCCATGGATGTCAAACTCGTGGCCCATAATTAATATGTTTGTGGTCCACTGGCCGCGGCGAGGGAGCGCTGAGTGTAAGCTCTCCCTGCTCAGCTTTCCGCAGTGATGCCGGGAGCCGGAAAATGACGTCACATTCCGGCTCCCGGCATCACTCTGCGGCGCACGTGGGAGCTGAGCAGTGAGAGCTCAAAATCAATGCTCTCTCACTGCCTGTTCTTGGTTTAATCTAAGTTATAGGAATGTAATTTGGGATTAAACTCAATATGTATGTTAGTTTTGGTAAAACATAAGACCTGATGGTATTAATCTTACCCCACCATGATATTTCTTTTTAAGCCCAAGTTTTAAACTTTATATTGGTTTCTCTAATCAATGGAAGCAAATTAATTTGCATCCAATTTTGTGGATTTTCTGAGATTTTTAAACCTAAATAAGAGAAGTGTTCCTTAGCCCAGAGAAAGTCAAAGTTTGACATAATCTCTAATTTAATTTGAGGGGTTATAAAAAAAGAAAGGCCCATTGTCTTAGAGATATTTCATTTATAGTTTGAAAAATGTCTATATGAAACGTATTGTTTGCACTAATTCATTAATTGAAGTTACAGGGTCTTCCATCACGATGAATACATCAAATGCATATCATTTTATTTTTATCTCTGATCTTTAAAGCCTTTTATTTTGTTATTTTACCTTATCTCCGTTGCCAATACTTCAATGAAGCAGAGAAAGCAGACAGCCTTGTTTGGTACAGTTTTTTTTAATTTAAGAGAGTCAGAAAGGATGCCCTGACCTTCTACTTTCCCTGTTTGATTCGAGTATAGCGCCATAATGGCCTGATGTATCCTGCCTGACAATCCAAAATCCTTTAAAGTATTTGATAGGAAATCCCAGCTGACCCTGTCAAAGGCTTTCTCTGCGCCCAAAGACAGGGCCAGCAACGGAACCCCTCTTTTGTTGGCAATCTCAAAAACATTAGATAGTGTGCGTATATGATTAGCCAATGTCCTTCCTGGAAAAAATCCTACCTGATATATGTGGATTATATCAGATTTAAAGGAATTTAGTCTGTGTGCCATAATGCCTGCATAAAGTTTTCGATCTTCATTCAGAAGAGAAATGGGTCTATAGCTCTTAACATCATGGGGGGTTTTGTCTTGCTTTAGTATAGTGACAATATTTCCCCTTATTAGGTCTTTAGGTAGACTGCCTTTTTCTGCGAACTTATTAAAGGTAGTATGTAAGTATGGAACCAGGTCTTCTTTAAAGGATTTATAAAATATAGCTGTCAGACCATCAGGTACTGGTGCTTTGTTACATTTTGAGTGATCAATACCCTCTATGATTTCTTCCCTTGAAAATGGTACATTTAGCTTTTCTAACTGTTGGGCAGTTATTTTCTTAAATTCCTTCCCGTGAAAGTAAGATTCTATGTTTCGCAGGGGCTCTTTAGAACTGATGTTATATAAGTCACTATAATATCTTTCAAAAGCGTTTGCCATTTTATCAGGTGACATAATATATTATCTTAGATATAGATTTTTGGATGTTTTTCAACGTATTTGTTAGAAACGTGTCCACTTTATTGCTCTTGTAATAGTGATAAGCTTTAGTTTTTCTAATTTCATGGAAGTTTCAAGCATTATTTTTTCATTAATGCATTTTTTAATGTCATTAATTTGATTCGAGTTATCACTTGAAGGACTTTCTTTGTTGATATGTGACAAATTTGCCAGTTTGATATATAGAGAGATTACTTTTTCTGTTTTCCTTATTTTGAAAAGCTAAATTTATAGAATGGCCTCAGATTACACATTTAAAAGCAGTCATTACAATTATTGGATACCTCCCTAGAGGAATTTTCTTGGAAATATTGCTTAATATTTTTTTTTTTTAATCAACTCCTTATTTTGTAGGGATTCCAATAGTGATCTGTTAAGTTTCCATTCTGGTCGCTTTTTGGTAAAATTATCTTTTAGTTCCATAATATTTATATTATGGTCTGACCATGTAACTTCTTTGATATCTATTTTATTAACTCTTTGTATTGAGTTTCTTTCTGTCAGGATGTAGTCAATTCTAGAATATGCCGAGTACGTTTTCGAGAAACACGTATAGTCTTGCACATTATCATGAAATGTGCGCCAAGTATCATATAGAACATTTCCCTGGACAAAGGAATGAAATTTTGAAGCTTGTGTATAGGTATTTCTATCTAACTGTCTATTTTTCATTGTCTGTTTATCAAGTTTAAGGTCTATTACACAGTTAAAGTCTCCCATCCATATAATTTGTCCTGTTTTATCCTGTTTATTCTCTCCCAAAGGCCAGATATAGACACTTGACACTTTATGTAAATAATAATTTTCTTTTCTTCTATAAACGTAATTACACATACTTCATATGCATGCAATATTCCTTATATTACAAAAAAAACACAATAGTTTAATACAACAATCCTATATTTACCCAAATTTTTCCTAAACGTAACTTTTACTATAACCGTAGTGTGTCTTTATTTTCTCTCCTTTTCCCTCTTCCTCTCCACTATTTTGTGCCAATAACTAATATATTTCTTATCAGTGCCTTATATACTAAATTTGCTTAACAAGACTAACAGTTTTATGTGAATACATTTTTGTCATACGAACGATCTAAATAATTAGATTTTTCTATTAATACCATGTTTCTTTATATAATGGTGATAGTCGAACACAATATTTTCGTGCATTTATCCTCTATATATCCAAATCACTTCTTCCTTCATCGGTCTTCTATGTGAAACTATATCTACCTTAAACCTTAGTACAGGGTGATCAAAGAGACACTGCTTCCTTATTTCGTGTTATTCTAGGTCATTCCCTTCCCTTTTCTGTTATCCCTTCCTCCATTACTGAAAAAAATTCCTCCTGTGTGTGTGTTTACTCATTTCTTAAATTTCTTCCCAAATTCTTCGCTCTATTCTCTCCTGTAACTTGATTATTGCCGTCGGGTTCAGTAATCACATGTCTCTCTTGGAGCCAGCCTTTCAATTTTTCTGGAGAATCCATTGTGAATATCTTCGAGTCTTTATGGATCAGAAGTCTTACGGGAAATCCCCATCTGTATTGTATTTTGTTAAGTCTGAAGATTTCTGTGTAGTTTGCGAAAGATCTTCTTTTTAGCCTTGTGTAGGTTGACAGATCTGAATATACCTTTTTTTCATAAGGTGCTTTTGCTTTGTGTTCTCTAATTTAATTAATTATAGCAGATTTAATTTGAGAAGATGAGCAGCAGATCATAACATCTCTTGGGATGGTTATTGACAAGTACTTTGGGTATCCTGTGCCAGCACTCCATTAAAGGGCCAAAAGTGCAAGCTATCAAAAAAGTTATTTACAACTTCTTTTTTCTCCATTTTTTCTGGAGTTATTTCTTCTGGAATGTTCCTGATTTTTAAGTTATTGCGGCGTGACCTGTCTTATAGGTCCGCCTGTTTCTGCTCCATTTGGGAAATCTTAGTTTTTATTATTTCCATTTCATTTTGCATCTTTTTATTGATCCTTGTTCGATTTGTTTTATTCTTTCAGAATTTTCATTTACTTTGTTGTTAGTATTGATTAGGTCATTTTTAAACTTCTGAAAAGCGTTGAATTTAATTTTAGATCTTTGTAAATTGTGTTTCTAGAGCGCTGTTTAGTAGATCTACCGTCAATTGTTGGCAATCATTAGTTGTAGATGCTTTTTCTGCTCTCTCTTGTTCCACACTCTTCTTTGTTTCATCTAAAGGATTATTATATTCTCCTATTTTCATGGATTGAAGAAAAAAAAAAGAATCACTTTTCCATTAGCTCGTTTTTATTTTCCATTTTCTTTTTGGTGTTTTTGGTTTCTTCGGAACCTTACAGTTCAGAGCCAAATTATTGCAGTATTTTTAAACAAAGTGTACAAAGGAATTAGCAGGAGGTCCTAAGTAATCCAAGCGATTTATATATTAGTTTAACTCCACTGTTTTCGCTTCTTCCCCCTTCTTTCCTATGTATCCTTATTTCTTGGAAGATATTTTTCAGACTTTTCTCAGTCTTTTATATGTATTTTCTTTTCTTATGCATTTTCTTTATAGCTTTACAATATTTCCCCTTTTTTTTTTCGGGGTGGGTTTGGAATTTATTTATTTATAAAATATTTTACCAAGGAAGATACATTGAGATTTCTCTCGTTTTCAAGTATGTCCTGGGTCCACAAAACATTGCATTGATACAATAGGGTACAATAAAATACAAAAACAATATTAATACACAATATATACAAAATTTAACATAGAACAGGTAGGAAATATATAATCAACCATGACACGTGCATTCTGTTTTGAGGTATGTAGAGAGGGTTCTCTTAAAGGACTTTAGGTTTGGGGAAGATTTGAAACTGTGCCGGAGGTCGTTCCATAATTGCGTTGCTCTGTAGGAAAAGGAAGATCAGGCTGCTTTATTTTTGTATTGAGGTAGATTAAAAGTGCTGGTACTGGATCGGAGGTTATAAGAGGTGGGAAAAGCTGGGGAGAGCAGTCTGCTCAGGGACAGTGGGAGCTTCCCAGAAAAGCTCTTAAACACAAGGCTGGAAAGATGAAGGGTGCATCCTGATTCCAGCGACAACCAGTTTAGTTCTTATAGCATGTGTAGATATTGATTTACTTTCAGCCCAGCCACAACGAGCACCCTTAAAGCAGTATGCAGATTTCAATACTAGTAATAATTAAGAGAAGTTTTTCAGACTTTTCTCAGTCTTTTATGTGTGTTATTTTTTTTTTCCCCATGTAATTTTCCTTTATATATCTTACAATACCTTTCCCTTTCTTTCTTTCTTTCTTTCCTTCCTTCTCCTTTTCGCCTCTTTGGCATAAAAGGACCCTAAAGGCACCCAGACCCCTTCAGCTTAATGAAGTGGTCTGGGTGCCAGGTCCATCTAGGGTTAACCCTGCCTGCTACCCCCCTCCCCCCCTTTAGCCATGTATAGGTGCTAGATTACTGCTCTCTTATCCGTACAGAGCATCCATAAAACACTATGAAGTTCTAGTGCAATGTTTAGGCTATATGAAGCAATCCACAAAAACACTATAAATTAACTATTTTTCCTTTTCTTTTCCCCTTTTTTCTCCTTCCCCTTTTTCCCCCTCTCTGTGGCACAATAGAAGGGAAAGTGTCTGTTTCTATGTAACCTCAGAGATACTCAGTGGGTATAATAGTTGCAAGCCCAACCTAATACTTAAACCACTAAATATTTCACAGCCGGGTCCAAGAAATTAATACATACGACCCCTTGCATTCATCAGAGACAAAATCCTCCTTACAGTTTAGGCTCTTGCATCAGTATTAGCAGTAAAAGGTTCACAGCCCTCCTTCTTATTCTATCGGCTCAGTATGCACGTGTACTCCGGTTGAAGTAGAAGTGCCGGCACAATTACTTCATAGATGTTCCCCTTCAGATAATTGTTTCATGCTTAGACTCTCTAAGTGACTTAGCGGTATCAGTCAGCATAACCCAATACTTTCTGCTAAGTGTATTCCAGCTGGCGTCCGTGGCATTCTCCTTCCATCTTCTCCTCTCCTGCTCCTAAAGCCGCAAGCGTAGCATGCGTGCTATGTCATCGCTCCACCCTCCCCCCCTTCTACATATTTGATATTACTATTAAATGCACTGGGAAATAAGATTGCAAACCCTCTTTTATTTTATTTTACAAGGCCAAGATAATTAAATTTCAGTGCGTCTCTTGGAGACAGTAAATATCTCAATCAGCAATATATTGTTCTTCAATTCTTTCTATGTCGTATTTGTTAAGTCAGTTTTCCTCAATCCAAGTCCTTAATTTTTCCTGAGTGTCAAATAATAGCTTTATATGGTCATGTGTGAAAATTATCTTAAAGGACCACTCTAGGCACCCAGACCACTTCAGCTTAATGAAGTGGTCTGGGTGCCAGGTCCTTCTAGGATTAACCCTTTTTTTTTTTTATATAAACATAGCAGTTTCAAAGAAACTGCTATGTTTATAAATGGGTTAATCCAGCCTCTAAAGCCTCCAGTGGCTGTCTCATGGACAGCCGCTAGAGGCATTTGCGTGCTTCTCACTGTGAAAATCACAGTGAGAAGACGCCAGCATTGTAAATGCTTTCCTATGAGACCGGCTGAATGCGCGCGCAGCTCCTTCCACGCATGCGCATTCAGCCGTAGAGGAGGATTGGAGACGGAGGAGGAGGAGAGCTCCCCGCCCGGCGCTGGAAAAAAGGTAAGTTTAACCCCTTTCCTTGCTATCCAGCCCGGCGGGAGTGTGATCCTGAGGGTGGGGGCACCCTCAGACCACTATAGTGCCAGGAAAACGAGTATGTTTTCCTGGCACTATAGTGGTCCTTTAACTGGAAATCCCCATCTGTATTTAATGTCCTTTTTTCTGAGAATTGCTGTTAAAGATGCAAATGTGCGTCTTTCAGATCTGGTAAAAAAAGGATAGATCAAGTAGAATTCTTATTTCTTTATATGGGTCTGATAGTGAAACATCTTTCATGGCTTTTACGATGTTGTATTTCATTCGTGAGGTTATACTTGAATTAATACATCTCATGGTGGTTCTTGCGCCGAGTTAGGGAATCTTCTCGTCCTATGAATTCTATCCCATATTTGGGGATGATCCTCTTGAGTAATGGCTAGTTTGACAAAAAAGTTGTTTTAAAAAAAAAAAAACGACTCTAGATGGGGAGGCGTGTCCTGGACCTGATCCTGAGAAGTCGCATGCACTGCTAGCTCTGCAGAGAATTGACCCTCCCGCAGCACACAGAATCGACCGAACAGGTTCAGACAGCTACCCTGAACATGTCCCAGCACAAAAGCAAGAGAGATGCGGACAGGCACGAAAAAAATAAAAAATTGTCGGGGCAAAAAACGAGCCAAAACAAAGGTTCCACGCACCGGGAGGAAATCCAAGATGGCGCCGATACGGACACAGACACAGCCTTGGAGCTATAGTTCCCGGATGCAGCGCTTACTACGGAGGGGCTACAATCCATGTTTTATGGCATGACAACCAAACTCCAGACTACCCTGCAAAAATCTTTCCAAGACTTAAGGCGAGATTTAGAAGACTTGGGTGACCTCACGTCTGCAGTGAAAAACAAAATGGTGGAACAGGTGGAGGTCCACAATAATTACCCCACTAAACATTCTCCGTGAGGGTAAGATCAGGGTACTTAAAACTCCGCACACTACACACTGTCACGGTTCTGACACCCACACGGTCAGACGTGGTCGCCCCAGAAGTGCCCAACAGAGGATTTGAACCTGGGTACTTTGTGGTTCTGGACCTGCTATCTACCTTTAAACCACAGTAGTTCCTAATCCTTGGAAATATTTCTAGTCCTGTTCATCCTTGCTTTTCTGCAACACTGGGGACTGGACTTAGCCTATTGCAGTGCTTGACCTGACTCTGATCAGTCATCAGCAGGGTATATAAACACAGCCTCGCCCTGTGAACTTTATCAAGTCTTTGATCCTATTGGTGTGTTCAGTTCCTGTGTTCCAGTCTCTTGATCTTCAACTCCATATTGCCCCTGGCTTCTGACTTTGTTAATCCTGACCTCTGGCATCCTTTGACTTCGGCTATCCCTAGACTATCCTGCTGTTTATGTCCTTGTCGGTACTGCATTGAAATCCTTTCCTGCACAGCCCCCGTGCACAGATTCACAGTCCAGGTGGCTTCTTATCTGGTCACCTTGGACTGTATCTATCTGCAAGGTTGAGCAAACATATCTGCACTAGACTCCCATCTCAGGTAAGATCCCTGACACACACCTGGGGACTTTCTATGCCTGAGACCACAAGCAACAACACCAGACCCAAGAGAGAGTCACTGGAATGGAAGAAGGCCTGCAAATAGAGGACCTATATACACTTTGCAGTCAACGATGCTCACTGCGGAGAATGCCAGACACCGCAAGTATACACACTTTGGAGATTCTTTTCTGTAGTCTAGCCCAGGGACACTCTTATGGAAAAGTTTTAAAAAAAAAAAAGAAAAAAAAATGTTCACTTAGGTAGAATAGGGTCTTTTAGATATAAAACTTTGCAAACCTTGCACTGAGGGCCGACAAAGCGGATGCTTCTCAGGGATGGATGTTTATAGCTTCCACCCCCACGGCGCCTTGAGGTGGTGCCTAGCCAATGCAAAGGCTTGCTTGAAGTTATTTCACGGTTATATAACTGTTTTCATTGTATTCTGTTTTGTTTTGGAGGGTATGCATGTATTATGTACAGCATTAGGGGGCATTGAGACAAGGCAACCAGGTCACAGATTTAACCTTTGAGATATACAATATTGGGGCACTGCCCCTAGACAAATCAGCGCTGGTAACGCTGAGCACACTTAACATCAAGGGAAGTGCAGAGGGGACCCAGAAGGAGGAGGTCGCCTGGCTTGATAGAGCTGGGAAAGGCGACAGCCCCACATGAGACGTTAACATGACAGTTATATATTCGTTTTTTCTCAACCCCCATGAAAATTTACAGCCATAATGTAAGGGGATTAAATATCTCAGTGCAGAGACATCAATCAGGGAAAGATCTAAAAACCCATGATATAGACATGGTCTGCCTGCAGGAAACCCACTTTAAAAAGGACGCACACCCAACTATATTGACAAACACGCACCCACACCAGTTCCATTCCACAACACAAAGTAAATTATTATTATGTTATTATTTATATAGAGACAACAAATTCCACAGCGCTTTGGGGAATCTAAGGGAGGTTCATTTCCTGTTCGTAGACACATATCATTTGAATTATGCACAAATGATATAGATGAAAACGGCAGATATGTCATATTTGTTGGAAAATGTAATACTATATACAGTTGTGAATGTCTACGCACCTAATATGGAACAGCCACATTTTATACACAAAGTCAGCCTTAAAGTACAAAAAAATTCAACAAGGCATCACCATTTGATGTGGGGATTTTAATCATGTGTTAGACATAGCCCTTGACACCACCCTGTCACCGCACAGCCCAAGGTCCAGAGACAACGCAGAGCCATGGTGAAATTACTTACACTACACCACTATTTCGACGCCTAGCGAGTGTCTCATGTCACGGACAGAGAATACACTTATTTCTCCCACATCACAACACGTACTTGAGGATTGATAGATTCCTGGTGAAGGGCTCTGATTTAGACCAAGTGTTCGAAAGTAGAGTGGGACAAATATTGTGGTCAGATCATGCACCGGTCACTCTAACCCTAAAAGACATGTACGACTTCAAAAATCGTAGCCCTTGGAGACTAAAACAAGTCTATTTTAAGAGATCCTAACTTCTCCCGACAACTCTCAGTAGACATTCAAAATTACTAACATCACCCCTGACGTGCAGCAACACACCAACTGGCAGGCACACAAATCAGTCAACAGAGGCGTCCTTATAAAAAGAGCCTTGCACCTCCACAAACAGGCAAAGAAGCAGTTGCTGCAGTGGCAGCGGGAGCTCTACACACTAAATTCACAAAACCAAATCAGCCCAACATCGCTTCTGAGGTGTTAGGATTACTAGTTGATCCAGCACGCAGAACTATAATCCCACCTAGGACTAAAGGTAACATCATAGCGGGCCTTAGAATGCCTGGACTTAACGTAATAGAGAATAGTCTGAATACTTGCCGAGGTCGGGGACACAGAATGAGACGCAACGATGAGGGAAAGCCAAAAAAGTCAAGGATACCAGAATACAGGGAAGTCAAAACGAAGCCAAAGTCAATAACCAGAAATAAACGCTCAGGAACACACTCTCGGACAACCACTAAGGGAAACCACGACAGGGCAATGAGAGAAGGCAAGAAAGGAGTTTAAATAAGTAGCCTTTAAATCTGATTGGCCGTATCCGTTGACATAGTCAATATCGTGGACGGACGTGGGGCTACAAATTGGTATGGATCCGCAGCAGCTGGCATCTTTCAGCATGCCGCAGGAGCCAAATACACTGGCACAGGGCCGCCGACTAGCATCTCTACCAGTGCCAGAAAGGCAGCTTTCCTCACGGACACCACAAGGTGAGGACGAACATGTGACATGAGGGAACAAATCGCACAAATTATAAGATTAAAGGGACTCTCCAGTGCCAGGAAAACAATCCATTTTCCTGGCACTGCAGGTCCCCCTCCCACCTCCCAATCTCCGGTTGCTGAAGGGGTGAAAACTCCTTCAGTCGCTTACCTGAGACCCCCGCCGATGTCCCTACCGAGGCTTATCCCCCCCAACAGCAAACATCCCTAACAGCACCCATCTCAGTAAAAGTCAGATCTACAATTCAGTCCCTCCAATTTGGCAGAGCGCCCAGCTTCACTAAAGACTACTACAAACAATTACAAGACATTCTAGCCCCACAAATGATGCAGGTCTTTAACGAGGCTCTCTCGAAACAACAGCTACCTCCAGAAATCTTGCTGGCACACATTGTTACCCTTCCCAAACCAGGCAAGCCACCAACCTCCCCTCAAAACTTTAGGCCGATATACCTACTTAATTTTTGCCATGCATTATTCATGACGATTAGGTGGGCTTTGTGAAGGGTTGACAGTGGTCAGATAATCCTCAGGTGCTGAGTATCTTACAAAGCCTGAAAAAAAAGATCGGGGAAACGTGGACTTTTTCCTCTCACTCGATGCAGAGAAAGCCTTCGATCGGTTAAATTGGAGCTTTCTAGAAGATACCGTGTGCAAATTTGGAATACCGGAAGCACTTTATTCCCGACCAGCGGACCAGGTGCCAAACGCAGGATTTTTATCAGACAAATTTTCCATCACCAACGGGACCCAGCAGGAGTGCCCCTTGTCGCCAATGTTGTATGTGCTGGAGCCATTGGCGGCAATGATAAGAGAAAACCTCATCCATTCACGGAATATAGATTGGCGGCAGGATGTATTAGGCAAATTTGTTCACAGTGACATCCTGTTGATCCTGATCCAGCCCTGCATCACACTCTCAATCTAATGCACTTAATTTCGGAATACGGAAACCTTTATTATAAATTGAACGTGATTAAGACACAAGCACTAGGGGTCGGTATTGACCATGGCACTATAGACTACCTGAAACAGGCTTTCCCACTTTGACTGGAGACAAGATTAGATCACATTCCTAGGCATACGAATTACAAAAACAGAACATAATTTATTTACACAAAACTACACTAGACTTCCACAAGAGTTTGTACAAACCTTCCAAGCATGGGAGGGGGACTTCTTATCCAGGCAGGGGAGGGTTGCGGTATTTAAAATGTCGTTGCTTCCTAAACTTCTATACCCACTGCGAACCATGCAGATCCTGTTACTCAAACACTATTTCACCAACTTGTAATTTGGGTGTAATTGACTTTAGGTAATTCCAAAGCCTTAAATAAGACCACTACTCAGATGGTACTCAGTACTGGTAATGGTACTCAGAAGACCATTTAAAAAGGGACTTTCTTTTTTGTATATATTTTTTTTTCTGTTTTTTTAAGGCTGCAAGCCTGTTGTATACTGCATATTTCTTCCTGAGTTTTTCTTATTTTTTTCAATTTTCTTTTTTCAGCTTTTTTCTTATTTAAAGGGTCACTATAGTGCCAGGAAAATATACTTTCCTGGCACTATAGTGCCCTGAGGGTGCCCCCACCCGCCATGGTTGAATGGAAAGGAAGGGGTTAAACTTAAACTTACTTCTCTAGCGCCGGGCGGGGAGCTCTCCTCCTTCTCTCCGCCTCCACTTCAGCTGAATGCGCATGTGCGGCAGGAGCTGCGTGCACATTCAGCCAGTCCATAGGAAAGCATTCACAATGCTTTCCTATGGACGCTGGCGTCTTCTCACTGTGAAAATCACAGTGAGAAGCGCGGAAGCCCTCTAGCGGCTGTCAATGAGACAGCCACTAGAGGCTGAATTAACCCATTTATAAACATAGCAGTTTCTCTGAAACTGCTATGTTTATAAAAATAAATAAATTTAAAAAAAGGGTTAACCCTAGCTGGACCTGGCACCCAGACCACTTCATTAAGGCCTTGGAATTACCTAAAGTAAATTAAAGCAAATTACACCCACAGTATTATTCAACAATATAATAACACTATTAATGCTATTACAATAACTTCCTTTAATGTGGTCAGGATTCAGGACCTTTTTTTTTCCCATTTAGTCTAATTAAGAATTTTTTTTTGATTGTTATATATAATCTGGATTATGCCTTTGATTTTGTACATAATAAGAATTCAGTAAGATCCCTGACACACACCTGGGGACTTTCTATGCCTGAGACCACAAGCAACAACACCAGACTCAAGAGATAGTCACTGGAATGGAAGAAGGCCTGCAAATAGAGGACCTATATACACTTTGCAGTCAACGATGCTCACTGCGGAGAATGCCAGACACCGCAAGTATACACACTTTGGAGATTCTTTTCTGTAGTCTAGCCCAGGGACACTCTTATGGAAAAGTTTACAAAAAAAATAAAAAAAAATGTTCACTTAGGTAGAATAGGGTCTTTTAGATGTAAAACTTTGCAAACCTTGCACTGAGGGCCGATAAAGCGGATGCTTCTCAGGGATGGATGCTTATAGCTTCCACCCCCACGGCGCCTTGAGGTGGTGCCTAGCCAATGCAAAGGCTTGCTTGAAGTTATTAGCTTGAAGTTATTAGTGAGAAGCGCGGAAGCCCTCTAGCGGCTGTCAATGAGACAGCCACTAGAGGCTGAATTAACCCATTTATAAACATAGCAGTTTCTCTGAAACTGCTATGTTTATATAAAAAAAAAAAGTTAACCCTAGCTGGACCTGGCACCCAGACCACTTCATTAAGGCCTTGGAATTACCTAAAGTAAATTAAAGCAAATTACACCCACAGTATTATTCAACAATATAATAACACTATTAATGCTATTACAATAACTTCCTTTAATGTGGTCAGGATTCAGGACCTTTTTTTTTCCCCATTTAGTCTAATTAAGAATTCTTTTTTTGATTGTTATATATAATCTGGATTATGCCTTTGATTTTGTACATAATAAGAATTCAGTTATTTTCTATTCATAAGTGTATGAAGTGATGCACTATGAATTGCCACTGATCTTATATATATAATATGAATTTTATTAAAGACCCGGATGCTCCTATTATTATGCTGCAATCTTTCTTTAATTCGCTCAGCAGCAAAGAAACATTATTTGAAAAAAGTTAACATTTGAACAGGTATAAACATCACAATGGTAATGTCCGCCTAGCTACATGACCCTCCAATCAGTGACATCCTTCTCCTATAGTAGGCGGAGCATCAATGACCATTTCCTCTTTCTTTGCTGCTTCCCTAAATTAAGTACACCTCTATTATGATTGTATTATATGTTATTTGTCTCTGATTATACCATGTTTATTTAACCTAAATCAGTTACTGTGTGGTACCTTTAAATGTTCGTCCTTATTGATGTGGTACCTTGATAGTTTCACTTAATTCTGTACTGCTTAATTAATATTGTGACAGGAATTCCTGCATTCCACATTTATAGTCCATTCAATATTTTCAGTGCTTTGTTAGTTTGCCTGTTTCTGTTCCGGCCAATGCGCTTCTCACGGGGGATCGGGCTCCCGTTCAGCCGCGCATGCACGTCTTGTCGGAGACGCCCAGCGGCCATCTTTCAGTCCGGCTTTCGCGTGCATTCGGACTTGATTCCGATCGCGCGTTCAGCTGTTGCTGAGCTTTCTGGCATGCTTGTTGTGCTGATGCTCACTGCGGTCACCTCGCTCTCCCTTGCGCTTTGATTTTTACCATGGCGGCCATCTTCTGATGTCCGTTATTTCCGCGGCAGCCATTTTCTTCAAGCCCTTCCCGCCCTTTTTCCTCTGATACGCCCACTCCGTCCTCTGGTCGGAGTTGGTGTCCAGATTTAGTGGCGGACGGTTATCTATTCTATAATCTCCCCCCATTTAGTGGCTGTGAGTACTTGATTTGTCATAAACGCTTTATTTCTGCATTTACTATAGGCAATTATTTTCTGGGTTACTAAACCCAGTTCATCTGTATTTCTTTTTAATAAAATATCACTGCTTTACTACCATTACTCTCTGCATTAGTACGCAGTCACCCAATGAATTACCTGGGCCATCTGGGGCTCAATCTAACCCCCAAACTTCCCTAATTTGCCTCATATGTTTGTTGGGGACGAGGCTGACTTTCCAGCATCTGAGGAAATTCAGGCAATTATGGACACTACTGTGTCAAAAGCTTTGGCATCTGCAATTGACATTGTGTCCTCATCTATATCAAAATCCTTTGCACAGGCGATATTACAAGCCCAATCTACGGTCCCTCCGGCAGCTATGACAGCCGCGATACCCACGGTCTCTCATCCTACACACCCTCGGCTAAAATAAAGCACACATCCAAAAAACAGATGGACAGTTCTAAACCTGTCACAGATGGCGCGCATAATGATCCACTGCGCAAGAGAGCCCAACCAGATTACACGGAGTCTGAACTCAGTTCAGAGGAGGAGAGTGCATTTTCATTAGAATCAAACCAGTCAAATGATTTATCTGACTTAGAATCAGAATCAGACTACGATTTGGTGGGGATTTAAAATCTCTGCCAACTTACATACCACAGGCGCATCTAACTCGGATGCAAATAAAGAGGACAAAATATTCGACCCACAGGGCGAACTCTTATTTGCACCTAATGACTTACGCCACCCCCGCTCAGCGGAATGGTCACAAGCTGAACCTGTGGCACAATATGTCGCATCCCGGGTCCGCAAGCCTCTAGATAAGGCAGCCCGAAATTAACTAAGGGGAGAATGCCCACACCCCACTGCACCTGACGAGGTCTGCAAGACCCCCCAAACTGACCCCAAAATTATCCAGTTCCTAAGCAAAACTGGATGGAAGCTTAAGAAGGGCTTAGATTTCTCACTATACAACTGCCAAGACAAGGTACTAGATATCCTGGGACCAGCAACCAAAATATTTGAAGTTGTGGAAGAATCCTTGGCCCAAGATGAGGTCCTAGACCAACTCACGATTAGGGGCTGGATCCAAAGAGTAATATGCCTCATTGGCAATGCTAATACTGCTTTTGCCACAGAGCGCCGTAAATCAATCCTATTAAAAATAGCACTTAAGCTCATTAACATGGCAATTACAGAGCCAGGCCCTCAAGCCAGGTTTCCTCTTTGGAGATTCATTTGTCAAAGACCTGGACGCATATGTCCAAACATTTACTACCTTGGACAAGGCACATTTACACATGAAAAGGGTGTTCCACCCAAAGGATTTTTCTGGGGCCGGCAGAGCAAGGGGCCGTCTGTCTGGCAGATTTCATAGAGGTTCACGCCAAACGAACCGAGGCTCCTAAATGGGGAGAACCCCCTTTCCAGAACAGAGGTCCACTCCGACCTTCTTTTTCCAAAGAGGCAGACCATAGTTGTCGAGAGGCTCACGAGGCGCTCCTTCCGGAAGACGTCCTTACGTTAAGCTACCTACCTCGTTTTTCTACTCATATCACAGTTGGGGGCAGACACACATTTTTCCCATGTCTGGGCTCTCATTACATCAGATGCCTGGATACTCAGTGCAGTCCACGGATACCTCATAGACTTTTTATCCCTACCTATCCAGCAATCCCCACCCAGAGATTGCTTTTTCCCAGTCAGATACTACCCTCGTCTCCGAGGAAATACAAGAGTTAGCACTCAAAAGGGCTATTCTAGAAATACCGATACATGCCCCAGGTTTTGTGAGCAACCTGTTTATTGTCCTCAAAAAAGGGTGGCGGAACCCGCCCAGTCATCAATCTCAAGCAACTAAATTCCTATGCAAGCTACCACCATTTCAAAATGGAAGGCATTCATTGCCTACGAGATTTGCTCCAACCATCAGACTGGATGGTAAAACTCGATCTAACAGTGCCAATTGCGGAGGCCTATCAGGATTTCCTGCAATTCACATGGCAAGGAAGGAAATGGCGGTTCCACTGCCTTCCCTTCGGTCTCTCTTCCGGGCCTTGGTGCTTCACCAAGCTCATGAAGCCAGTTATCGCGCTTCTGCGCAGTCGGGGGATTTGTCTAATCATTTACTTAGACGACATCCTACTGCTATCCCAATCGGTGCCCCTACTTCATAATCACCTCGATTGGACCACAACCTTACTACAGAACCTGGGCTTCATTATCAACTGGGAAAAATCCTTACTAGTTCCATCACAGCAAATAGAGTTTCTAGGCCTCCTAGTGGATTCGGTAATGCAAACCCTATTATTACCTACCTCCAAAATGAGGAATATCAAAAAAGAGATAAGGCGTGTTCTGGCCTCCCCTCAATTATCTCTCAAGCACCTGGCCCGTGTCATTGGGCTCCTGGCTGCCTCCATACAGGCCATATTTCCAGGCCCCCTTCACTACAGAGCCCTCCAACGCCTACAGGTGTCATATCTCAGGAGCGGTGCCTCATACGAGGATTCCCTAACACTAGATGCAGAAGCAAAGGAAGAACTCCACTGGTGGCTCCTACATATGGAGGCGTGGAATGGCAAAACCATTTTCGATTCGGCTCCAGATGCAGTCATAGAGTCAGACGCGAGCTCTTACGGGTGGGGAGCTCGTTGCGGAGATGTCTCCACAGGCGGGCGATGGTTGGAATTGGAATCCACCTTGCATATAAATTGCTTAGAACTCCTGGTGGGGTCCTTTGCGATTCGCAGCCTATCCCCGACCCTTTCCCAGTGCTCAATTCTGTTGAAGATGGACAACATCTCGGCTGTCCGTTATATAAACTGTTTGGGGGGTATGAGTTCCAAAGTCATTGCAAATCTGGTTTGAGACTTCTGGCAATTTTGCCTTCAACTCAACATTGCTGTCAGAGCAGAATATCTACCAGGGTTGTCCAACACTACAGTGGATTGGTATTCCCGCCATCTGCGGGATTCCAGCAACTGGCAGCTCGATCCCCAAACCTTCCAGTACATCTGGGACCTATGGGGTCCTCTAGCAATAGCAGTTTGCCTCTCGCTTGAATACCCAACTTCCAAACTTTTTCAGTTGGAGGCCAGACCCAAAAGCTTTGGCTATGAATGCATTCTCCCAAGACTGGTCCACCACCAGGAACTATGCATTCCCTCCATTCACCCTTATCCCTCGTTGCCTGCTTCGCCTGCACTGCCACTTGGGTTGCCTAGTGATAATAACCCCCCTCTGGCCGTCACAACCCTGGTTCCCGACGTTACTAGAGTTGGTTATAGATCGCCCAAGACTGCTCCCGGACTCCCACTCCCTCTTGCGGGACCCCGACGGGAGCCCCCACTCCCTCACGGCATGGCTAATTTCCGGGGACCCTGGGCAATCGAGGAACTTTCGCAATCGACTCTTCGACTTATTGAGGGCGCCCGGCACGAGACAGTCTTACAAGTCTGCTCGGTGCAGATGGGATGATTGGTGCATGGCAAGGGGTGTGGATCCCCTATCAACTCCTGTGACGACTGTCCTCCAATTATTAACCTTCCTATATGAGAATAGGAAAGCTTATCGGACGGTTAACCTCTACCGCTCAGCGATTTCAGCTGGCCACACCAGCATTGACGGTACCCCGGTGGGACGACACCCACTTGTCTGTCACCTCCTCCGCCGGCATCCACTTTGCAAGGCCACCTTTACCTTGTTACTCATCCTTATGGGACGTCTTCCTTGTATTGAATTTCCTGGCTATGTGGCCAGACAACGAGGCTTTATCCCTGAAGCAACTCTCGGCTAAACTGGTCATGCTGTTGTGCCTAATCTCATGTAAAAGGAGTATCAGACGTTAGACCACTCGATGTCAATGCCCGCTCCTTCTCCCCAGACGGAGTAGTTTTTGACATCTCGCGGAGGACAAAATCATCCTCCCGGTCGGTCCAATATCCGGCTTTCCCCACAAAGCCGCTCCTCTGCTCGGTAGCGTGTCTCAGGGTGTACGAAGCTCTTACCGCAACCCTACGGACTGGTTCGGACCCCTAGCTCTTTATCTCCTTTCACAAACCACATGCTCCGGTATCCTCTCCTACCCTGGCCCGCTGGGTCAAGTGGCTCATGTGCTTGGCAGGCATTGATACCTCCATTTTATCTCCTCATTCAGTTTGCGGTGCCATGGCCTCCAAAGCTTCCGTTGTTGGTTGTCGTTTTGGGGAAATTTTGAAAGCAGCTGATTGGTCCACGAAATATACTTTCCATAAACTTCTATTTCAAACCAATCCAGTATTTCGCAAAAGACGTGATATCACAGCTTTGAAATAGCATAATAGGAGCCTCCGGGTCTTTAATAAAATTCAAGGATTTTACTATTATAATGATGGAAAGTCATGATTTTATTAAAGACACAGAGGCAAGTATTATCCCACCCACCCTTGAACGGCTTGGATGTGGGTTAAGGTAAGTTATAGACCTCCCCATGGTAAGTTCAATTTCACGCTACTGATGCCATCACATACCTACGTGGCTCTAGGGCAGTATTTAATGATGGACTTTTTTGTCACTGTTATCTTCAGGCTGGTAGTTTCCTCATACTACATTTATTACCAATGTTTAATCAGACAATCAGTCCTCTATATATGCTGGCAACCCTCTATTTCTGGACATTACAATATTTTCCTGTTTCTTTTAGCGTGACTTGGTTAAAAGAAGTCTCTGAAGCACAAGCACAGTTCCGGTTTTTTTCTTTATCCGTTTCTTGTTCAGAGTTGAATTATTCTTCGGGATTCACAAGAAAGAGGAAATGGTCATTGATGCTCCGCCTACTATAGAAGAAGGATGTCACTGATTGAAGGTTCATGTTGCTAGGCGGACATTACCATTGTGATGTTTATACCTGTTCAAATGTTAACTTTTTTCAAATAATGTTTCTTTGCTGCAGCATAATCATAGGAGCCTCTGTGTCTAATCAAATCATGACTTTGAGTTTGAGTGCCAACATACATATAGGTTTATTAATTGTTGTTGTAAAGCAGATTGATTATCTTCTTCTGCTGGAACTATTTCCTCTTTTCTTGTCTCCTCTATTTCTGGTGGTATGTTCTCTTCTGGATCATTTACTAAAGATCTCTCCATATCTGTGTTAGTGGTATGTGGTGAAAAGAAGAAGAATCGCTTTTCAATTTTAGCCTCTTTTTTTCCTATTTTGTCGAGGGAGGACTGTCTGAGCTGTCAGATAGTCCCCCAGTGGAGAAAGACTGATCGCCTGCAGGTGAATATTATTTTTTTTTTATAATTGTATTCTTCACCGAGTGCCTCGACCCCTCGAGATACTCAGCACAGGCAGAGCATCAGAAGCCTGTCTGATGGCTTCCGATGGTCTGCCTTACTGCCGGGCGCCACGCGGAGCAACCCACTCTGGGAGAGCCATCACGCGGCAGCGACGGGGGTATTGCAGTATGCCTCGACTTTGAGGCATCGCTGCAATACCATCAGAGTGGCTGGAAGCGATCATGATCGTTTCCAGCGCTCTAATTCGCCACGGACGTATCAGGTACTTCTGAGGTCATTAACAAACGTTTTTTTATCGGACGTACGTGATATGTCTGAGGTCCTAAAAGGGTTAAGCAGCAGGCAGACTTTTTTGTGCTTTATGCATGGATATATTTTTACTTACTTTTTAGTTTCTTTTAGACTGCAAGTTTGTTGTGTCATTAAGTATATTTCGATTAGACTTATTGAGCTATAGTTTAGCTTATCAAGTATGAAGTATTTTTACTGATATTCAAACTCACTGCCTCCTATACCGACCTCCCTTCAATTTGGGACAGTTGTCTTTTTTTCCAGCGTGCTGTATTCTGTCTGGTGTAGGGCTGATTGATGTCCGGGCTGTAAAAAGCGGTCGCATTGCACACGGTCCCGCAGTTCTAGGATACACCACCGCCTCTGCCTATGGTCTCTGCCAGCTCCTCACTTGAACGCTGTCTTTTCCACGGCACGCAGGTCTATCACTATCACTCTCTGCACAATGCTTGCCTGTCTTTGCGCCCAGCTCTACCTCCCCCCTCTCACAGCGTGCGTCTACATCATCATGCTGCTTTAAAAAAACAAAAACAAAAAAAAAAATGTATCAAGCTTAAAGAGTAACTGTGCCAGTAGTCACCATCACTGGGAGCAGAATGACACTTTACAAAAGGTTCCTAAATTGTTATTTATGTCCAAGTCACCCTGTGCCCATTATAGGTGCAGGATGTATGCAACGCATTTGTTTATTGTTAAATGCTTTGTGTGTTCTCCTGTCTTGCTGAAGTTTGCTACCAACTAGGTGGATTTGGCTATAAAGCAGTATAGTGCCAACTGTTGGTAGCAACAGCTATATGCACTACCTGAATACTTGTTAATTTGTTTATTCAAGCATATTTGCATATTGCTAATTCTGCAGGCAGAAGAGATATTTTGTGTTATTTATGGTTTCCCCACCCCTTTATAAAATCTGTCATTATGTTATTATAAGGTCATATATGTTGTCTGATAGGATTTGTTTTTGTATTTTATTGAAGTTGTCACAGCGATCTAAATGTAACGAGAATATGGGCTAGTCCTAAATAAAATAAAGCTGAGTTCCTTTTGATTTTTAGGGATTCCAGTAAGTTGTTGTAAATGCTGGCTGGCTGCAGGATTCCTCTAGCCCATGGAAATCCAGGCCTGAGGGCGGCAAGTGTTCTATAATGTCAAGAGCTGATCACAGTACAAGCAAATGTGTGGATACCTGACTGGGAAAAAGGACCTGGAAGAAAAAGCTGCAGAGGAGGAGGCAGAGGGGACAATAACTGCATGGAAGGAAAGAGCTCCAGAGTGTTCTCAGTCAGGCTTTGGCGACTGGGGCTGACCTGTTCCAGGATCCCGGCAAGCGTCTAGGAAGTGGATTGAGTAGAGGTGCTCAGTTGGAGTACATGAGCTCTGTCACATTTGGGATGGCTTTCTAGCAACTGTGGAAATGTTCCTGGACACCGGCGCGTCTTCTGGGAATTTGTGCAGATGTAGCAAGCTAGCACCCATGCAGCGTCCCCATAAGAGGAGTTTCAGTGGATGTTACCAGCAGCTCTGTCCCAGGAATGTGGCCCTACCCCGACAGAGTTACATGGACTGAAGGAATGAAATCCAGAAGGAACTCTGGTATGAGGTCTTGTAGGGAGTCCACGTTCAGCTGAGAGTCTCCCAAGCTGAGAGCAGTGCTCTCATGAACAAGTGGTTCTGAGCATGCCTTTCCTGGGAGAGCAGTCCCTGGAGGAGTGAATGATAGAACTCTGGCTCCTGGTAGGGAGGGAACTGTGACTGTAAGAGGCATACCCGTTTGCGGTCCAGCAATACCAATGAATGGCTGATGATGATAGGCTCAAGGTGAGGACTACGATGGACCTGGCCTGTGTGTTTGAGGACATAAAGTTTGGAAGTCCTGCAGCGTTTTGACTCTGGATCATCTGCGGCAACAGGGAAAAACATGCTTGATCTCTTAGGCGCTACCGGGCTGGTACCGGAACTGACACATCTGGCCACCAGCCAGTGGGAGCTGGAACAGGCCTACCGACGACGGTGTGACTCAGTTCAGCAGCAGGCACCTAAAACTGGTGATTTGCTGGACTTTACAACCATGGGAGAGTATCAGCCTGTCATGCGGTAACACTTCCGGGATCGGCACTCCGCTGTGCGGAGCCGGATCCCGCCCCCCTCTGACGCGGCTCTAACAGTATTTAGGGAGACCGCACCAGAGAGAGGGTGCTTGGTGATACTGGGAGCTACTTCCGCCAGACTTACCTCTCCACAGGCTCTGGCAATGTGGGTCCTACTTCCGAATATGCACGCCAGCTCCTGGGACACGCCGGCTCTATAAACTCTGAAGTCATCCTAGCCTTCTGGACTAAGACAAGTATGCTTCAGGTCATAGAGGATTACTGGAGAACGAAAACTCACTTACTTTACTAGTGGACCATAGCCCTAAACTATTGGAGGACTACTCACATTAACCTTAAGTATATCTTTCAGCTATTTGTCTACATTATCATTTAATAATGAACTAATGCTTGCTTACTAAATCTTCACTGCTTCAAGCTACTAATTATATGGAGGACAACTCCCATCATGCTTATTCACTATGAACTGTTTCTTGCTTTGCAAATACACTCAGTGCTTCAAGCTACTAATTATATGGAGGACAACTCCCATCATGCTTATTCACTATGAACTGTTCTTGCTTTGCAAATATTCTTAGCTACTTGCTTAATGTTTCTATTGAAGATTATTCTCATGAACTTAAAGAATGTTACTTAATGCATCTCTGAGGAAATACTTAATAATGAACTTTGTGTTGATTACTTGCACTTCTTCTTATTGGATTATTGCCTAAATGCAATTCATTTAAGTTTAACACTTATTAAAACTTTGTTTGAATCAAGTTACCAGCAATTCTCTCTTTTCTTAAAGCTACAGTATTGATACTTTAAAGATTCTCCGTTTCTTCACAATTGTAATTAGGGAGTTTACAAGCTGCAGTTGAGTTCAAATCCAAATCACTGTAGCGTAACACAGCCTCCCTCCCAGCGACAGTTGGTCCTTCAGGGAGAGGAGAGAATCGTCCCACCTCATCAGTGGCAGAGTGAGTTATTGGGAGCGAAGATGGTCAGTCTCCCTCCCCAGCGGCAATTTGTTCTTCAGTGTTTCCAGCGAAACATGGTTTAATTGAATACCTACATTAGGCCTGCAGCACCTAATGGCAGCACACAAATCCCATGAGCTGTTACTTACTTGGTTGTGGAGAAGACAAAGGTGGCAGCCCCTCTTTTAGTTAAAAGAAAAAGCAGCAACTACCTAAATATACATTTTTGAAAAAGTAATAAAAACTTAAAATAACACTATTTTTTGTATAAATAATGAAACTTTATTGAAAACCAGCAAGTGATAGTTTAGCAAAAATGTTCCTGAATTCAAAAGCCACAGTGGTAATATTTTATGCAACCCTAATGGTACTCACACAGTTAAATAAGCCTGTGTACACCTTGTGCTGAAAAAAAAAAAAAAAAAAAAACCTATCCGCTGTGGTTTATAATCTACCAGTTCCTTACCAGATAATACAGGTTTGTGCAGGTTTTCAACATAAAGGGAATGGTCTCAATAAACTCTGCACACGCCCTGTGTATAAAAGTTAAAAACAGTTCAACTGGCTTTATAAGAAAACAGAGAAGAAGCCAGTTTAATTGCCTGTTACTGGATACGCAGATGGCGTCTGCTAATCTCAGGGATGAGCTAAACTGTTCCATTTGTTTGAGCATTTACGCAGAGCCTGTAACACTGACCTGTGGACATAGCTTCTGCTTGGTCTGCATTAACAAACATTGGGACGAGCAGAAACACAGAGAATACTCTTGCCCTCAGTGCAGAGAGAGATACAAGAGAAGACCTGAACTTAAAAAAAATCTCAGTCTGAGTAACATTGTGGCGTATTTAACATCTGCTCGTCGGCAACCATTGGAGGACAGGCTATACTGCGGCTACTGTAACTCTCCTGTACCCCCTGTCAAAACATATCTTATCAAAGATACCGAAACAAGGGAACGCAGCAAGTCCATGGATCATGTCCCAGTTAAACCAGTGTCTGTTGGCAGAAGAAAATGCATCATACACAAGGAGCTACTAGAGGACCTGTGCTTCAAGTACAATTCTTGTACCTGTGCATACTGCAGGCTTGACAGAGAGCAGAGGTGATACAGCACAATGATGGTTATTTAACAAAGCTGCAAAATGCAAAAAATAAAATGACTTAAAAATTCTAGAAGAAACTCCAAAAAAGTGGAAGAATGATGCAGAGAAATAAGGCTTTGTGTGCATTTGAGACATGGATGCAGAAGAAGCAGGTGTAGCACATTATTTGCCATATCTCTAGATATTAGGAGACATCTGGAAGCCCTACATAAACTAAAAAAGTGTCCTCGAAAAACAGAACAATGACCTAATCCAACAGTCATCTTTCCCAGGAAAAATCCAGCAATGCAACAACTTCCATAGCAGTATCACTGTCCCTACAGTATGTTTACGACCAGTTACTCAACCTGTGCAACCCAATGGTACCTGAGGAATTTTCAAGCCGATTTGCTGAGCAGACTGACTAATCCATTAACTGTTTTATTAAGGAGGGAGATAAACGAATCAATAAATAATAAAACAGATGATAAAATATGTAGCATAGGGGTATGGATGGATGAGAATCTGACCTCAGTGATCTTACATATAATCCTACTAAAGTTAATGGCTTTATGTAATAAGGTATGTTACCATGTTCCATAACTTGGCTACTGGAGATAAATTTTCACCTTTGAGCCAAGTATTCTGGGCAACTATTAAAATATGAATTAATCACCAATGGAGTTCTTCAAACAAAACCTCACAAATATTTCGTAATATAGTTAGGTTAGACAATTGGGCTATGAATACACTATCTTTTTTAAAGAGAGTTATTCAACAATATTCTAAAAGTGGAGCAAACATTTTACCGTTGAAAATACCGCCCAGCCATTGCTCTTTATATGTGTGTGCCCAATTGTTATGATAAACATTAGCTGAGAAACACTTTCCTATAACAGTGTTCCTCACTCTTCCACAAATCAAAGGGTAAATAAATATATCACGTGGAAATATGAACATATTACAAGCCATTGGTTTCACTCAAATGGTTAACTTTTTACAGGTACTGGTCAAAGAAAATTCTAGGATTTTATGCACTAGATGAAAATAGGATTGGTCGGTACCATTATTTCTATAAATGAGCTAACGCAATGCAATCTGGTAGAAATGCAAACTATTTAAAATTATATATTTGTGTGTGATTATGTTCTGTTAATTACTTACAATATAAAAGTTGATTATTTTGGAATTCGTTCAAAGCCTAGTATCTGTTCCTGTTTTTTTTTTTTTTTTTTTTTAATTTATGGACCTTTTCCTACAGTTTTGTTATTTGACTTTCGAAGCCCTATAATATTTGTCCTATAGTAAAATAATAATGGGGGGAGACACACACACACACACACGTTGAAGTGCACTCGCAGGACTCAGTAGTATTTCTAATCGTGCTTATTTATTGAAGCATCAAATATTACAAAATAAATGTCGACGTTTCAGTCCTATCTGGACTTTTTTCAAGACAATTTGATGTTGTGAGGAAATTCATTACATACCCTGTAGTATAACATGATTGGAGGGTGAGAAGTGAACGAGGTTCAATCAAGTAATAAATGACATATGGAATGTGAAAAAAAGAAGAAATCTTAAGTGAGGCAATTACCAACCCTCACTGAAGTGAATAATTAAGTGGGTGGTAGTGCTGCGACATAATGTCTATATACAAATAATTAGAAATTTACAACTATATACAAAAATTGTAACATATTCCACATAGAGAATATGCAAGGAATCAATTACCTTGAAATATTGAGCACTACTCCTATGTGCTTTTCAGTATCAGTTATATTCATCTGAATTTATCAATATCAAGGCAATTGATTTCTCTGCATTACTAACATGGAAAAATTGTACTCATAATGCGTTTACACATTTGCTGAATTGTGTCTATGTTCAAAAATTAAACAGTTCTTGTATAACACATTTGTTGTTATGATCCACAGATTTATTCAACCAAATGAATCATAAGTCAAAGGAATACCAATAGCTCGACATAATTACTACTAAACTGACAGAGGGGGGTGATCACCTAAAAATTGCATCTTCAGATCATGTCCCACCTTTGCGTTTACACATTTGCTAAACATAGGAGTAGTGCTCAATAGTTCACGGTAATTGATTCCTTGCATATTCTCTGTGTGGAATATGTTACAATTTTTGTATATAGTTGTAAATATGTAATTATTTGTATATAGACATTATGTCTCAGCACTACCACCCACTTAATTATTCACTTCAGTGAGGGTTGGTAATTGCCTCACTTAAGATTTCTTCCTTTTTTTCACATTCCATATGTCATTTATTACTTGATTGAACCTCGTTTTCACTTCTCACCCTCCAATCATGTTATACTACAGGGTATGTAATGAATTTCCTCACAACATCAAATTGTCTTGAAAAAAGTCCAGATAAGACTGAAACGTAGAATTTTTTTTGTAATAGTTGATGCTTCAATAAATAAGCACGATTAGAAATGCTACGGAGTCCTGCGAGTGCACTTCAACAAGGTTCTATATATTCTGAAGGTTGGAGTTTGCACCCAGGCGTTTACAAGACCGGGAGCAGTGAGTGCAGGACGTGGAAAATTATACATATATACACACACACATACATACATACATATATATACATATATATATATACATATACACACACACACACACACATACATACACACACACACACACACACACACACACACACACACACACTATAAATAATGGCAGTGAGTATTGTAAAGCAAATGTATAGAGATGAAAATAAGTAGTTGTGTGTGTGTATATATATATATATATATATATATATATATATATATATATATATATAAATAAATAAATATAAATAATATTTCAGTGCTACATGCATGACTGAAAAACAGATTTTCTCAACAATAAAATAAAGGTTTTGCATATAATATCACGTAAATCAGGCAGCACTGAGCATTTAAGCTAGACACAAGTATCATTGAGCTGCATGGTCAAAACATTCAGTTGTGGAGAGTATTAGAAGATTAACCCCCCCAAAAAAGAAGCAAAGCCTTGTGAAAACATCTATATGGAAATAACATAGTACAGTTCAGCTGGTTTTGGAGTACTGCTGAGCTGTATAAATGTGGGACATAGAGGGCTGGAAAGGAGGGCAGGGGTCAGTTGCCTCCTGGACCAGTAGAATGGAAGGGCTGGCAAGATGAATGTGGGCTGCAACCCATTCTTCTGAAAGTGTGTTGGAATGTCTGTTGTCACAGTTCTGCAGGAGTAAGCCAACAGGTAGGAGTTGTTCATGGTCTTTGATAGCCTAACACTATGTGGGTCAGTGCATGGGCTGTGCTCTCGATACTATCCAGGCTTGGATTAGCCTGCTGAGACATTCACCAGTGGTCTGAAGTATTGGGTTTGATCAGGCTGCCAGACTAAGATGAGCTTATATAATGTTCCTAAAGGTGTTTGCATGTGACTGCAGGATGAGACTGCATGTGAGTATGAAACCAACTGTGATCTGTGATGTAAAAAAGGCAATTAACTTCTACTTGCCCCCCCAGGCCAAGCATTTCCAGCCTCTCTTTGTAGAGAGAATGATTAGAATGCATCTGGCTGTGCAAATAAAATAACATCTCTGGAAGGAGCTGACATGGACAAAGGATCCAATACTTATATTCATGGGAATCCAAATTATACCAGGCACCTGGAGAAGCAATTAACACACGACACAGATGGTTGTCCAGAATTACTTCCTGCTCGTTTATTCAAAGAAGTATGTTTTTATACACAATATTGTTGCAGTTTACCTTGAAAGTTTAACCCCTTAACGCCGTTCTATGCCATCCCCATTTAAATGGGCTTTAAAGCCGTTGCGGCAGCATAGAATGCCGTAATGGCTTTCAGCCGCAGGAGGTAAAATTTACTTACCTCCGCCGCGATCCTCTTCGAAAGGACTGCCCAGGCAGCCCTCCCCCGGCAAATCAGGCACCTGGGGGCCATGTGATCGCTCTCAAAGAGTGATCACATGGCCCCCTATAGCTGGCTGTGGATCTGCAGCAGGGGGACTGTCTGAAATGTCAGAAAGTCCCCCTGCTGGTGGGAAGTATTAAAAAAAAAATATTAAACATGTTTAAAATAAAATAAGTGTGTAATTAATATATATATATATATATATATATATATATATATATATATATATATATATATATATATATATATATATATATATATAACGTCATACGTAGTGTATTTTAATGTTAATATAAGTACATATATTAGTATTAAAATACACTTAGAATGACGTTACATATATACAACATATATATACATACATACACACACACACACACACACACACACGTATAATTACAATAAATAAAAAATTTAAATTAAAATAAATTATATATACATATGTAATCTCATTCTAACTCTATTTTGTTATTAATATATATTGGTGACAAAATACACTTAGAATGACATTCTATATATATCTATCTATATATAAAATACAAATAACTGCAAATATTTATATATATATATATATATATATATATATATATATATAATATTACATAAATAACTACATAAGTATACACGTAGAATTTAAATACATATATATGTATATATATATTAAAATTCGACGTGTATATTTAAGTAATCTTTTAACATAATTATGTGATTTAATTAATGAAAATTTGATTGACGTGCCTGACAACCCAGGCAGAAAGTGCAGAGAATTTAATTTGCACGCACTATATTTAACCCTGTAACTTTCCAAGACACCATAAAACCTGTACATGGGGGGTACTGTTTTACTCAGGAGACTTCGTTGAACACAAATATTAGTGTTTCGAAATGGTAACTTGTATTACAACGATTATATATTTAGTAAAAGTGAAGTTTTTTGCATTTTTCACACATGAACGTTACTTTTACTGACGATATTATTGTTGTAATATGTTTTACTGTTTTGAAACACTTATGTTTGTGTTCAGTGAAGTCTCCCAAGTATAACAGTACCCCCTATGTACAGGTTTTATGGTGTTTTGGAAAGTAAGAGAGTCAAATATAAGGCTTGCATTTCATTTTTTTCACACTGAAATTTGCCAGATTGGTTACATTGCCTTTGAGACCGTATGGTAGCCTAGGAATGAGAATTACCTCCATGATGGCATACCATTTGCAAAAGTAGACAACCCAAGGTATTAGAAAGAAAAGTATAAGGGGGGTGCACATAAAGTAAAGAGAAAATATATTTATACTTAGTATAAGTAGGACACCTCCTGATTGACCCATAATAAAAACACACATATAGTGTAATACTGTTATATACAGAGCATTGGTCAGTCACAGGTATTGGGTCACTCACAGTATGTAGAGCCACATGAAGCTGGCTCTAACTTTGGTGGCAGATGAATAACAAGCTTATTCTGGCTTTCAGCTTTCCAAGTAGGTCTGCTTCTTTTCCCAGGCTTTCAATAAATTCCAGGACATCCAGTAACAATAAACAAATGGTAACTTTACTGGTTAAAACACAGGAAAAGCTAAACTATAACAAAGTCCACAGCACTAATGCGTTTCGACCTCCAGGTCTTTATCAAAGTGTATCACATCACACTTTGATAAAGACCTGGAGGTCGAAACGCGTTAGTGCTGTGGACTTTGTTATAGTTTAGCTTTTCCTGTATTTTAACCAGTAAAGTTACCATTTGTTTAAGGTTACTGGATGTCCTGGAATTTATTGAAAGGCTCGGAAAAGAAGCAGACCTGCTTGGAAAGCTGAAAGCCAGAATAAGCTTATTATTCATCTGCCACCAAAGTTAGAGCCAGCTTCATGTGGCTCTACATACTGTGAGTGACCCAATACCTGTGACTAACCAATGCTCTGTATATAACAGTATTACACTATATATGTGTTTTTATTATGGGTCAATCAGGAGGTGTCCTACTTATACTAAATATAAATATATTTTCTCTTTACTTTATGTGCACCCCCCTTATACTTTTCTTTCTATCACTTTATATCTGAGTGCCATTTAGTGATTTTGGGCACTGGGGGTAGTTGCATATTCTCTGGCTCTTTAGCGCCAATCCACCATTTTTTGTGTTGTTTCAACCCAAGGTATTGCAAATGGGGTATGTCCAGTCATTTTTAGTAGCCACTTATTCACAAACACTCTCCAAATATTTGTTTTTTTCACACAAAAACAAATATGAACGCTAACTTTGGTCAGTGTTTGTGACTAAGTGGCTTCTAAAAAAGACTGGATACATCCCACTTGCAATACCTTGTGTTGTCTACTTTTGCAAATGGTATGCCATCATGGCGGTAATTCCTGGGCTACCACACGGTCTCAAAGGTAACATTACTAATCTGGCAAATTTCAATTTGAAAAAATGGGAAGTGCTATATTTAACCCTGTAACTTTCCTAAACACCATAAAAACTGTTAATGGGGGGTACTGTTGTACTCGTGAGACTTTGCTGAATCCAAATATGTGGTTTTCTTTGCAGTTAAAGTTAACAGTATTGTGACATTTACAGCTAAAATGTCAGGCGGAACTACAATTTTTTTTTTAAAATCTTAATTTCTCACAGTTTTATATTTTTTATTTTATTCATAATAAATTAATGTTTAAAATATGAATAGTTCATGAGAAATTAAAGCCCAGTTTATCCTGAACAAAATGATATATAACAAGTGTGGGTGCACTTAATATGAAAGAGGTGAATTACGGTTGAACAGACATATTAGTGCAAATTCCAGTTTTTGTTTACATTTTGTTTTGATCAGAACATGTACTATTGACTACGTCCTGAAGGGGTTAAAAATAAAAGTTTAACAATAAATAATGTAGTTAAAGATAGGAAAGTCAAAAGATAAAAATTAGTTAATTCATAAGATATAAAAATTAGTTTACCAAACAATATGTGGTTCATAAGATAGGAAGGTCGGAGAGACAAAATTAGCTATCAAACAGTCACACAATGTATAGTTTCTCAAAATAAGTGCTCCGGTGGGGGCTAGAATACACAGAGAAAGCAACTTATGCTGACACGTATACAGCTTTTTAAAGAGAAAAAGTTAATTACATATAAAGGACATCAGATGTAGGCCTTAATTTATTTACGCTGAACATTGGAATAAAGGTATATTCCATCACAGAGCTCAAATGCACAGTCATGGCAGTGAGTCATTTTATGACAATATTGCAGTGTTATAACCATACAAATTGCAGTGAGCATAGCAATTCATTCTCTGTATGTCGATAAACATAATATATGGCACATCAATAAAACCAAAAAAAGGAAGGCAGAGGCTATGCCTGTATAAATGAGCTGAACAGCAAACCTACATTAATGGCAGCAAACGGAATACTGTGAACACTTACAGCATTATTCGCTAAAGAGAGAATTCACAGTGAATTTCAAATTTAAGGCCAAAATAGCTGAATTGAAAAATTTCTCGAAAGGCAGCAATGTTCTGGTTCAACTTTTTTGGTCTACAGATGGTAGACCAAGGTATTGCAAATGGGGTAGGTCCAGTCTTTTTTAGTAGCCACTTAGTCACAAACACTGGCCAAAGTTAGCATTCAAATTTGTTGTGTGTGAAAAATGCCAAAAAAACTGAATTGAACACTAATTTTGCCCAGTGTTTGTGACTAAGTGGCTACTAAAAAAGACTGGACATACCCCATGTGCAATACCTTGGGTTGTCTACTTTTGCAAACAGTATGCCATCATGAGGGTAATTCTCATTCCTGGGCTACCATACGGTCTCAAAGGCAACATAACCAATCTGGCAAATTTCAATGTGAAAAAAGGAAATTCAAGCCTTATAATGACTCAGTAACTTTTGAAAACACCATAAAACCTGTACATAGGGGGGTACTGTTATACTCAGGAGACTTCGCTGAACACAAATATTAGTGTTTAAAAATAGTAAAACGTATCATAACAATATTGTCAGTGGAAGTAAAGTTTGTGTGTGAGAAATGCAAAAAAAATGCATTTTTACGGACGATATCATCGTTGTGATATGTTTTACTGTTTTAAACACTAATATTTGTGTTCAGCGAAGTCTCCAGAGTAAAACAGTAACCCCCATGTACAGGTTTTATGGTGTCCTGGAAAGCTACAGGTTTAAATATAGGGCTTGCAAGCCAAATTCTCTGGACTTTTTGCCTGGGTTGTCAGGCAGGTCCCTCAGATTGTAATTAATAAAATGATTAAATTATGTAAAAATATTATATAAATATATATATATATATATATATATATATATATTTTATGTCATTCTAAATGTATTTTGAATTTAATATATGCTTATTAATCTCAAAATGCAGTTAGAACAAATTAAAACTGTATATATGTTTTTTAAAATGTATTTTTAATATTTTTCTATTTTATTTTCTATTTATTTATGGATTATTTTTATATAAATAAATACACTTTTATTAACCCCTTAAGGGCCGGACTGTTTTGGCCATGTTGTACGTTAAGGACCAGAGCAGTTTTGACACTTTTGTGGTGTTTGTGTTTAGCTGTAATTTTCCTCTCTCTCATTTACAGTTCCCATACAAGTTATATATTGTTTTTTTCAGGACAAGAAGGGCTTTCTTTACATACCATTATTTGTATCATGTCATATATTTTATTTAAAAAAAATAATAAAATATGGTGAAAAATTGAAAAAAAAACATGTTTTTGGACTTTTACTTGAAAAATCTTTTACTTATCTACAAAAGCTAATGAAAAAAACTGCTAAATAGATTCAAAATTTTGTCCTGAGTTTAAAAACACCCAGTGTTTACATGCTTTATTGCTTTTTTTTGCAAGTTATAGGCCTATAAATACAAGTAGGAAATTGCTGTTTCAATATATATATATTTTAAATTTATCAATAGTGACATTGTAACACCGTTATCTGTCATAAATCCCCGAATCACACCTCACATGTACATATTTTTTTAAAGTAGACAACCCAGGGTATTCAATATGGGGTATGTCTAGTCTTTTTTTAGTAGCCACCTAGTCACAAACACTGGCCAAAGTTAGCATTTATATTTGTTTGTGTGTTAAAAATGCAAAAAACGCTAACTTTGGCCAGTGTTTGCGACTAAGTGGCTACTAAAAAAGACTGAACATACCCCATTTACAATACCTTGGGTTGTCTTCTTTTGCAAATGGTATGCCATCATGGGGGTAATTCTCATTCCTGGGCAACCATACGCTCTCAAAGGCAACCTAAGCAATCTGACAAATGTCAATAAAACAAAAAAGAAAAAGTAAAATCAAGCCTTATATTTGACCCTGTAACTTTCACAAACACTATAAAACCTCTACATATGGGGTACTGTTATACTCAGGAGACTTCGCTGAATACAAATATTTGTGTATCAGAACAGTAAAATGTATCACAGCAATAATATCAGTGAAAGTGCCGTTTGTGTGTGAAAGATGCATAAAACGTCACTTTCACTGACAATATCGTCGCTGTGATATGTTTTACTTTTTTGAAACACTAATATTTGTGTTCAGCGAAGTCTCCCAAGTAAAATAGTACCTCCATGTACAGGTTTTAGGGTGCCATAGAAAGTTACAGGGTTAAACACAGTGCTAGCAAATTAAATTCTCTAGACTTTCAGCCTGGGTTGTCTGGCATGTCCCTCAAATTGCAACCATTAAAATTACTTAATTAGGTAAAAATATTACATAAATATGCATGTAGAATTTTAATATATATATATATACACACACACACATATTTATATATTTGACGTCTACGTGTATATTTATGAAATTATTTATGTAATTATATACATATGTATATTTCGTATTATTTTTATTTATACATAGATATATATTTCATTACATTCTAAGTGTATTTTGATATAAATATATATATATATATATATATATATATTAATATCAAAATACTGTTAGAATAAAATTACATACATACACACACACACACACATTTATATATATATATATATATATATATATATATATATATATATGCACAAAATTGAACAGAGGTGCACTCACAGGTCTTCAAATGTGCTTCTATTTATTTTACATGTAAATATACATGTGTGCAAAAATCCAGCAAATCGACGTTTCGACCCCTAAAGGGTCTTTTTCAAGATTAATACAATGTGCAAATAAGTGACTATATCTAGAGATAAACATCAAAAGGACACTTACCAAAAAGATGTGGGTGAAAGATTCACTGTCCGTCCGAACCCGGAAGTGAGACTGTGTGCACCACGTGACCGGCGTGATGACGCACGTGATTACGACGTTGCTAAGCAACGATAGTAAACAAAGCTGCTAACATGTGAGGCAGGACGTGCAGTGTGATAAGAGTGAATAGATCCGATCACTAAAGGGTGATCTCCATAAAATTATGCATACATAACACATATGGAGGAGAGGAGAGTGAAATAGTATTTCTAAAACACATTATGTATACCATACAGAAATGTAATAGTTAGATAAAGTGCAGAAAATATGTGCTAAATAGGTTATTTATGCCACAGCAATATAGGTACAGAATATTAAAGGGACAGAGAACCTCTATAAGTGTGTATATAAATGCCACATATAAAGAGAAAAAGAGGCAAAGCACAATAGTCCCTGAACATGTGAACATGTCTAATATATATATATACACAACTTACAGCATATGAACATTGGGAGAACATGGATACATCCATAGATAATGAGAATAACCAACCGTATTATATAGCATGAGTACTGAGCTAAGGTCTCAGGTATCTAGTTCTATATTGGCAGTGTGGAGATAAATCTAATGCATCATCAACACTGCCCATATATGGATCAAATCGGAAATGTATGGAAGCCATCACAATAATAATAATACTACAACAAAAAAAATATATATATCAATGTAAACTAAACATATCATAGAAACATGGAAAACGTGTTATACTCATTCAAGCCTTTAGGGGTAACCGTGTCCAATTTGAATATCCAATAGGCTTCTCTTTGGAGTAATATTTTAGACCTGTCACCCCCACGAGATAAAGGGGGGACATGGTCTATAGCCATGAATTTAAGTGTAGGCAGTCTATGTGAGGCAGCTAAAAAATGTTTAGCCACCGGCTTGTCTGTTTTTTGGTCTCTGAAAGCCGTCATAATACCCGACCTGTGTCCTCGAATACGGTCTCTTAGAGTAAGGTCTGTCTTCCCCACATATGCTAATCCGCATGGGCATGTGATGAGATAAATCACATGGTCCGTAGTGCATGTGATGTAATGTGGAATGGTAATTCTTTTTCCACTATGTGGATGGGCAAAGGAATTGCCAGAAATCATGTGACTACATGTGACACAGCCACTGCATTTATAGCATCCGTGTTTCCTTTGTATGGTAGTTTTCTTATAATTCTGTATAGGATCACTACGGACCAGAATGTCCCTTAAGTTTTTATTTCTCTTGTAGCTGATGGTGGGTTTAGATCGAAATATGGGAGATAGTTGTTTGTCCGCACGTAACATGTCCCAATGTCTGTCAATGGAGCGACAAATTTGTGTAGAACCTGTATGGAAAGTAAGTGGTAGGTAGATCTTTGTACTGTCACCTTTTAGTTTTTTAGATGAACTTTGTATTTCCTGACTCCATTTCTCAATTGCTCTAGCCTTAGCATCCTCCAGGATGTTCATTTGGTACCCTCTTTCTTGGAATCTGTGTGTCATATCCATAAGTTGAGTCTCTCTGTTCTTATGTTCGCTGTTATACCTTAGTACCCGCATGTACTGGGAAATGGGTAGAGAGTCCTTTAAATGTTTGGGATGGTAACTGGTGGCAGCAAGTACACATATATATACATAATGTGTTTTAGAAATACTATTTCACTCTCCTCTCCTCCATATGTGTTATGTATGCATAATTTTATGGAGATCACCCTTTAGTGATCGGATCTATTCACTCTTATCACACTGCACGTCCTGCCTCACATGTTAGCAGCTTTGTTTACTATCGTTGCTTAGCAACGTCGTAATCACGTGCGTCATCACGCCGGTCACGTGGTGCACACAGTCTCACTTCCGGGTTCGGACGGACAGTGAATCTTTCACCCACATCTTTTTGGTAAGTGTCCTTTTGATGTTTATCTCTATATATAGTCACTTATTTGCACATTGTATTAATCTTGAAAAAGACCCTTTAGGGGTCGAAACGTCGATTTGCTGGATTTTTGCACACATGTATATTTACATGTAAAATAAATAGAAGCACATTTGAAGACCTGTGAGTGCACCTCTGTTCAATTTTGTATATATTTAAACACCAAGGTTTGCACCCAGGCTTTATTCATTGCATCTTCAATATAGGGTGAGTGCCAAGGTTCATCTCATATATTGGAAGGCAGGGCCTGAAGTTGTGGGAGGGGCTATATCCCTTTAAAAGGGACTCCCCCTCCTACCTCATTCACCGTCTTGTCCAGATGCTCGTTTGAATTGCTGGTTCCCAACGTGGTTTTCAGTTTCTCCTGACAGCTGCATTTTCAAAGTTTCTGTTGCTCCTACTGCCGGTTTCCCTACTAAACAGTGAGTTGGCAGACCGGTATCATTGTACCGGTCTGCAGCCTACACATAGCCTGACCCGCCGAGGTCCACGGCTACAGTATTGTGGGGACAGAAACCCCCTCGCCAGGGCTGATTCGGCTTGATTCCCGCCGGGGGATCAGGCCTCATGCAGACCAGCCCTCCCTCCCCCTCCCCCCCTGCTGCCGCTCACTGCACAGCAGCCGGTTCAAGTTATTCTGTAACCCAGCTCCTAACCCCCCCTCTCACTACACAACAGCCGGTTTATGTGTCACCCGGGTCCTAACCCCCCCCCTCACTCCACAGCAGCCGTAGGACCCGGCTACTAACTCCTCTCCCCCTCTCTCCAGGAGTGGGGAACCCCCCCAGGCTCATGGCAGGTAACGGTCAGGCGGCTAATACAATCAAGACCCCCACGGACCTAATTCACGGGGGTCCGCGATTTCTGCCACAATAGCCGCACCAACCCGCCCCCCACCCCAACCTACAAGTGCCCTGTCACATAAACTATTGAAAAAAAAAAAAAAATACATTTTTAAATTAGAAGTTACTATATTTTGCAAGGCTCCTTGATACCCTTTGGGGTATCAGCAGCTTACAAATCTCTCCTCCCCCCCCCTCCCCCCTCCTCTCTTACTTACCTACAGACAGGGGTTCACTCACACGGGCAGAGCTCCCTTCACAGCCTCAGCCAGAAAGCATGTCAAAAAATTACAGCAATGCTGACGGCAATACAAGTTGTAACCACTAGATGTCGCCCTATAAATAGTAATGTTACCTGGTATATTTCAAAGTCTGTGATATGTGTTAACAATGGCAATATTAAAAAATGGTCAGATTTATATATTACGTTAGGAATAATAAAGTATTCAATTAATTCATGCACAACCGGTTACGTATAGATTTGTGGAAACAACTGTTTAAAGCATATAAGTCAGATATAAGCTGTTCTCGGGCACTAAATTGTGAGGTAATTATGTGACTAATCTACCTAATATGTGGATCTATGTGACTCAAGAATATATACCATATACTCACACCACGGTTTCAATTAAATCTTCAGAATTACTTGCGTGGTTATAGACAAATTGCAAAGTTCAAGAATATTTTCCCTTTATTTGGTGACCTGGTATACTGATTCCCCTGGCAGGGTCAGAGACCGAGACAAAGACAAGTATTATATTACTTCCTTGGTATGTACAACATATGGGCGACGTATGTCCCATTAAATCAGTCATATGACACTCAGTGCATATGCTCACAAATGTATGCCGAGTGCACTTTGTGCCAAGCAGATATTTGGGACACTGCCATAACGGTTTAACATGTGTTTACAGTCTCAAGAACCAAACTAAGACGGACTTGGCCTTCAGAACCTACTTGCACTCAACCTACAACCATAGGTATGTGATCCTAGGACATTCACCACAAAACGTGGGGGGGGCAGGCTTCAGCTACAAGATAGCAGTACACACTTATATGTACCTTATGCCTTCCATTCTGTCATCCAGCACCGGGTTTAGGCCATCCTCCCTAACAGTAATCAAACTACTACAGGACTGCCAGGCAAACGTTGGGCACTCAGGTAAGTTCTCGGTTGCAGCAACCAGTATAAGAAACATCAACATGCCCACTTAAGTAATTCTCCTCCCAGGCACCTTCTGCCATAGGGTTAGAGGTCCCCCGAGGCCAACTTCCATCCTCGATGTAAGAGGTATTAAACCCCCACGGGCCAAATCATAGCTAGACGCCTCGCATGTTGCATAGCTAGGGCGTCATCCGTCATAACCCTCAATTAACGATAAAATCTCCACTGGTAAAACACGTACAACAGATCAACCCCACGCGCCAACCATAGTTAAATCCTACTAGCCACTTGGCATTTAATAGGGACTCACCTGCCACAAGTTTAATGAATTATTTCGCCACTTTGGCACTAGTTAAACATTTTACACTCTCCATAATGAAACTCACGATTACATACGTATATATTTCAGTATGTCCCAAGTTCATGAAGAAGGAGATGAACTATCAATGCCTAGTACACCGACCAGGACTGCCACCCCCACACGCAAAGGGGACATCGGCAGCCCGTCATCTATTAGATCATGGACCATCCCACGGATCACGGCCGAACTACGCAAACGTAGTATTCCTTATCCAGCTACGGCCCGCAAGGCAGAATTGTACAGGCTTATGCAAGCCAATCAGGACAATTCTGACGCCAGGGAAGGCACTAGTAATTCAAGCAATGCTAATCTGCATACCATGGTCGCCTCACTAGTGTCTTCCATGGGGCAGATAAATGAGAGACTGGAAAGACTGGAAGCTCGTAGCGGTCCAGTTGTGACACCAGAGCCACCTGCTACCGATATCCCAGGGCCATCACAAGCCCAACCTGGTAATCCTAATACCCCCACTATCCTTGGGTCACAAGTGATCAACCCAGCCCATATGGTACCAGCAAACCTTAGAAAAGACATCCTGGAGGGCAAGGATGTAAATCTAGTCTCTCTGCTTATTGCCTCCCAGGATATCACAGAGAACCGCGCATATACGTATGGCGATATTTCTGTGGTCCTCAAGGCCAGAGATCCTAGACTAAGCAAAAACTAGCAATCCCAGACTTCGTTATCACATTCGGCATATACAGGGACGTACTGTGCTCAGTTTACCCACAGAGAAGGGAAGAGTTAGACCTGTACATGCACAAGCTGGTAGACCTGGGCAACAAATACGGTGGGTCATCATTTTACGATTACCACCGTTCTTTTTCAACTAAAGCGGCAACAGCTCTCGCCCAGTACAACGCAAGAATGGATTGGAGCCTAATGGATACAGAGCTGTTCCTCAGGCACTTTGCCGGGCTAAGGTCTCCAGCTTGTGCAATATGTGGGGCTACCACGCACGCTGCAAATCTCTGTCCTGTCCCCACAGACGATGCCCCAAACATTGCCACACCAAGCACTTCCAGGGGGGAGAAACAGGGCAGAGACAAGCTGGGTCGCCCTATCGTGTATTTGGGCAAGTCACAGATCTGTAATAATTTTAATGTTGGGGCTTGCTCCTATAGTGCTTGCCGTCTACTGCATATCTGCTCCCATTGTTTCAGGGCACATGCAAAGGCTATGTGCCCTAATAAAATGCACATTAAACCCTACCTAACTACTGTGAATGTTGATGTTCTGGCAGGGCTTCTCTCCAAGCACCCTTCTACACATCTTGTGGAGTATTTGATTGCAGGGTTTTCTAAAGGGTTTCATACTGGCCTCATTCACATACCAGGGGGTACATGGGAAGCCAACAACCTCCAGTCCGCCCTTTGTGACACAGACGCAGTAGACTACCTACTACAAATTGAACAAGACCAAGGATTTGTCTTAGGTCCATTTATTGACCCGCCGTTCTCTAATTGGAGAACAAATCCCATTGGACTAGTCACTGGGAAAACATCTAACAAACAAAGACTCATTATAGACCTGTCTGCTCCACATGCTTCGGTGATACCCAGCCTCAATTCCCTGATCCCGTCAGAGGCATTCTCTTTACAATACACCACCATAGACGACGCTATATCCACCATCATCTCAGCAGGCATAGGCGCATGGTTGAGCAAAACCGACATAGTTAACGCCTTTAAACTACTCCCCATACACCCGTCGCTGTGGCATTTGCATGGTATCAAATGGAGAGGCCAGTATTACTTCTTCACAAGGCTCACCTTTGGATCCAAGAGCAGTCCTAAAATATTTGACACTTTCACAGAGACCTTGTGCTGGCTGCTCCTGAATACCAGCAGGTGCCATAGCGTCATTCATTACTTGGATGACTTCCTTTTCATAGAAAATAACACTACCCCCCCTAACAGTTTACACAAAGCCATGCATTTATTTAACACCATTGGGGTTCCAGTATCTCCCACCAAGACAGAAGGTCCAGATACAATCATTCAGTTTTTGGGGATACAACTGGACTCCATAACTATGGAAGCCAGCCTCCCTAGAGATAAGATTGACAACATCACTCAGACCATTGAGCAGTACTTGTGCATAGGCTCATGCAATAGGAAAGAGCTTCAGTCACTGATTGCCTCACTAAATTTTGCCATTCGTATTATACCCCAAGGAAGAGCATTCATTTCCAGACTCCTGTGCCTTCTTCCAACACTAACGGACGAACACAAACGTACCACTCTTGATAGGCAAGCCACAGCAGACTTACACATGTGGAACTTGTTCCTGTCAAACTGGAATGGCAGGAGCATGTTCCTCCCCCAAGTCACAGAGGATTCCCCTACCATTTGGACTGACGCAGCAGCCTCCACAGGTTTTGCAGCCATTTTTGGGGACAACTGGCTATGGGGTAGATGGCCGGAAGAAGTTAAGCAAATAGAAGGCTTTTTTAGGAATTCTGCACTCTTTGAAGTGTACCCCATAGTAGCAGCAGCAGTCACATGGGGACAGTCTTGGGCAGGTAGACCAGTTCGATGTTTTTCTGACAACTTGGCGATTTGCCACGTCATAAACAAAGGCCGGTCTACCTCTCTAACCATCATGAGTTTTATCAGACGTCTTACGTGGTTGGCGGCCTGTCATCAGTTTCATCTAGTATGTTACCATGTACCGGGTATCTATAATACAGCCGCTGACCAGCTGTCCCGCTTTCAGTTTCAGGCGTTCAGGGAGTCTCTACCAACAGCGTCACCGGTAGCCACGATCGCTCCCCAACTCCAGGATCTAATCATGGACTAGAGGAATTATTACAACACAGCAAGATACTTACAAAACTCGCTCTCGCAAAAAACACGCATAGCGCATATGATAGAGCTTACTACCTATACAAGAAATTCATGGCAGACCATAATCTCACAAATTGGTTTGACAATGTAACATTGGTGGCTTTTGCCACTTTTGCCACATTAAGTTAAAAATGTCGCATAATACCACAAAACTATACCTCACAGGTATCCAACATCATATGTTCACAGAACATCCTAACAACCAAGGGTTTCTCACCTCCTACCCCATTAAAACCCTCCTTAGGGGTATGCTCAAATCGCAAGGACCTACACCGCAACGTAGGGAGCCTATAGACATTCAACTGTTTAAACGTTTGTCAAACCTACTAGATACCACACCGTTCGAACCCCTTAACACCACTCTTAAAACGGCCATATACTTGGCTTTTTACGGTTTCTTACGACCCAGAGAATTTACCATTACTAGGCAACACGAGTCCAAGCATTGCCTCCGGTATTCTAACTTGTACAAAAAACAGGACCACTACGTATTAAGCTTACCTTCAACTAAGACCAGCCAGATGGGGCACGAGGTTCTTATTCAATACTACCCCACCAACAACGCATGGTGCCCGGTGAAAGTTTTTAACAACTATCTACAGTCATCACCTACACGAACCTCACTCGCTCTCCTTTCACTGCACGGCACAGCACTCACTACCGCCAAATTTGTGATGTATATTCGCTTACTATTGACCAGACTCGGCTTAAACGCCGCAAACTATTCTGGGCATTCATTCCGGATAGGGGCAGCCTCCACAGCCTCAGGCCTAGACATCCCGGTTCACATCATAAAAACCTTGGGCCGCTGGAAGTCATCCGCTTACGCTGTTTACATACCACAGCCAACACAAGAATTAAGGCATGCATTTGTGAAAATGTCATCGTAAATATGCTAACTCCATGTCTTGTGGTTTCGTTAATAAATATCTTTGATAACATTATATGGGTATTCCTTTTTGCCCTCTTATTTACAGGCCTACCACACACGTCGGTTTCGGCACACCTCTACCGACTTTTAATTATTATGATAAGTATACTCACTAGCTATTTCATACTATACTGAAATGGCCCCGAATACAAATTGGAAGGCAGGGCCTGAAGTTGTGGAGGGGCTATATCCCTTTAAAAGGGACTCCCCCTCCTACCTCATTCACCGTCTGGTCCAGATGCTCGTTTGACCCACCCTCCTCTCCCTCTATTCAAATACTATTTAAGGTGGGCCCTCTTATTTACAGGCCTACCACACATGTCGGTTTCGGCACACCTCTACCGACTTTTAATTATTATGATAAGTATACTCACTAGCTATTTCATACTATACTGAAATGGCCCCGAATACAAATAAATATATATATATATATATATATATATATATATATATATACACACACACACACACACACACACATATATACACACACACACACACACACACACACTTTTTAAAAATTATTTTTACTTTTATTAACATTATTTATAATAATATATACACACACACACACACACACACACACACAATATATACATATACACGTGTGTAATTTAAATATAAGTGTATATATATATATATATATATATATATATATATATATATCTCTATCTTATATACATAATGTCAATCTAAGTGTATTTTTATATTTATATAAATGTATATTAATATAAAAATACTTATAAAAAAAAAAGTTATAATATATAAATATATACACATATACACACACACACACACATATATATTTCCTGGCCATATCCATGGCAGCACAACAATGGGTAGCTCCTCCCCTATCCCTAGTTAGACAGGAACCAATTAAAATAAGGGTACAAATACCCCCTCCTACCTCCTCCTCCCTCAGTCTTTTTGTTCCTGTCCTATCCCTGTAGGACCAAATTAGTCTATTTTCAGGACTATAATCACTTTTCTTTTATGGCTTACCTGAGGGTTTTTACCTTCTACCCCCAAGGAAGTTCAGCCTCTCTTCCTTGGGAAGCTTCAGTATCCGGCCCTGTGCAAAGGTGTCCCCCTGAAGATACCCCCTTAGTGACCGGGGGTCCTACTTGCAGTGACCCTAGGGGTAGCAAGAGAAAAATAAATGCCAAATAATTCTGATTCCCTGCAGTGACCAAGAGGTAGCAGGAAGTGGCGAGAAGACCTTATTCTGGATGGATTTCTACATTGAAGTACAAAACCCCACATGTATGTATGAGGCTCTTTCGGCTCGAGAACCTTTTACAATATTTCATAAGGACAGAGTCATCCTGAGAACGGTTCCAGAATTCCGCCCTAAGGTAACTTCAGAGTTCCATATGAATGAAGAAATAATCCTTCCAGCATTAAGTACAGAAGAATCTAATAACAGGGAAAACGCTGATGATGATGCTATCGACCTAGTAAGATGCCTTAAGATATATATACAGAGATCCTCAGAATGGCGTATTTCGGAAAGGCTTTTTGTTATTCCTAATGGCCCTATGAAGGGTCTGCAAGCTTCGAAAGCCACTATCAGCAGATGGATAGTTTCGGCCATTATCCAATCTTATAGGTCATCTAAAACTAGTGTTCCTGAAGGTTTGAAGGCTCACTCTACACGTTCCCTTTCTTCATCCTGGGCAGCTGCAGCAAAGGTTTCTACAGAACTGATTTGCAAAGCAGCCACTTGGTCATCTTCTAATACATTTATTAGACATTATCGTTTAGATGTAAGAGCTGGCCAATACGATGGATTTGGCAGATCAGTTCTTTCTGCCTCATAGGACTAACTACTATTCTTTTTGTTCACACATACACACTTGTGTCTCTTTTCTTTCCCTCCCTTGGTTTTAGCTTGGGTATTACCCATTGTTGTGCTGCCATGGATATGGCCAGGAAAGAGATAAATTTACTCATACTTACCGTAATTTTCTTTTCCTGGTCATAGGCCATGGCAGCACAAAGGTCCCACCCAGGGATATTGCTGTTAACTAGACTGAGGGAGGAGGAGGTAGGAGGGGGTATTTGTACCCTTATTTTAATTGGTTCCTGTCTAACTAGGGATAGGGGAGGAGCTACCCATTGTTGTGCTGCCATGGCCTATGACCAGGAAAAGAAAATTACGGTAAGTATGAGTAAATTTATCTCTATATTATTTATTTTGTATACTGATTGCTTTTTTTTTTTTTACTTTATTTGTGATTTTCCACTTGCAGGGAGACTGCCTGTCAGCACAGACAGTCCCCTGCAGGCAGATACACAGGCACCTATTGCGGCCACATAATCGGGCGATCAAGTGGCCGCAGGGTCCTGATCTGCTGCGATAAGCCTGCCTGGGCACTGCCGGGGGACCGACGGCGATCAGGTAAGTACCCAGTCATCGGTCCTCAAGGGGTTAATGATGTGTGTATGTGTATATAAAAGTACTTAGATCATATATACACACACACACATACATATATATATATATATATATATATATATGATCTAAGTACTTTTTATTTAATTTAAAAACGGTTTAATAACTTTTACTAACTTTTTAAAAAGGCATAGGGGGACTATGTGAGCTCAGGTAGGCTCCCTGCAGGCAATGCATAAGTCCGCTATTCCAGCCATGTAATCGCAAGGACCCAGCGATCACATGGCAGGGGGGCCAGATCGGGCAGAGGGGGTCTGCCTGAGCTCCCAGACAGACCCCAGGATCACGACCGCCGGCGTGGGAACAGCGGGACCCGGTAAGTAGTAAGGATGGCAGGGACGTTCTATGCCGCCCGCCAGCGTTTAGGACCGCCTAAGAAAAAAGGACTGAATAGAACGCCCGCCGTCCTTAATGAGTTAAAGAACATTTCAAATAACACAAGCACTACAAAGTGCGATAGTAGTTATGGTGATAGGAGTGCCCTGGCGCCCCCATTGTAAGTTGTCAAACAGGTTTAGAACAGTAGTACTTCTTACCTGGGGCTTGCAAGGCACCACTCTTTGACTTAAAGAGACACTATAGGGACCCAGACCATTTCAGGTTATTGAAATGGTCTGGGTGAAATATACTAGTCCCCCTTAGTCCTGCCATGTAAACTTTGCAGTTTTTGAGAAACTAAGTACTAAAAGTCTCTACTAGCTTTCTACCAGACACCCACTAGAGGCGCTTCCGGGAATTTACCGGACATTAGGTCCCCCTGTCAGCATTGAAGGCAGCTGAACGCCGACCCAGTGCAGAGGGACATCTGCACTGGAATCGGGTGAGTAAATTTATTTATTTAACTATCTCAGCCAGAGAGTTGGAAGTTCTTGCTTAGGAGCTTCCATTCAGATCATGCCCAATTCTCACTGCTCAGTTCTCTGACATTTAGAAATTAAATCACTTTATGACGACCACCCCCTGCCCTGCATGTGACCTACATTGTTTTCAGTGAGCCTGTAGGGACATGATCAGTACACTAAAACTGCTTCATTAAGCTTACGTTGTTTTGGTGCCTACAATATTTTTGCCTTGACGGGCAGGTGAGCTGGCACTTTACTGGTCATTGGGGTGAAACTAAGAACCTCCTGCTATTTAAATGTGCATAAGGATTTTGGAATGGTATGCTGGTAACTTCGTTTTATTTTTTGCTTTTTTGGCTGATGTATACTGTGGCTGTTGCTGCAGCCCAGAACTAGTGGAAGTTTCAGCGTAGGGCTTACTTTTAGTGTGTTTATACCCAAGTGCCCATATACATTTATTCACCCTTCCTCCTATATACATTATGGGGTGTATTCAATGTACTACGAAATGCAGTAAACTGAAAATTAAATGGCAGAATTAAGCCAACAATAGATGATTTAGAGAAATTCTCAAAATCAATTGTAGTCACAGCTTGACTACTTTAGCCTCAATTTACAGATGATACATGTACATGTGTTATAAATAAGATTTATATATGCACCAAACGAACCAGACGCCACCTTCGGGGCAACACTGGAGATGCTCACATCCCACACTAGAGGGAGCGTGTGCGTGGTGGGTGGAGACTTTAACGCAGTACCGTGCCCAGCGGTCGACAGAAGCACAAGAATGGGCATCCCAAGATCACAAGGAAGAGGGGGGGGCAGGACAAATTGCTGCACACTTCTGACACATACCGGATTACTTGATGTCTGGAGACTGCAACAGCCAGACGCCCGAGACTTCACGTTCTACTCCAATCCCCACGGCACCTACTCCAGAATTGACAACTTGTTCCTCAACAACATGGGTGTACACAAAGCACTACACACAGACAGAAATACAATTACGTGGTCAGACCACGCTGACATTTTACTCACACTAGAAAAACTGAAATACAACTCCAACTTGACCTGGAAGCTAAACACTAATCTCTTCAAGGACGACGAGACGGCGACACTCACTAGACAGGCCATAACCGACTATTTCACGCTAAACGATAACTCGGGGACTAACACTACAACACTCTGGACTGCCCACAAATCAGTCCTTCGAGGCCATTTCATTAAAGATAGCCACCATAAAAAAACGTGAATCCAAAAAAAAAATCCAAACTCCTTCTAGAGAATAAATAATGAATTCACCTAATACTACAGCTCATTTTACAACCAATCGCCACACAATGACCACCACAATGTGAACTACATGCAGCACATTACCTCCTTCTTAGCTGACCTTAAACTACCTACGGTGAGTGGAGGGGAGGCCGGGGAGCTGGGGGCACCCATCACGACGGAGGAAGGGGAGATGGCCATTACAGCCCTAAAAAGCAATTAGACACCAGTTACAACACCTTACCGCTCTCCCCACTCCTCTTCGTGCTCACACTGAAGCCACTTCTGACAGCTATCAGGGATGACCCACACATAGCAGAAGGAACGATCGGAGGACACCAATTTAAGGTCTCGGCGTACGCCGACGATGTGCTCATCACAATCACTGACCTCACACACACCATGGCCAGACTCACAACACTGCTGACCCGGTATAGCGAGGTGGCAGGATACAAAGTCAACCTCTCCTAGTCAGTAGCTATGCCCTTCCACATGTCGACCCAGGACACAACAAACATCCAACAGCTGTACAAACTAAAAATTGAAAGGGAGGCATTCACCTACTTAGGGTGACCCAACGGCTGACCCAACGGCACTTTTCCACAGTAACTATATACCCCTATTTCGAACCCTGACTTGAGATTTGGAGAGATGGAAGGACAAACCATTTCATGGATAGGGCGCCTACACTCCATAAAAATGAATATCCTCCCTAGGCTACTATTCTTATTCTAAGCACTACCAGTAAAAATCACAAGTGGGGACCTCGCCAACACACAAAAGGCGATTGATGCCTTTATATAGCAGAAGAAATGGCCTAGACTGGGGAGGCTTAGACTCCTCACTGTTTAGTAGACATGCCCCTACTCACGGTATTCATTCTTTCTGACGAATGAATAGATGAAATTACCGTTCGCATGCCCAAGTGTTTAACTGGGCATGTGCGGGAATCTCACAGTGCTATCTATTGAGATAGGGGCTTCCTCAAACGTGCATGACATGTCCCACTCCTATGTATCCTTATATATGCCATGGTATAGCCGTGATCCAATCGGCTAATCCTGATATCAATGATCAGTCCATATGAAAGTCCTATGGGTATTTACCATCTACGTAAAACTTTTTTGTTAAAACCCACAGCAGTCATATTTAAAGAGCATACAAACATTCAGAAGAGCAAAATAATGGAGTAAAACTATGCCAATATATTAAATGGCAATACAAATAAATTTTTATATAACATGTCTACACCACAGATGTATAAAGAGATCTTATAAAAGGGGGTAGATCGTCTAAACCAAATTCCCACCATAAAAATCCAGACATAATCACCAATATAGAAAAAATATTTTAAAAAAATATAAAAAAAAATAACACATTTTAAAACAATGTGGGGAAGTGTAGAGGGTTAATACCTCCATGCCTATATAGAAAAACATATAAAAATAAAAGCATAAAAATACTAAAAATAAAAGAGTATAAAGATATGTAGAATGTAAAAAGTAAAAACCCCTCCAATTGCATACATATCTCGTACCATAAGAGTCTATAGGAACAACAGGTGTCCATAGGGTTGGAATGGAGGCTAGAAAAAATTATAATAAATAAGCAAATAAAATGAAAAATAAGGAATCTAAAGGAACACATAAATTTAGAGAAAATTAAAAAGTTCAAAATCTTTGTTAAGACCGGACAGGGCTAAAGTATCTAATAAAAATATCCATCTCATTTCCTCCTGTCCGATCTTACGGATGAAATCACCCCCTCTCCAATCCCTGGACACATGTTTGATCCCTAGAAATGCTAGGGTCCTGTCCGTGAACTTTTTTAAAGTGTTCCTGAAACACTATGGTTCTCAACCCCTTTCCTAATATAAATATGTTCCCTAACCATAACGCAGAGAGGACGTGTGGTCTTCCCCACATACTGTAGGCCGCAGGGACATTTTAGCAGGTAAATGATATTACTACTATGGCAGGTCATATGTTCTCTAATTTTAAATGTCTGTTGTGCTTTTTCTGATTTAAATTCCAGAACCGGTTTACCACTAGAGTGCTGCATATTTCTAAAGTCATAACACATTTTACATTTATAAAAGCCAATCGGGCGACCTAAAAAATTATTGTCCGATATCTTAATTCTTCTTGGGGGAATCTGCTACAAGGGATTGCTATGCTCCGCATATTCCCTTGCTATAATCACTGAGCTCTTGTAAGAGCTTGTTCCTGTCTTGCTCTCTGAAGGAGTCTACGGTGGTTCTGGTGTCGGCTGGAGTGCTTGGAGCCCTCAGAAAGCACTAGGAGCATCCTTCAACGCAGGTACCCAGTCGGGGTGCCAGGTGATCCGTTACACTACCCCAATGGGATTTGTATACCAGGTAGAGAACGGGGGTTCAGAAAATGGACCTATCATGAAACCAGCCTGAGTTTCATTAAAGAAGAGTTCGTCCACTGTATGAGGATCGCTGGAGGCGGACAACAGGTTAGGGAATTCTAAAGGTGCTTGCGGGGATAGCAATTAAACCAGTGTGAAAGCCCTGGGAGAACCCTGACACCAGAAATTCCACTAAGTGAATGGAGGGGTAAATACGTAGGTGATATGCCAAAACGTTGATGTTAACCTCTGTTAGTCATTTTTGGGGGGAAAGCCTGGCTGGGCACATGGTTTTGGTGTGTGCTCTAAAGCAAATAGAGCAAATGTGCAACAATCTGCAAGTGCTGTAACTGCAGGCGCCAGCATTAAAATTGTTGCACACTTGCGCCTTATCTAGGAACACTATTGATCGGCCCAGCTTATCCCTCTGACCACTTTCTTGCTTAGTGTTGGAGCTGAAGGTGTGGTGGGAAGAGGAGGGATCTGCTTCACAGGGGCACAGATCAGTGGAATGTGAAGTGTAATTGCATGCTGCACAGGACAGGGGCCTCAAGCCAGCGAAGTGTCGGCAGAACAATTCAGTGTCCATCTGACACCAGTCTATCCGGATGTTAAACTGGGCCAGATGTGTTGCTACCTTGGCCGACACTGACTTGTGGTACTCATAAAACGAGGAGCCTACGTATTTGATCCCTAAGTCCATATGCACCTTGTGCATATCTAAATCCATATCCAGTTCTTCCCTCCTATGTGGGTACACAGAGCAGATGACATCTCTATAAATCCCAAAGGCTATTACAAATTGAGGAATAGAAAGTTTTTTGTTGAGACGTGGGTCTCTGGTTTTCAGTACTACTGTTATATCGCCATAGTTATAGGCTCTATTCTCCAGAATGTCCTGCAAGGCGATAAGGAGGGAAACTAGATTGACATCTTTACCATCAAGTATGTCTTTTTAAATGGAGGATGGGACAGAGTGGGCAGGGGAAACGTATAGGGTAGTGGTGGAGGGTGGAGGGGCAGTACTAGAGGAGGAACTAAAGGGCTTGGTAGGTCACCTGGAGTAGCGATGGCTGTTTCTACTTTATACAGCCTTTGGTTTAGAGTTGGTAGGTTTGTTTGAATAGCCGACAAGGTTTCTTGCATAGTCTGTGGTGCAGGCGTGCAGCCCTTGAGAGCTGGTGCCGGGCCTGGAATCACTGGACTGAGCTGTGAGCAGGCTGTAGAGTTCTGCTTTCCTAACTGTAGCAGGGAAAGGGATACCTCTATGCCGTAGCTCTGCTGACAGTTTTGGTATGGTCCATGATCTCAGGGACCTTGGGTTAGAGGGGGTGAGGGATACTTCTGGGATTAATCACCTGGGATTAATTATTGTGACATCCTGTGAAAAGAGCATCAATTAGTAGAATAGAGGGGAGGCACGATCAAGACCTTTGTAGAACTGGCTTGCTGACTAGTGCCAAGAGGCAAAGGATTTAGCTACACGTGACAGGTGAGGCCCTGCTAATGCCAAGTGGCGGTGAGAGGCTCTACCTATGGTTTGGGCCATGGGGGCTTGTGGCCACTAGACGTTGTGGCGGGATGTTGGCCTCTCAGTGACAGTAGAAAAGTCAAAAACGTGTGGCCGTGACTTGTGAGGCCCTGACAGTAGCCCTGAAGAATGGAGTGCGAGGCGGCTAACTATGATTGGGTTGTTGGGTGAACCTCCGTGGTGAGGTGGGTGTTGGCCTTGCGGGACTGATACAGTTACTTGGTACTAGGGGCAGCACCTGACCAGATGAGCCAGTTCTCTAGCCCTGGTGGGGCTTGTCTCTGACAGAGTAACTTAAAAATCCAAAGGTAAGTATCCGCATGTTTAACTTCATGGTAGGGAGATAAGTAATACTTCGTAGGTAAAGTAGCAAGAACTTAGGTGTAGGACTGGTCCGGGCCAGAGTATCCTATGGGTAAGATAGATACTAGTGGGATTTGAGCGTGTGAATTGTAAGGCTGAGGGTTATGAGAGTGGAAATGACAGACAGTGCAACGAATAGTCATATACTTTGTGAAGATAAACGTATGAATACGTGCATAGTGAGAGACCTGAACAATGGTCCATACTTAGAGACAAGCCCCTAATGGTACGTGTGATCGAACGTAACGAGAGAAGGCTGAATGAGGCCTTACGAGTAACGAGTAAGATTACTACACCTGATACTGTATGACAGGAACCAGGTTTCCAATCTGTATTTTATACGTGGTAATTCGAAGAGCCTAAAATCGAGACATAGAGCTAAGTAACGTATTTGAGAGAAACAAAATAACAAGAGGTTTAATCTAGTGTGAATGGTGAAACGGGCAACCGAACCCTCTGAATGTGGTGTATGTTTTGATGTAAAAGGGAGACTTAGAGACAGATATTTAGACCAAGTTTGTTAGCATATTAAAAACTGATAGAGTATAGAGAACCAAACGTGATAGGAGTATGCTTATAAAATAAGACTGTGGGACGCCATAAGCGGAGGGTGATATAGATAAGGTGCTCCAGAAGTTTTAATGCAGTTGTGACATAACCCAAGTGACATTGTGAAAGCAAAACTCTTAATATAATGAAGCAGAAGAGGCAAAGGTTACTGATTCCCCTATTTGAAATAAGAAAATGTAAGAGAATACATGTGAAAGACTGGTTTACATACGAATTGTGAACGAATGGATTTTTTTTAGACGGAGTGCTGAATTAAACGAATGACAAAGTGAACTAGCATATAACGAAGAAACGTTTGTAAACCGTACGAGTGAATAAGTGAAGAAATGAGTGAAGTAACAATATGCTAAATGCACCGACCGTTCGTATGTACGAATAGATACAGTTTGATACGTGAAACTGTATTGGGAGCTTCGTATGAATTTTGCCAAAAGCAACCGACAGAACGGACAGGTGAACGGGAAACGAACAGATATGTGAAGAAGGGAGCCTATCCCCGCGTTTTTACGCCCGAACGTAGGAGTAACCGAACGTTATTCCCTACGTGATACTTACATGTGCGTACCGTGTCTCGTGTGCGAAAGCAGGAAGCTGGAAGAATTGGGCCTGTGGTCGGAGCAGTGTACGTTGCAGTAGAAGTTTTGGGAGGATTCTCCGAAACGGAAGTGCTGGTTGCTATGGGGATGGTCAACCAGCGTGAACGGCATAGGTGAGTAGGAGCCTAGGGTTTATATCGGCAAATAACTCCTCCTACAAATTCAGGCCTTTCTACACACACATTTTGTTTGTGACTCTTCACATGCTCTTGCTTAAGTATGGAAACTTAAGAGGGATGTAGAGGAAAAATAACTTGTGTGGACTAGCTGACAATGAAATTAGTTAAGGTGAAGCTGACTTTGCACAATATGCAAACAATCTTACTGCTTCAGTCTCTCTAACACTGTGGCATTCAACACTCACTACACTGTTGCCAGTTAGCAAAAAGGTTAGGAGAGGAGTGGACAAGTGAGTGCTAGGGGACAGTCCTTAGCAAGCATGGAGGAAGCACATAATTAGGCGGATTTATGCCAAGCCTAGTGTGGGGTCTGCATAGTATGCCCTTAGTTGGCCAGCCAGCATGATTGGCAGGGAGCCTGATATGCATTCATGCCAGGCAGGCCTTCCAATTCTTCTGGCATACACGTCCCTTTTTGGGCATATTTACCCCTTTGGGTGGTTCTGGTTATGTGATTTACGTCAGTGGTCCCCCCGTCTTACTCCATCCACTGACATCCTGCTACACCGTATACTGCTGTTAGGGAGTATGGATTTACTTGAAAGATGAACGCGAGAGATTAGCATAGGGTTTGTGTTTTCTTATAGCTATATCCTGTGTTTCCCTTCAGCACCACCTCCACCAGATACATGACGCTTAGGAGGTATGACAGTTTTAGTGTTTTTTGTCGATAAGATTCTGTAATTAAGCCCATTATAATTGTCAGAACCAGGCACAATGTCCTCTTAATCCAGCCCTGAACATATGAATAACACATTGCAATAATAATGTGTGCATAACAATCAGGTTAAGGAAAGAAATTAAAAATAAATTAATTTAGTTGTTCTGATTTACAGAATATATAATGTGTCTAGGATTTTAAGGTAGTTACAGCTCACAAAACACAAGGAGTAAAATAAACTTTTAATGTGGAGCGATTTAGAATTTGGTAGGTTTGTCTTGTAAGTTTAATAGCCATAAAAGAAAACTAAATTGCCACTCAAAAAGTATATATTTACATAAAGTAGACATCACAGGCTATTTACCTAAGGTTATTTTGACACTTTTTACATAGCCATTTCCCCAACAATCTCTGCTAAACATTGGATAAAATTTTGTTTTTTGACACACAAACTTATAACAAAGATCTTTTCATATGTATTTCGTAAATTTGGTGTGTGCTATTCCTGTACAAAACTTATTTTGTGTTCAGCTACATCTGCTGAGGACATTTGGCACTATTTTGTGAAGCTACAGTGCCATATAGGAGACCTCTCCATTTCAGTATTTACAGTAGAATTTTGAGACATGGATTTAATGGGCCTATGTTTCAATCTGGGGTATATAGCAGTTTGACTGTTACAAACCCCACAAAGGCCTACCATTTGTAAAAGTAGACACTCCAGAATATCTCATATGGTGCATATTGTGCCTTAACATGTCCCCATTTTTTCACCAATATGTCAAAATTTGTTGTAAATATTTTTGGCATTTTTATTTAATACACATTACATTTTTGCTGGGCATTTTGTATATTTAATATGTGCAACTATGATCAAAGCCCCAAAACACAAAGGCCTACCATTTCTTAAAGTACACACCCTGGGGTATTTCAAAAGACATATTTTAAACCTTAGCATAGGATCATTTTTTGCTAGTTTGTACCAAGTCTAGTAGCAATTAACATTTTTTTCTGCCTTTTTGACACACACTTGGAGAGGTTACTGTATATATTTTGCAATCCTTATGTGTGCCACGGCAGTAGAACACCTAATATGTTGCTCAGCTATGTCGTCTTAGTACAACAATACCCCCACGTGTACCTTTTTCAGGGATATGTGGAAGTTGAAAGGGCACATTTGAGACACATCAATTTCATATTTTTCACAAGCGGATGCTAGGCCCAAGTCTCATTTTAGCAGCTCATGATTGCAAATTACCTCTCAAAAGGCCACATCTATTTTTAAATATAAGCAGCTCATCAATTCAAATCATGAACAAGTGCATACTATTTGCTGTGAAAAGGGGAATATTTGGTATAAACTTATGATGGGGTAGTACCCAGTTATTTGCGTCACAGATTTCAAAACCAGACAAACATAGACAGACCTCAAAGAGAGAGAACACAGAAAGAGAACCTTGTAATACCGGTCCTTAGAATGGCCGGACTATACAAACAGAGAACAGTTATGTTACAAGCCAAGGTAAAAGGAGTAAAGAGAAAAGGAACGATAGGAGAAGCATAGGACCAGAGAAGACAGGATAAACGGGAGACAAAGCCAGGATGCGGTAACCAAACAGACTAAAATCACACCCCAAAACCGGTCTACTTATTCTGCCTGGGTGTGGAAAATTTTAAAACAGTGGCCAATACATAGGCCAGGCTGAGAGGGGCAATCAGAGCAGTAATAACTGGTCTCAGCTCTTATGCCCATCTTGTAACACATCTTGCACCTTTTCTGGGGGTTGATGGAATCCTGAAGCAGAAGTGACCTGCCTCCATTCTTCTGCTAGGCTCCACTAATGGTACCCCTCTGTGGTACTCAAGCAGCCCAGAAATGAGCTGAAACTGAAATGAAAGGAACGTGCATTTCAGCTCTGCATTCGCCTTTTTAAAACAGGTCAACTCCCCCCATATGCCGATTGTAATGTTTTATGCAGACTGGCACCAGTTTAATTTCCCCTCTGCCACAAACTGCGACCTTGCGAGTGCGTTCACCATGGATGGTGGTTTGGATGAACACCTCCTTTTTAGCGCGGTACTTAAGTGCCAGCAGTTCATTCTGGCAGAGAGCTTTTTTCTGCTACAGCCTTTGTGAAACCTGTTCGACTCTTCCGAATAGTGCCACAGGCCACGATCTCAAAGCAGTACAGCATTTTTAGAAGTGGGATACTGTTGTAAAAATCATCAAAATATAAAAGTGATATGCCTTGTTTAGTAACGGCATGATTATGTCCCAGACAATTTTCCCACTTGTCCCTACTATATCTGGCCAACCTGTGGGATCAAGGTGGCTATCCCTTCCTTCGTATACACGGAAGGTGTACACATAGCCACTGACACTTTGACACAATTTATAAAATGTTATCCCATACTGGGATCTTTTGGATGGGTTGTACTGTTTAAACCCCAGTTTTCCCTTAAACTTCATGAGGGATTCGTCAATAGAAATATGTTTTTTGGGGGTATAAATTTTTGGTTAAAGGGGGCAATTAGAGGGCATATTTTATAGAGAAGATCATACTGCAGATGAACTTTGGGGGGCACTTCGTATTGTCAATAAAGTACATAACTCGCAGTAGGTCTTCATATCCGTCCCTACTCATTGTCTGGGAAAAAAATGGGGGTATTGCAAATGGGGATTCTAGACCAATACAGTCTAATGGTGGGCTTTTTAATTATCCCCATTAGCATTGTCAATGCCCAGAAATGTTTAAATTCTGGCACACTGGTGGGGTACCATCTCGCTTTCCTGGCGATGAAAGACTCTAGATTGTCTGCCAGATACTGCTCAGCGTACAGATTAGTCTGGGTGACTATCACCCCTCGAAAAACAGCTGCATACAATCCAGCTCAGTGGGATAATGCATCATCAGAAGAACCTGCAACCCAAGGGTTGAACAGATTCTTCTGATGATGCATTAGCCCACTTAGCTGGATTGTATGCAGCTGTTTTTCGAGGGGTGATTGGTTGCAGGTTCATATCCTGGCAGGGTTGACTCAGCCCTAATAGTAACAATCCCTGGATGTTGGGCTAAAGTAAAACCAGATAACCAGATAAATCTGAATGTACCTTTCCTGGTTAAATACGTTGTTATTATTAATATAGCCAGACAGGTCAGCTCTGGGATGTCTGGTGAAAAATTATTAGGGTAGGGTACCCAGTCATCTGCGCTATGTTCAGCATCAGGGGAATGCAGTATAGTCCCTGTCCCCTGCATTACTCTGAGGTAGTGTCTGATGCCGCTAACAGCGCTCTTCTGCGCTATACTTCCTAACATTGTGTACTTCGTTAATAAACTTTAAACTAAATAATTAAACTTTTATTTTTTATAACTTTTCACCTAACTAGCTTACTCAATTCCCACTAAATTCCACCAACTCCAACTAAATCAAAAATTGATAAGAAATTAAAATGTAATCCCTTCGGTTTACAAAAAAAAAAAAAAAACTAGATCACAGTAAAGTACTGTGATCTGTATTTTGATCACTGCTGGCAGTGATCAATCAGCAGGGAAAGGGTTCATTTTTTTTTTAAAGCACAGGGTAATGTGGATTTGGAACCTTTTCTGACAATTTATTCTCTTCAGGGACACAAAGTAACAGCGATCCGTCCCTCTCCACTTCACAAACCCAACAGTCACAGCGATCATGTGGGCTGGGACATCGCGATTTGATATTGCTGGATTGGCACTGACTCGTGGGCACCCAGCAACATCATTAACCCTGCTATCGCCGCCATTGCGGCGATCTGGGGTTAATTTTAGCGCATGGCGGACCGGGTCCGTCATTAAGGGGTTAAGCACCAATGCTCTGTATTTATGAATATATTTGTATATATATCTTGCATTTATCAGCTGGGTCTTATTGGTAATGTTGAGTCAGTGTCTTTTATGACTGCATATTGATGCTAAGTAGAACTCACCTTTATGTTAAAATTAGCTCGTTTGCAACTTTTTCCCTTTTGTACGGACGAAATACTTTATACCTATACCAATTAAAATCAGCTTCAGATATTTTAATTTTGCCAGTCATACATTTAATGGAGGTGTATACGAAACAATGTACATTTTACCTCCATTATTTCTATATGTTTAGGTGATCATTCGACAGTACATCCAGTGTTCATTCTGTCTGAGGCAAATTTAAGTATATAGCGTTAATAGTCTATTATTTCGTGATAATGTGATATTTATTGTACCATCTACTAACTGTCTATGAAAGATATGGTGTTAAATTAAATGTATACATATAACAAATACAATTTAAATATATACTTTATTAGGAATTAAGAATAAAAATATAAAAAAGCCAAAATGCTGCACATTTCTTGTACACATACTCAATATTGGGTTATATGTTCTTTGTAACGACAATACTCTTTTAATTAATATATGTCTTCATGGGAAAATTTTAGAAATCTTCATCATGAAGATTTGCCCCATTTCACAAAGATTAAGACATTTAAACTTGAATGTTGTGACAGACCACCTGATCACCTAGGGCTGGTACATGTCTCCTAACCGCCACCTCCCTCATAAAAGACTATAATCACTACTATTTATCCCTATAGCCTGTGGCTCCCATTCCAGCACCCCTTTTCTGTGGCTCAGGAACTCCTGATCAGATTGCAGAGTAGGCGCGGTCCGGTAAAGTTTGTTCTCGGTCACAGACCCACCTATCAAAGTGCTATTTGGAGGTGTGACAGAGGAGGTGGCTAGGCACTGAAGGACACCAAGGACTTGAGGGAGGTCCATGTACCGATTGAAAACGACATCATTTTAGGTGACTGGGATTTCTATCCAGCACTATGAAACTCTGCGCCGGATCAGAGGTTTGTCGTTGTCCCATGAAAACTGTGCCTTTTAGCTAACATGGGCTAGACAACTCCGATCCAAGCAGTTTTTGGACAGAGTGTGCCTAAGAAGAGGGCTTCTGGGGGATGGCACTATTGTATTAATGTGGGCACAGAAACCCTAGTTTTTTATGTGTTAGTAAACACGTGTGACGGCCTAAGTGCAGGAGACCCGAGTTTCGCAGCCAAGGATTCCTTTTCCCTCATTGATTATAGCCCAGAGATTATAACAGAGGATTATAACTGTTCATCAGATTCACCCCAAGCACTAGCCAAAACATAGTGTAGGTTGAAGTAGAACTGTTTTTATTGAGAAAACAACACTTTTATACCTGGGTCTTCAACAGAAGTTCCCCAGGAGGACAATAGAGATTGCCACATACCTGGCGCCTAGATGTTTATACAAGAGCAGGCAAAATGATTATCAGCCAGACACTTCGGCGCCAGTTAATTTTACAATAAACATAGGGTTCGTTTGCCCACATCTACAAACAAATGGTGCTCCTGGAAAGCTCTCTTATGAGTGCCCATTCTGCCCAAAAAAGCACTTAGATCAAAAATGGTTGGCCCGAGTTAGCTAGAACTAAAGTTTTGACCTCCAACGATCTGCAGCTGGGTGAAAAATCTCGACCACCTGCTTTTGGCAGGTACATGGATTTCCCCAAAGTCCTGGGTACTGTTGGATGCCTCACCTCTCCAATAAGCATTCTGCTAGGTGATTCTGGGACAGACAGTGCTCATGACCACACCTAGTCCGTGATTCGATCAGGAGTTCCTGAGTCCCGGTCGGGCCCACCATGTCTCTGTGGCCTTTCTGTGGGTCTATGATGCTCATGGGACAGCTGGGAGGCATGAACAGGAGGGGTGAATAAGGTGAAAATATTTTTTTAAGGAGGTGATGGTTTGGGGAGACAAGTACCATTCCTGGGTGACCGAGTGGTCTATCACACTCCACAAATTTATTTTATGATGAGCTTGACTCAACTTGTAGCATGCCTTACCAGCCTTATTTCTACAAGCGCTCTGACTGGCTGCAGACTGCAAAGATATCCCCTGATGGAGAGGGAGGAGCCAGCTTAGACAGTTGTGTGGGCCTATTACAGCAGGATGGGCCTGCAACTGGAGCTCCACCCGCCCCTATGTTAAGCGCTCCCTATGCTGGCAATGGGACACAGGCCCTGAACCTAACAAAGGGAAACAGAGGCATAGGCAAAATTAATGAAAAGAAAACTAGCTTCCGAAAGGCGTATATCTCTCGTTACTCTAAAGGGGTTGTACTAATGTGCATATCAGGCACACATCTGGTGACCTGTGATTAATAATGAGTCCACCCCAAAGCTTAAGTTTTTCCATACATGTACAGTATACAATCCACAATATTCAATGCCATTTTACCTATTATGTTCCTCACCTACAATTCATTAATATTTAACCATCATAGATAGGTTTGCTGAAAGAAAGAAATTATCTTGCAGGAATTATACCTGGGTCAATGTCATTGGCCAGAACATAAGAGGCTCCACTCATTTCAGCAGCGATGCCAGCAGCTCCACAGCCACATCCAAGATCTAAAACCCGGCGCATTCGTACAACATCGGGGTTATCCAAGATATATCTAAAACATAGAACAAGACAAGCAGACATGTAAAATCTTAAAGCACGACTACACTGCCGTTTACAGCAATCCTTCTTAGAGTTACCAACTCAGTCGTTTTCTCCATCTTGAGAGAGAGTTTAACAGAATTATCAACTCAAAACAACTTAAGAGGTTGATCAGAAACTGTATGTACAGCTCATGAGAAGCATTAATGTTGCCTTGTGTTTGAATGTATCACAAAGCCATCATATTAATGTTATGGTATCCACACACCACCAAATACTGACTTAGAGGATAATACTCTAACACGATGGTGCGTGACCCTCTACACTCATGCAGACCTCCCAGTAAATACATATTTAGGATCTCTCTCACAAATTACAAGACAAAACCTCACCTGGAAAGACATACTGTAAACTTCCCTCTCCAACACTGGACAGACTGTTTGTGACTGTGTACTGTGTGTTTTTCCCCCCCAAGCACCATAATCACTACAGCCTGTTGTAATTACTTCCAATGGGATATTATTGTATTTGCCTTTGTATCACACAGTCATGTTTAATGCTGCTGCCCACCCCATGTGTTTCCTATTAAGGGTTAATAAATATGTAGCAAATTAGAAAAATACCCCTCTGTCTCATTAGAGATTTTTTTTTACCTAAAGCTGAAGGAAGCAAGGTGAATGGTTAGTGTAGGACCCAGCTAAGAGGTTTGCCTTGACGTGGCAGGGGAGCTTACAATCTAATGGCCATTGGAGTAATATTAAAAACCTCCAGTTATTTAAATATGGATAGGGATTTGGTATAGTGCACAACTATTTTTTTGTTTTTTTAGTGTATATATTGGGGCTGATATGTACTATGGTCACTGCTGCTGCCCAGGAGTAGTGGGAATCTGAGAGCAGGACTTATTTTTGTGTAACCATAATCACTACAGCCTGCTGAAATGGGACATCTTTGGTCCTCTCTCATAAAACTAGCATATAAAAAAAACTGAATGGGTCACAGACGCTACACACAAGCAATGTGGAACAGTTGGAGGGAATGCGGAGTGAGGGGAGAGCTAGCTTCCTCTTGCAGGTGCTGTCTCTGCAAGGATAAGACTTTCACATGTGTCGGCAGCGGGCACTGCACACGGACAGACAGATTTTGACATTGCCAGCCCGTAAGTTCTGCGCTGCGGGGGTGCAACCAGACCCCATAACGCAATTACAAAGATCTCACTATGTGCAGTGACATTGCACTAACGGACTCCTACAAAAAGAAAAGTCCTGGGCTCACTCCAATCACTCCTGGGCAGCAGCAACGACCACAGTACACATCAGCTCCAATACATATAGTAAAAACCAAAGCAAAAAAATTACCTCCATTTGTTTAAATATACGTAGGGATTAAGAAGAGAGTGCAGGTAACTTTTTTTATTTGGTTCTTACTATATGTATTGGAGCTGATGTGTACTGTGGTCGTTGCTGCCGCCCAGGAGTGATGGGAGTGAGCGCAGGACTTTTCTTTTTGTATTTACTTTTTGTATCACACAGCTAGGTTACAATGGTGCCACCCATCCTATGTGTTCCCTATTAAGGGTTAATAAGTATATAGGGGTGTATATAAAAAAATACGACTTTCTGTCTCATTAGAGATATCTTTGCCAGAAGCTCAAGAGAGCAAGGTGAAGGGTCAGAGTAGGACCCGCTTAGGGGGGTCTGCCTTGACGTTGGCAGGCGGACATTCCCTCCAGTGGCCATTGGAGTAACTAAATGACCTCCATTTGTTTAAATATACATAGGGATTAAGGAGAGAGCGCAGGTAACTTTTTTTTCCTTTGGTTTTTACTGACTCCTACCACCATAACAACTTAAAATCACTGAGGTGGTCATGGTGGTTGGAGCAACACTTTAATATTTTCATAAATATGCAGATGTGGGTATAAAGATTTCAAAATACCAAGTAACTAAGGCAGAAAACTTAGGAGCCCAGTTAGAGAGTTCCTTTAACTAAGGCTCAGAATTCCATATAAAGCCGCTAGATGGCACTGTTTCGGACAAATAATTTAGTAAACCCGCAGTTCTTGCGGTCCTTGGGAGCTTACCTAGCCAGAGCTTGGCCCCCGGGCCAGTAGATGGCCCAGTAAGGGTCCTCATAGGGCCAAAGGTCGGACGGCAGATACCAGTGCTTGCAGCGGGGAGTGAGCAGATGTAAACGGAGTTCCGGTGTCAGGTGCTCGCTCACTACCTCCGTGTGCTGCACTATAAAGTTTTTCAGAGAGGTGGCGCTGTAGCTGCGCTGACCCGCGGAGGGGGCTCTCAGCAGGAGGGCTCGGCATAGAGTCAGCATGACCTGAGCAGACCTGCACCGTACCTTGTACGGTACTTGATATACTTCCGCCGGATTCTGCGTCTCGCACTATTTGTTCCTGGGCTAATCCAGGACAGACATTCTAACTGCTGACAAACAACTCCCATCAACCCAGCCATACGTGACTTTAGTGTCTGAAAGTATGAATGCAAGATGTTGTAATATTATTTACCAATTACAAGTATTGAGATTATTTTTGGCAAAGGTATTTTAATTTGTTTAGGGTTTAAGTTGGGGCTAGGCAGACCCATTAAAGGACCACTCTAGGCACCCAGATCACTTCAGCTCAATGAAGTGGTCTGGGTGCCAGGTCCAGCTAGGGTTAACCCTTTCTGCTGTAAACATAGCAGTTTCAGAGAAACTGCTATGTTTACCTATGGGTTAATCCAACCTCTAGTGGCTGTCTCACTGACAGCCGCTAGAGGCGCTTCCGCACTTCTTACTGTGATTTTCACAGTGAGAAGACGCCAGCGTCCATAGGAAAGCATTGAGAATGCTTTCCTATGAGACTGGCTGAATGCGCGCACAGCTCTTGCCGCTCATGTGCATTCAGCCGGTGATGGAAGAAGAGAGAGGAGAGTCCCAGCGCCAAGGGAGCCCGGCGCTGGAAAAAGGGTGAGTGTTTAACCCCTTTCCTTCCCGTTCAGTGCCATGGGAGGGGGCCCCTGAGGGTGGGGGCACCGTCAGGGCACTATAGTGCCAGGTAAACGAGTTTGTTTTCCTAGCACTATAGTGGTCCTTTAATACATTTTCAATGGGATTTTCTATGTAAATGTGACCATTTAATGCTATATCTATATGTATATTAGCTTTGGGCATAATAATAAAACTTTTTTAATAATTTATTTTTTTTTTAAATTAAAAAAAATAATTGTAATTTGTAATGGCGATAGTTCTGGATTTACTAACCATAGTAAATAGTACAGAAGCAGTTGCTATGGTCAGTTTTGCAGAGCAGGTCAATAGACTAACATGCCTTTTGTTCTTCTGGTTTATAGGCTCTTTAACTTTTCCAAGAAGCCTATTACACACATCCAAGGGTTTGTTTCACCATGGTACCCTACTTATGTAAAACATGCTCATGGGTCACACACAGTTATGTCATATTCATATTTCACATTTGCTTTGGATGCCAGGCTGTGCCAAAATAATCTAGTGTTTGATAGAATTTATACACAAAAATAAATTGTTAAAAAAAAAACATGGGCTGTTCTGTTTATTAATATTGCAATATGACTCATCCAGAGTAAAAACCAAAAATCAATATGAACTCTGAGCATTGTACAAAGACTTATATACCTACTAAATATGTAGAAATACCAATAATATTGGGTAACCTAGTTGTCCATGTAAAGTATGGTTTTAGAAAGCAAAAATCACGTCATTAACATGACAAAGTTGTAGTGGGGCGCTAGTCCTGATGGATCTGTGAAGACAGGAACTCTGGAACAAGGCGCTGTGAAGTGAATAGCTCTATCCCTCCCCAGTAACTGGACGACACACCGTTCTGGGAGTACAACTGAGTTATGCCACACAAACTCAGCCTTTTATGCACAGACCCCCAGCATGGGGTCTCCATTCAAAAAGTACACAAACCCCTCCCAGGCATCTGTGTCTGGGAGATAATTGAGTCAAAACTTAATAACTCAATTATCTCTCGGTTGCAGAAAATTACATGAACATACATAAAACACCCTAAAACATGGTCATATTTCACTGGAATCCCACAAGTCTTATATCCCCTAATAGCCCAGATCTGAGCGTCCAACATATCCAAATAGCGGTCAGATCTGGCTTTCGGGTAAAGTTCTGACCGTCCGGCCACGAGGCGATGGCCCAAACAGTTCCAGAGAAACGAGGGAGACAGCCGGTCTGCTTTCGGGGGTTCCTGTGCCAACACCAACGAATGCTCCTCTTGGCTCTTAGGTAGATATGCTCCCCCCAGTCGGTAGTTTGTATCTTCCGAAAATCGTTTGTCTAGTTGGTCGGGAAGTGGAACGGGCATCGATACTATCTTTGCCCAGGTTCGTGGACTTGCGTGGCCAAAAATAGTTCCAGGCGTTCGAAGACCATGCCTGTGTTCGGGAGACAAAATTCAGTTATACGAATGGTGGCAACCCAGGGAAAGCACTCAAGTTAATTACTTAATTGCCGTTAACAGCCAGGGGTTGAGAGGGTTCGGGACCATTCGGGAAATGAACAAGGGGGGTACGGATGACAACGGAACAAAGGGGAATGAGTCTGCTACAAAAGTAGATATGAAAAAAAAATGATAAGAATGGATACATTGATAGACAGGATCAGTAAATGAAAATACACTCACATTTTATGCAGCTTCAAGTTGGCTCTTATTCATCAGAGTGGAACGGTATAATCCCTACTCTAGAATATGTGGATGGTTGGACTCTTCTCCTTAATGGTATAAAAATGAATAATACAAAATAGTGCACACTGTATAGTGAGTAAGTGCTAATAAATTTATTTTCAAGATCCTGAATTATTTTATTCAATCCACAGGGGTGGTATAATACCCAGAAGGCAATATGCAGCAACAAGAAGGTTCAGGGAACAAAATATATTTCTTTATTAGAGATAGTAAAACCATTATCAATTAATAAAACAAACTATCCCATACACATTAACACATTTTACCTCTGGAAGGGCTTTATCAAAGTGAAAATAAGATAAAACCAGCTATAACAAAGCCAGAACATAAAGTTATTTAAATAATTATCATAGCATATGTGATAGGCCCGTCTTCATGAAATTGAGTTTCTTGTGGGCAAAATGGAGTTTGCATTGTTAGTTAGAATAACTGCTAAGAAATACTAGGACAGCAGAAATGTTTTTATACAAATTTAGTGCACTATTATTTCTGTGAAGGTTTTAGACAGGGGTATACACAATACAGAAAAAAAAGCAAGTTGTATACAGATTATTGCAGCATATTTATGATATTTATAATGTTCCACAAACACAAACGTGGTTTGTAAGAAGAAAATATAGTGAAAACAATCAGAATAATTATGTACTTCATAACATAGGATAGAAAAGCAGTTATAACAAGTTGCAGTAACAGGCCGTATGTGACTGCATAGATCTTTCTGACTACAAAATGTTTGCATATCCTGAGCGATATCCCCAGGAAGGAAAAGGCTATCCGTATTCTAATCTGAAAAGCAGGACAAAGTGTAATACTGAAGATTTTAGTACCATGACCTAGCCCTTAATTTTATATTTTATTAAAGACACGGAGGCTCATATTATGCTGCACGCTCTTTAATTCCCTCAGCAGCATAGCAAGATAACGTTAACATAGTTCGAAAAAAAATGGAAAATTAAAAAAAATAACATCCTGTACATACATCATATGCATAACACATAATCCAATGAAATACAGGCACAATACTATATAAGGCAGAACCTCTCTCTCCATTTCCTCTTTCTTTGCTGCTCCCTCAACTAAGTATACCTTTTACTACTGCGGTCCTGTGGTGGCTCGGGATGAAACCCCTCCTCCCCCCTTTTTTTTCGTGGAGTGGGTCCTCTGAGCCCTTACTGGACCCCTTTGTTGTTATTTGCTCTATTTATTGTTTGCTTATATTTAATACATATTTCAAACATTGTATTGTACTGTGGGTTTAGCTTTGTGGGTGTTCCCTTCCCTCCCACTCACTGCTGTTGGGTCCCCCTCACTGGGCACCCACCTCACTCATCCCCTATTTTTGTCCGGCTAGCCTCACCCTCCTTCAGCGAGAGACTCCGGCAGCCCCGTTCATGGCCGACTCGGGCCGCGCACATCTGCGAGGCAACCTCCAGCGGCCATCTTGTTAGACCCGGATTCAGCTCATGGCGGCTATCTTTCTGGTTCCACCGCTCGCTGGAGGTGGCCATTTCCCCAGAGCCATACACTCACCCACGGTCATCTTGTTGGGGTCCTGGTGAGTTGCGGCGGCCATTTTTTCTGTGCGCTTTTTCGCGTGCTTTGCGCAGGAACTGCCCTTACACCTCACTCTGGGGTACTGCCAGGGTGCCATTTTCCTTAGCTTGTTTTGGCACCCAGACAGCTCCTTGCTCCTCTATATAACTGAGTTTAAAGGGACACTATAGTCACCTGAACAACTTTAGCTTAATGAAGCTGTTTTGGTGTATAGAACATGCCCCTACAGCCTCACTGATCAATCCTCTGCCATTAAGGAGTTAAATCCCTTTGTTTATGAACCCTAGTCACACCTCCCTGCATGTGACTTTCACAGCCTTCCATAAACACTTCCTGTAAAGAGAGCCCTATTTAGGCTTTCTTTATTGCAAGTTCTGTTTAATTAAGATTTTCTTATACCCTGCTATGTTAATAGCTTGCTAGACCCTGCAAGAGCCTCCTGTATGTGATTAAAGTTCAATTTAGAAATTGAGATACAATTATTTAAGGTAAATTACATCTGCTTGAAAGTGAAACCAGTTGATTTTTTTCATGCAGGCTCTGTCAATCATAGCCAGGGGAGGTGTGGCTAGGGCTGCATAAACAGAAACAAAGTGATTTAACTCCTAAATGACAGTGAATTGAGCAGTGAAATTGCAGAGGAATGATCTATACAGTAAAACTGCTTTATTTAGCTAAAGTAATTTTGGTGACTACAGTGTTCCTTTAATTTGCTAATTTTTCCTACAATTTCTAGTCATTTTCCCTTGGGCCCTGTCTCTGTTAATAGTGTCTCTGCACACTATTCTGCCATTGCACATCAGGGTTTTCTATTAAATTATACCTTGCAGTAACAGGGTTTCTCCAACTTTACTTTTACCCTTTGAGTTGCCTGTGCAGGCGCTTATTTGTCATGTTTGAATAACATGCAAAACGCTAACATGCCTTCACCTAATGTGGATCAGGAGGCTCCTGGGCCCCCTACAGGGATCTCCCCATTTGCCTCGGATGAGGAAGTCGGATTGTTAGGCTCAGACAAGTTCCAAGCAATTCTGGACTCCTCTATGTCCAAATCTATTACCAAGGCTTTGGTTTTGGCTATGTGCTTTATGTCCAGTTCCCGGTCAACCACCATTTCCCAAACCTTCTTGCAGGCGCAGTGTTCTATCCCTGCGACAAATCCACCAGCTGTGGCCACTGCTTTGAACATACCAGGCCGGAAGGCCCTGTCCAAATGCAAACACGTTGTAACAGTTAGTAACGCACCTGTCTCAGATGGCGCGCAACTAGCACAACTGCACTAATGACCCACTAGCCAGGCAAAAGCGGCTAGTATATGGAAAAGGGCTAAGGCCCACACTGATGTGTCTGAGCTCAGCAATTCTGAGGAGGAGTAGTTAAGCGAGTCCTATCTGGACCTAGATGGGAGTCTGATATTGATTCGGAGGATGCAGGGGATGATATCCCGGCTCCCTCACACTTCCCTTCTACTGAAAGTACATTGTCAACTACACCCCCTCAACCCCTCTCCAGATGTAGATGGCTAGGTTCTGGGCCCACAGGGTAAACCCCTGTTCGTTCCAGTTGAATTAAGACACCCTAAGTCAGCTGAATAGCTCCTGTGGTGCAATATCTGGCATTACGGGGCCAAGGGACCCTAAAAAAAAGCAACGCGCAATAAGCTGCGGGCTGAATGCCCATGCCCAACTGTTCCCAATAAGGTGAGATAAACGCCGGACAATCCTGCGACATTCTGGACATCCTGGGACCAACCACTATTTGAGGCAGTTGACGATGCATTGTATAACAACCTGCAACTGGATTTGTTAACTGTCAGAGGATGGATTTATAGATTGGTATGGCTAATAGGCAACGCAAACACGGCCATTGCTACAGAATGTGAAAATCCATTCTTTTAAAAATTGAGCCTAAATTGATTAATTTGGCCACAAGCCAAGGATCCCTCTTTGGGGATTCCTTTGTAAAAGATCTGTGGGCATATGTGAAGACCTTTACTACGCTGGATAAGGTGCAATTAAATATGCGTAGGGTCTTCTACCTCAAGGTTTTCGCTGGGGCTGCAAGAGCCAGGAGCCGTCTGTCCGGCCGTCCCCCGAGAGGTTCGTCCAGTACGAGCCGAGGTTCCTATCCAGGTAGATCATCCATGCCTAAGTACAAGCCCAACCAACCGTTCTTCCTGTGTTATGCTACTTGGGTTATTTGGATTGGAACTCAACTGCAGCTTGTAGAACTCCTTAATTACAATAGTAAAGAAACAGAGAATCTTTAAAGTATCAATACTGTAGCTTTAAGAAAAGAGAGGATTGCTGGCAATTAGAGAATTAAACGAAGTTTTAATGATTGATAAACTTAAATGAATTGCATATAGGCAATAATCCAATAAGAAGAAAGTGCAGTTTAGCAAACAATACAAAGTTGATTAACCCCTTAAAGGACCACTATAGTGCCAGGAAAACATACTCGTTTTCCTGGCACTATAGTGCCCTGAGGGTGCCCCCACCCTCAGGGACCCCCTCCCGCCCGGCTCTGGAAGGGGGAAAGGGGTAAAACTTACCTTTTTCCAGCGCTGGGCGGAGAGCTCTCCTCCTCCTCCTCCTCCTCCTGGGCTGAATGCGCACGCGCGGCAAGAGCTGCGCGCGCATTCAGCCCGTCGCATAGGAAAGCATTTACAATGCTTTCCTATGGACGCTGCGTGCTCTCACTGTGAAAATCACAGTGAGAAGCACGCAAGCGCCTCTAGTGGCTGTCAATGAGACAGCCACTAGAGGATTAGGGGGAAGGCTTAACCCATTAATAAACATAGCAGTTTCTCTGAAACTGCTATGTTTATTAAAAAATGGGTTAACCCTAGAAGGACCTGGCACCCAGACCACTTCATTAAGCTGAAGTGGTCTGGGTGCCTAGAGTGGTCCTTTAAGGACGGAGCCAAATGTACACGTTGTGAACGAAACAAAATGTAAACAAAACCTGGCATTTGCGCTACATGTCTGTCCAACCGTAATTCACCTCTTTCATAGTAAATACACCCACCCTTATTATATATCATTTTATTCAGGGGAAACAAGGCTTTCATTTAATATCAAATAATTAGCTATGAAACATAATTTAATATGAAACAAATTGGAGAAAATAAGATTTTGTTTGATTTTTTTTAGTTCTACATGACATTTTAACTGTCAATGTCTTAATACTGTTTGCTTTTACTGCAATAAAATACACATATTTGTATTCAGCTGTAACTTTTGAAAACACCATAAAACCTGTACATGAGGGGTACTGTTGTACTTGGGAGACTTCGCTGAACACAAATATTTGTGTTTCAAAACAGCAAAAAGTATCACAGCAATAATATCGTCCGGGGAAGTGCTGTTTGTGCATGAAAAATGCAAAAAACTTCACTTTTACTGGCGATATCATCGTTGTAATACATTTTACTGTTTTGAAACACTAATATTTGTGTTCAGCGAAGTCTCCCGAGTAGAACAGTACCCCCCATGTACAGGTTTTATGGTGTCTTGGAAAGTTATAGGGTTAAATATAGTGCTAGCAAATTAAATTCCCTTTACTTTCGGCATGGGTTGTCAGGCAAGTCCCGCTAATTGTAATTAATTAAGATACCTAATTATGTAAAAATATTACATAAATATATATCTAGAATTAATATATGTATATATATATATATACGTATGTGAATCTATATGTGTATATATATATATATATAATTTTTTTTAAATATTTTTATTTATATATAGGTATATATATATAGTGATATATACATATATATTTATGTATGTAGATATATATATTATTTTGTTCTACGTGTATTTTGATATAAATATATATATATATATATTAATATCACAATACAGTTAGAACGAAATAACACACATCTATATATTTTTTAATAATTTTTTTTTAATAATTTTTTTTATTTTATTTTTTAACGTATTTACATATTTAATTTTTTATATTATATATAAATATATAAAACAATAATTATATATATATTTAATCAGTATCAGTCTACTTGTAATTTGATATTATTATATATATATATAATTATATATATATTAATAGTAAAATACACCTAGACAGTGTATGTGTATGTATGTATATGTGTATATATATACTTAGATCATATATATATAATATATATGATCTAAGTATATATATATATTTTTTTTTTTTTGCACTTAATTTTATTTTTATTTTCAGACAGCAGGGGGACCACCTGTCATTTCAGGCAGCCCCCCTGCTGGCAATGCAGCAGGCAGCCTACCCGGCCATGTGATTGTGAGGTCCTCACAAGGACCTCACTCTCACATGGCCGGGGGGGCTTCCAGGGGGTCGGACGTGCCGCGGGGGGCTCCCTGGGCTTTACCGGGTAAGTAAAGAAAGACCGGAGGGCGTACAATTACGTCTGGCGGCGTTTAGAGCCGCCTAAAATAGGGTGTAATTGTACGCCCTCCGGTCTTTCTTTACTCCGGTCCGGTCTTAAATGGGTTAATAAGTATTTCCTCAGAGATGTATTAAATAAGATTCTTTAGGTTGATAGGAATAATCTTCAATAGAAACATTAAGCAGGTAGCAGAGAGTATTTGCAAAGAAACAGTTTATAGTGATTAAGCTTGATGGGAGTTGTCCTCCATATAATTAGTAACTTGAAGCAGAGAAGATTTGAGCAAGCAGAAATTAGTTCATTAATAACTGAGATTGCAGACAATAGTTGAAAGTTATACTTAAGGTTAATGTGAGTTGTCGTCCAAGAGATCAGAGTTAGAGTCCACTTGTTAAATGGTAAAATATCTGTTCTCTAGTAATCCTCTATGGCATGAAACTTATTCCTTTTATCACTTCAAAGGCTAGGACGGCTTGTCAGAGCTTGTGGAGCCGGCGTCTATACCCGGAAGTAGGTCCCACAATCACCAAGCGCCTTCTCTCTGGCGCGGTCTCTCTAAGTACTGTCAGAGAACCGTGTCAGAAGGGGGCGGGGCCGGCTCCACATAGCGGAAGTGCTGAACCCGGAAGAGATACCGCATGACATCCTGCATCAGAGCAGACCATGGTCCTCCAGGGACCACAGGGGAAGACCTTCCGGACAACACTCTTATGGTAAGCTTGCTTAATCTCCATTCTTCTCTATGGTCTGTGGGGGGGGGGACTCACATGTTTTTCCCATGTATGGGCTCTAATAACTCAGGCTACGTGGGTCCTCCAAGCTGTACGGGGATATGTTATAGAGTTTGTGTCTCTGCCTCTCCAATTGTTCCCTCCTAAAGGCATTGTTTTTTTTCCCCTACAGGATACCGACCTGGTCTCCCAGGAAATTTGGAAACTGGCACACAAAAATGCCATCCAAGAAATCTTGTTACCTACACTTGGATTTATCATCAATCTATTCCTAGTACCAAAGAAAGGCAGTGGCGTGTGCCCCATCATCAACTTGAAACCTCTCAACGCGTATGTCAGGTACCATCATTTCAAAATGGTGCGCTAGGTCCCGGTCACGTGGTACCCGCCTGGACAATGGGAGTGAGTTATGCGCCAGGTACACGTTTCAAACTGTGATACCGTCTCTAGGAGACCAGAGAGAGAGGGAGCGAGCCCGGATCTGGCCCCAGGGCAACATGGAACCCTGAATCATTGAGCCAGGACCTTACCAGGCCACCGAGCTGTGAAATGAGACCATTGAGTTTTTCCGTGCAAGAATGCCACAGAGAAGACATTGAATCTATTTTAAAACCTATGATCAGTGCTTCACTGCGTCTGAGGTTTTTACATGAGCTCCTCCAATGCAATCAGAACTTTGGTCCTGCAGTAATTCGTAATCAAACAGTTCAGCTTCTTAAAATGTTTCAAAAGAACCACATTGTTTAAGATGTTAAAGGAAGATGGAGAAAAGAGGATTTTGAAGACAACAGCTGTTTATTCAGGTTTCCTCTAGTTTCATCACTGAAATCATATCCCAAAAGTCCACAGTACAGCACACAGCCAATTCCATTCCCTCAGTGGGACGATCGGGAATCCCTGTCACCACAAGGTTGTGTTCCTCTAAAGCCCATTGTAATGAACTCTGAAATGTGGTACAAACGCCACAGCATTGCAATCGGGGAGGTGCGTGTTTGTCGACTGGTTTATCGCAGAGAATTGACAAAAGCAGATGTGTACAATATCAATAAACAGAATATTGTGGTTTTAGAAGACCGATCAAAGTTGCTTCCACACTGGTTATTGTCAGCAATTAAATGCTTAGCAAATTGGCCAGATTGCTCAGATATGAAGCAGCCCATGTATGTGGGGTTCGAGAAAGATGTCTTTAAGACCATTGCCGATTATCATGGATACCTACAGGAATCACTGCTTACATTTCAGTTGTTTGATGTTTTTGTGAATGTTCTTGGTCTCCTGCACAAAAAGCTTGTAGCCATTGAAGCTCTATAGGTTTGCTGTCTCCTTCTTCCACCAGAAAATTAAAGGAAGCTACAACTTTTAATGAGGATGATGGCACCTCAAAGGAAGCTACAACTTTTAATGAGGATGATGGCACAGAGAAATGCCACCTCTATGTGATACCAGTGGAAACAGAGCTCTGATGGTACAGACCTTTTCTCGCTGTATACTCCGTTCTAAAGAAGAGGCTGACCTGAGTGAACTTTTGTCCACAAAGCTAGTGACATTTATGATGGACAATTAGCAAGACATATTGAGTGTTCCTTTATCTTTGAAAAATGCAGTAGAGGATTATCTTGGTCATCAACGACGCGTTCAAATAAAATATCCAGGAGCTGATATGGACACCACACTTCATTCTAGTGTCATACAGCCCCATGCCACGCCATATCAATATGAATACCAGAGAGTAAGCAAGCCTTAATATGCATTAAAACTCTTACTGGAGGATATTATCACAAATAAGCAGTTATCTTCAAAGGAGAGAAAAAAAAGGCTAAAACAGTTCCAGAGATCACATCAAGAGGTGTACAAAGAGCGACTACCTACTCCTGAGAATGAAGCAGCACTCTTTCCAGAGAAAACAAGTCTAAAATCACATTTGTCCTTTTTTTACGCTAAAATGTCCATTTCAGAGGACCAGAAGCTTTCGCATGTAGCTTTTTGGTTTATCTTGGTGGATGATTGGCCTTCAATTGGCAACTTTTTGTCTGATAATTTCCATAGCTTGACGCATACAGTGGTTTGCTATGGGGGAAAAAAAAATACGGTATGTAACTACTGAAAACTAAGAACTATATAAACGTAAGCAACGAAGAGCAGCATGATACAAAATATTCCTTATTTCAGTATTTTTTGACTGTCTACTTTTAGCTTTTCATTTTTGAAGCTTCACTTTAAAACCTTTATTTATTTATTTTTAAACACAAACGGACTACTGAGTATATGAACTACAGGAAGGCTGAACTTGATGGACGCAAGTCTGTTCAACTATGTAACTATGTAAAATGGAGGGGATCCACTGTGTTTGTGACCTACTTTAGCTGTCAGATTGGATGGCCAAATTGGACCTAAAGGATGCATACCTCAAGCAACTGCAACTTTCTGCAATTCATGTGGGATGGAAAGAAATGGAGATTCAGATGCCTCCCATTTGGACTCTCCTCAGCCCCGTGGTGCTTTACCAAAATTCTGAAGCTGGTGGTCGCCTTTCTGAGGAGCCGAGGTATACATATCATCATCTACCTCGATGACATCCTGCTAATGTCGTCTTCCCAAAGCACACTGCATATGCACCTGGCCTGTACCATGACCCTCCTCCAAAATCTGGGGTTCCTAATCAACTAGGAGAAATCCATTCTCTCGCCCACGCAACACATAGAATTTCTGGGGTCGCGGATAGATTCAACACAGACTCCAACTACCCATGTCCAACGTAAAGTCTATCAAAAAAGAAATCTCTCTCAACTGGCTCGTATGGTCAGCCTTCTATCCAAGCAATTTTTTCAGGACCGCTCCACTACAGGGCACTACAACGCCTTCAAGCGGCCTACCTCCGAACAGGTGCCTCCTACGAAGATGCTATGACCTTGGATATGGAAGCCAAAGAAGAACGCAAATGATGACTCTGCCGCATGGAGAAGTGGAATGGACATGCCAGCTTCGGCACGGCTCCAGATGTGATTGTAGAATCCAGTGCGAGTCTACATGGTTGGGGCGCACGCGGCGGAGTTATCTCCACGAGCAGAAGGTGGTCCGAGGAAGAGAAAGGCTACCACATCAATTGTCTGGAACTCCTGGCCAGCTCATTTGCAGTCAGATGCTTTTCCCAAACAAGCTCTGAATGTTCTATTCTATTGAGGATGGACAATGTATCGGCGGTCAGGTACATCAACTGTCTAGGCTGTACACGCTCCAGGATCCTAGAGAACATGGGCTGCGGTTTTTGGCATTATTGCCTATACCTCGGAATCTCAGTGACAGCTGAATACATTCCCGGCCTCTCCAACACAACAGCCGATTGGAACTTACGTCACCTCCGCTACTCCAGCAACTGGATCCTCTATTTTTTGTACAAGTTTTGGATATTTGGGGCCCACTCGAGATCGACCTTTTTGCATCTCGGTTGAACACTCAACTCCCCAAATTTTTCAGTTGGAGACCAGACCCGGAGGCTCTAGCAACAGATGCATTTTTACAAGACTGTTCACACCTGTAACCACAGTCTTCAATTTTTGACCAACCTTTTTGATTCTGTTAAAGCATATCGTACCATTAACCTATATCGGTCAGCTATCTCAGCAGGCCACAAGGTTATTGAGGGTACAGCGCTTGGATGGCATCCGTACATATGTCGACTCCGTGTTATCTTTCTCTCTAGACCCCCTAAATCTTGTTACTCTTCATTGTGAGATGTTAATATTGTCTTATCTTTTCTTGAGAATTGTCATAACGAAGAGTTGTAACTTAACTGTCTGCGAAATTGGTGGTTCTTTTCTGCTGAATCCCATATAAAAAGGTTTCAGATGTGAGAGCGTTGGATATCGATGCCCGCTCATTCACTTCTGAAGGTGTCCTTTTCGATATTTCTTGTAGGACTAAGACATCTTCCCGTTCTACTGCCTACCTGTCATTTCCTGTAAGACCGAACCTATGCCCTGTTCGATGTTTACAGGAATATGAAGCGAGAACCACGGCTCTTTGCCACCCAGATATGCATCAATTGTTTATCTATTTTCGCAAACCACATCTACCAGTATCATCCCCCACTTTGGCCTGTTGGGTAAAATGGGTAATGGCATTAGCGGATATTGATGTTTCCATGTTTTCCCCACACTCTGTTCGGGGGGCTATGGCCTCTAAAGCCTCATCTGTAGGTTGTAGATTGGAAGACATTCTGAAAGCAGCGGACTAGTCTTTAGAATCTACTTTCAGGGATTTCTATTTTAAACCCATCAGTCATTTTTCAGGACAGGTTATAGACCAGCTTTGAACAAGCATAATGTGAGCCTCTGTCTTTAATAAAATACCCAGATTTTACCAATATCATGATGTAAAGTTTTTATTGAAGACAGAGGCAAGTATTATTCCCCCCTGCCCTCCCATTGAACTATCTCTACTGGAATACGGTAAGTAGGTTGTTTATTTTCTTGGCTATAATGTGTTTCATTAAGGTTAAGGGGATTACGTTTGACACGTAGTGCATGGGTTCTAATATTTATGTTGCTTACTAACCTAATTGATTACTGATTTTATATACTTACCTATTGGTTAGTATAATTGTGGGTGATGATGATTGCGCATTACCATACTGTTTCTTTTCTTTTAGCCTAACCTGCTTCACGGACTACTTCCCTGAAAGTTCAAAACTGCGATGTATGGTTCGGCAGTTCATTGGAGTTTGTCCTGCTATTTGGAATTATATTGTTCCACCAAGTTTGAATTTATATAGCTTTGGGATCAACAGAAAGAAGAAGTGGAGAGATAGTTCCTGCCCTATATAGGATTGTGCCTGTATTTCATTGGATGATGTGTTATGAATATGATGTATGTACAGAATGTTATTTTTTTAATTTTCCATTGTTTTTTTCGAACTATGTTAACGTTATCTTGCTTTGCTGCAGAGGGAATTAAAGAAAGAGTGCAGCATAATACACACCTCTGTTTCTTTAATAAAATCAAGACTTTACGTCATGATATTAGTAAAATCTGGTTATTGTCTAACAAATATTTATTAAAATAATGAAGGAGATTATGAAAGTTTCAGTTCCCTAATAAAACTTGGTACGATCCCCATCAGGTAATATGGATCATCAAGATAATAGTATCTCATGAAAGACATTATTGCAGCTTAAAATAACAAATACATAAAGGAGAAAGAAGGAAATGAATACTTTGAGCAAACTCACTGTATTGGCCATCTACCTTCATCCCCACGCAGTTCTTCAGTGGCAAGCCAGGAAGAGAGTTTGCAGTGCCTTTCACTCCCAGGACATCGAGACCCACATGCTGCCTGTATTCATTCTAAAAAAATGGGGTGATATTTTAAAATAAAAAATGTAAAAAAAAAAGAAAGAATTTAAGAAAGCGAATTAAGAGGAGAAGCAATATCAGCACACCAATCGGAGAAGAAGAGGTGAACATTTTAATGGACACAGGACAGGAAGGAACAGATCTGGATTTATTGTATTTTACTTTTTTTTAAGATTCATACTGTACCTGAGGAAGTCTTGCAAAGGCTAGAGAATAAATGCATAGGACCAGCAGCTTTTATACTTTATGTTATCAATAAATCTTTTTGTACCTGAACTGGCTTCCGAGTCCTTGGGAAACTCAAAGACAAACAGGGTGCTGATAGCTCCCTGGGAACAAAGAGTGTAGGAAGCTTTTAAGCGCATTTATACAGTTAACCTGATGATATTGAAGTTAGTTTCTTATTCGGCCATTATTAATTTTTATATTTCACAGTTCATAATATTTACATACATTTTGAATGAATAAAAAAGTTAGATGAATAAGAAGCTATCACTGAATAAGAAGCTGACAGAATAGGAAGCTAACTTCAGCCTGTGAATAAGAAGCTGGCCAAATAAGAAGCTAACAATATTATGCTAACCTGTGAGTGCAATTCAAGTCAAAACAGAGGCATATATTGTAACATTGTTACAATATGGTTGTGTGACGGACCGCCTGGCACCCCAACCTCCGTCAATCGCTGCTTCCTAGTAATCCTGGAGTACCATAAGCACTGCACCGGACACCATAACTACTGTAAACCCCACAAAGCGCCGCAGCTTGGTTAGGGTCTTGCTGTCCTCCACCCACTCTGGACCCAAGACCAGGATCCAGCTTCCAGTGGGTGGACCTCTCCTAGTCCAGAGAGCAAAGCAGGCTGCTCTTACAAGAGCAATCGTTGTAACCCAAGGGAGTATAGTGATTATAGCAATCCCCAGAGTGAATATAGCTCTCCAATCCCCCCAAACATAAGCCTAGACTTCATGAAGGGTAAAACTAATCTCTTCTTCCCAGAGGGAACTGGCCTTATATGCAGGTCCCCATGCAAGGAGCACTCCCCCCTGGACCTGAGAGTAGACCACTGTAAAAACACATACACGGTTACATTGGCTTTCAGGTCCAGGACACCCCACACAAAATAGGTCAAACCCTCCCTTGGGCCTGGGAGATAACTCGATTATCTCCCAGCACAGAGAACACTTTTACAAAAAACCCCAAATACCTTTAAACACAAAAACCCCCCACAAAAGTTACATCTCCTGATGGCCCCGATCTGGGTGACCAACAGATCTAAAAATCACCTAGATCGGTTCAGGGGTTCAGGAATTTCCTGGAAGTCATAATTTCACTGACCGCACGCGTGGTCCCATTCCCAAAACCGTTCCAGAGAACGGGGCGTGTGGTCAGGGCCGGCCTTTGGTGTTCCGACGCCCTGTGTGAGCCAATCTTGTGGTGCCCCCCGCCATCTTTGTTTGATCCCCTTAGAAAATTTCAGGCACATTCACAAACTGTGGCCTGCAAACCCTTCAACAAATCCCTGCCCCATTCATCAGCCCCTGCCCCCCTTCATCAGTACCCTGCCACCCTTTATCACCAGTCCCCTACTCCACTTTATCACCAGCCCCCTGCCCCCCTTTATCACTAGCCCCTTGCCCCTTCAATAAAACACAATTGTTATATATATATATATATATATATATATTAAAAAAAGCAATAAGCACAAGCGCTTACATTAAAGACTGCTGCTCCCTGTATCCAGCTGTCAGTTTTTCCCACTCCACCGACTGAAGAGCAACTGTGCCCTGACACCCACTGAGCGGATCCTTCCGACGTCACACCCCCACGCGCCTCCTCCACACTCCTTCTGCATTCCAATTCGGGCCGGTTTGTGAGTGACCGACTGCGAGCTGTGTCGGCCACCTGGTGCCCCTGTTGCCATGGCACCCTGGTTGGCCGTACAGCTGGCACACCCTGGTTACAGTCACACAAAAAGTCAGACAGTCAGGCACGGTTACACAGGCAGACGGTCACACACAGAGTACAGTCTCATACACACACAAGCAGACAGTCAGACACTGTCAGTCACAGATCCTGGAAGTCCAGCTGTGTTTGGGAGTTTCAGTATCCGAAAACAGTTCCATGAACTCGACGATTAAACACCGCTGCCTGCGTTTGCGGGAACAAGATGGCCGCCACCTCGTGGTCATTCATGCGAACGGTAGCCACCAAGACAAACACTTAGAACACTGAGGTGGAAAGTGTTACAAACTGTCAATTAGGCTTAACAAGCTCCAGGGTGGTCTCTGGTTCGTTCAGCTGTTCGAGAACCGAACCATATAATCCCAATTGCACGAACAGAGCCAAAGTATTTTTAGCCAGGTCTATTCCAGGGGGTCATAATCCTGAGGCAGGAGGCTGGCAAGAACCCATGATGAGGTTCAGTTTGTCACAGGTTATCTTTCCTGTGTCTTTTTAGGGTCCAGCAGAAACTTCACTTTTGTTGTAAGTAAAGATTTGAAAGGGTACCTGTCATGGATCCACTGATTTTTGCTACGTTTGAAAAGCAGAAATTCTATCATATGTAAAGATTTTCACAATCTTCAATTAATTGTTGGAGATCGAAGTTAAATTAGTGATGGGGTAACAGAGAAACTCTCTTGCAAGCGTTTATCATTCTCTCTAGCACAGCACCTACATATTCATCATAGTCTAGGAGCTTGGTTGGCCCCATGTGCTGAAGTTTCTGTATTACTGAGTCAAAAAGGACACTAGGCTATCAACAGAAAGCTTGCAAAAAAAACAAACACAAAATGTAGTGCTTGCTTCTGTCTAGCAGTGTAGTCCCTGTAGAACCTAATTTTTATAACTGCACTGCATTTTGCATGTTTAGCCACTAGATGTCACAGTAGTTATATTCATGCAGTGATTGGCAATTATTTGCTTGCAGATCTAGAATGTGGATTATGTGACTATCATTAACCTAGTATATTCTACACTTATGTGGTATACGAGGTCAGATAAGAGAAGACCTTCACAACTACTAATATTTAACATTTACCGTTAAAGGAACACTCCAGACACATAAAGCACAGACAGCAGATCTGCAGCTTTTGCAATCTGTATTTACAAAATGCAGAAAACAATACATGCAACCTGGTGTCATGGGAGTTGTACCCCAACACGCAGGAAATAGGAAAACCCACAAGAGGTGGATTCAAAAGACATATTACCAAGCCTTACAATGGCCAGACTTAACGTATTAAATTAGCGAGAATCAAAGTCAAGAACAAATCAAGGTAAAGGATACAGAAATACACAAAGTCAACACAAAGCCAGGTCAGGATACCAGAAATCAGAAGTCAAATACGAACCCGAAGTCAGGATACCAGAAATCACAAGTCAAATATGAAGCCGAGGTCAAACACAGGAAATCAAAAGGGAATCTCTAGGAGCACTAAACGAGGATCTAACAAGAAACCACGATAGGGAAATGAATAGAGTCTAAAACAAGCCTTAAATAGGCTCAAAAGAGTTCCCATTGGTACACGTCATCTCTGTGACCCTAGATGACATCGTCCCTTTACGGTCATGACAGCATAGCAATATTTTATTTATAGGGCTGCAGTTCGTCCAGTGAGACCCTAACTGAGCAGCAACCTGACTCAACCTGTCACCCTTATGGAAACATGAAGAGGGAGGGCCCTCAAGGATGAAACTGGTCCCAGTGGATCTGTCCTGAACTCTCTCCAGCACCTAGAGTGGCCGCCCATTGTGAGAAAGATGCACAGAGGGGCTGGGGATGAAAGCAACACACAGAAGGCCCTGGGGGTGGAAATACAAAAGGCTGGGGGAGATAGACAGGCTGGGGGTGAAAGACACCAATGGAGCTGGAAATAGTACAAGACACAAAGGTGCTGGGAGAGAAGGAGACCCACAAAGGGGCTGGGGAGAGTAAGACACACAAATGGGGGTTGTATGAGATACACAATGGATGTGTAAGACACACAATGGGGAAAAGACATTTTAAAAAGAAGATAAGAAACAAAAGGCGGGTTAAGAGGCACGCAGGTGAGATAAGAAATCAGTGTTATCAGGATGTGATGACGTAGACGCATGCATCACGTGGGGTTGCGTGAGGCGAACAACCCGGATGCGGAGAGAGAGTTAGACAAGCTGGCTGCTTCAATTGGAGAAAGAGACAGGGGTGCCGCTTTCTGTGGAAGGCAAACGGTTACGGAGAGACATGGTAACCGTGGAAATTGCAGGCGAAACAGAGCAGAAACGCTCAGAAACGCAGAGTGGGAGAGGAATAAGAAAGATAAAGGGAGGCTGACCAGACAATGCAGGTAGCTGCCCATCAATCCAGTAATGATTGCAAAGGCTGGTGATTGATGCAGTTGGAAAAGCTGATTAATGTTAAAGAGCAAGCGGTACAAAGAAACAGGAAAACAATGGACAAAACCAGAATTTACAGAGTTAAAAATTGTCCCCGATTTATCTTGGGACACCATAAAAAAAAAAAAGAGAAAATCTTTTGCTGAAGTCACTGGGATACTAAGAAAAAATACAAAGAAGAAAGGAGAAAAAGAAAACAAACAACAGAGAAACCAAGGATAAAGATAAATAAGTCCTAAAGGCTCCCTGTAATTGCAATGCAACCCAAAGGGAAATAATTAAAAAATAACTTTTAATAAATTCCTTCTAAAAGTCAATACCTAAATAAATAGGTGAGAAATAACACATAAATAATGATTGAATGAAACCTGGAGAGAGTGGAGAATAAAGCTTACAAAGTAGCTAGGTAGTATCACAAAGAAAAAAAAAAAAGGGTAGTAGCCTAGTGGATCATAAAGACATCCAGTGGTGTCTAGAATATATCTAGCTATGAAACCCTAATATCGTTATAACTAACTCCTAACTCCCAGTACTCTTAGGCTGAAGTCATCTACCTAAGTTAAACAGAGAAAAAAACTCAATAGAAGGTACATAGAGGTTGTAATAGCTAAAAATAAAACTAAAGAGAGGGTGGTCTATCCGGAGCATAATAAATGATCTAATACTGGCTGCAGCATCGTCCCCAATAAATCTCTAGCCACCCGCTCACTAAAAAGTCCCGACGCGCGTTTCCCTTGAAAAGCCCTCGTGGGCAGAATAAATCACAGATATATCACAATACTAATGTAAATAATCACACTAAAGAGAGCAATAGTAAATTAACTAAAAAGAAATATGGAGTAATGGAACACGGAATAGTGGTATAACATTGAATGAAACAAGTGTGATAGGCTGAATGAAAAGATTACGAATTAGAGGATATTATAATTAGAGGATGTAACCCACAATTATGCATTGAAGGAAATCTTATAATTAAGAATATGGTGTTTAATCTAAGGTACATTTTATTGTAGATTAAGATATAAATTCATTTTTTTCTCCCTTATCTTCTTTCAAATTGAAAAACATAAGACAGAATATCTGGTTCGTAGCTTAGAATAATTTTTAACAAGATAATGTATTCTTATGTGTATGTCCGCATCCCCTTTTGGTTGTCGCTTGTTAGCCACGTAACAAGAGTAGCCATATGATTTCTATTCTTCAATGGCTTAATTTCTATTTTGCATGTACTATAGGGGTATACATGCAGATGTCTGGTCCGAGGGATCGGGACACTAGGGCTAAAGGGGAAATTAGGTTCTGTAAAAGAACCACAATGCTGTGTATAATGTTTTTTGTATTGTATGGTTGTTACCTGGATGGATGGTGCGAGTTCCCTAAAACTGCATTAAAGCCAATAAAAGATGGTTAGAATGCTTTATTAAAATGCTCAAGGCCTGAATAAGCCATAGAAATGAGCAGCATTCATTGAACTTATTCAAAAAGAAAAAGCTCAATTATGCTTCATTCAAGAAACCCACTGGGTAAAATCGGAGAGGCAATTTTTCATTGGGAAACAAATGGCCCACTTAATTAATGCTCCATCACAAGCAAGTAAAAGAATATGGGTCAAATCTTTTTTTCCCCAAAAATATAGTAGAAAAAGTTGAACAATTGGCAGTCGGTAATGTTATTATAGCAGGTGATTATAATTGCATACAAGATGTAATGATGGATAAGAAGGTTAGAACAGAAGTAACTAGGGCTTATGTATAAAAGCTAGGGCTTTTTCTTCAATCTTAAATAAATCAATGCTATATGATGCTTGGAGAGTTTTCCACACTACCGATAAGAAGTATACTCATTTCTCTTTTAGACATTGTTCCTATGCTCGTATTGATGTATCAATTACTATTTAATGTTAGGAAAAAAAAAAAAGATATATATACAAACAGTAAGTTGGTCGGACCATAATGTATTGGTTTGGGAAATACATAAAAATAAAATAAAGAGACCAAATTAATGGAAATTAAAAGATAGTTTGCTAAATTCAGAAGAAAATAGGCAGTATATAAAACCATGACAAGCTATTTCTTTCATGAAAATCAAGAGTCAACTAGTAGTAATAAGTGGTGTGCATATAAAGCGGTGATAAGAGGACACCTGATTAAAATAGAAAAAGAGATAATATGTCAACATTATTAATTAAGTTCTACAAAATAGATAAATTAAAACCAAGAGTCACCAAGTAAAGTAAGAGCTAAAGAAATGCATGAACTTAAAGAGAAAATAAACAGACTTAAGATAGACAGAATAAATAGAAACCTAGAAAAGTTAAAACAAACATGGCGTGTCAAAAACAATAAAGTTAACAAATTCTTAACTAATAAAATAAAGAAAAAAACAAGATAAAACAGAATAAAAAAGATAGTTCATCAGAATGAGATATGCCTAGCTCCGGAAGAGATAGGCCAGGCATTTAATAAATATTATAGCACTTTATATAATTTACCGATTTTGGGAGGGCAGGAACAAATAAAAAAAAATATTTACAAAACCTAGATATAAGACAGGTCCCAGAGGAAAAACAGAAGTTATTAAATGCCCCAATTCAAGATTCAGAAATGATTAAAGCTATAGGTAGCTTGAAAAGAAATAAAATGCCCGGCCCAGATGGATTCACAGTTACCTCTTTTTAAAATCCTAAAGAAAAAGTAGTACCAGAAATGACAAAACGGTTTAATGACATGATTAAAAATACTGACATGCCTCTAGAATTATTACAGGCAAATATACTACCAATACCTAAACCAGACAAAGATCCTACCTCAGTATTAAACTACCGGCCAATATCATTAATTAACATGGATGTTAAAATACTATCATCAGTTTAGATTAAAATAGGTAGTTGCCTATATAATTCCTAAAGATCAAATTGGTTTTGTACCAGAGAGAACTTCTGTGAATAACATAAGGCGGATTATCGACATTATAGATGCAGCTAGAAATAAGAAGGGATAATTAGTTTTAATAGCAGTCGATGCCAAAAAAGCCTTCAATTGCCAACTGGTCTTTTTTTATTTAAAACTCTAGAGGCTTTTGGATTCAAGGTTTTTTTTTTTCTTAGGGCTATAAAGGAATTAAACAGCAATCCTACTGCTAGAACTGTTGGACAAAATATACGTGCAGACTGGTTCCGATTAAGTAACGGGACACGACAAGGATGTCCTTTATCACCATTAATCTACTTTTTAACTATAGAAATTCTAGTTCAAAAGGAGAAGACTCAATAAGGAAATAAGAGGTTTTCCAGTTGCTCAAGAGGAACATAAGGTCTGCATGTGTTCGAATGATGTTATGCTGACGTTAAATTATCCACTATCATCTGTACCAGCCCTATTAAAGGAAGTGGAATCATACTCAAATGTGTCTAACTACAAAATAAACATTAATAAAATCAACAGTAATGCCAATAAAAAAACTTAGAAACAGAAAACATCCTAAAAGAAAAATATAGAGTTTTGCCTGGACAAAAAATAAAATAAAATTAATTATCTTCGGATTAAGATCATCCCTAATATTGAAGACATAATGAGAAATAACTTTCTAGATATGTTGAAACAGACTAATTACTTATTACAAGGATGGGAAAAAAGGGATGCAGTCTTGGTTGGACAGAATAAATGCAATAAAGCCATATATCCTGCCCAAATCGTTATATCTTTTCTGACATTTACCACTAGTAGTACCAACAAGTTGGCTAGATATGCTCCATACTAGTTTTTTAAAGTTCATGTGGAGGAATAAAAAAAACATGGATTGCAGCTAGAAAGTTGACCCTATCAATTAAAAATATGGCATTGGCTTTCCTCTGGTTAAAGATTACTATCACAAAAAAGTATAAGGTGGAGTATCTTACATACGCTTTTCAAATAGTTCTATGATATGTCTTGTAATCCTCTCTGAAATACTTTATGGCCCATAAAATTAGCCAACATTCGAAGTCTTTTTCCTGTCCTACAGCCCTTAGGATGTGAGCAATTTGCTCCCTTTACTTACGGACATGAAAAACAAAGATTTTTAACTGATGTCTTACACGAGGTAATGCTGCTTGATGGATTAGTCAGTTCTCATCCAGTTTCCCAAGAAGTATTGAAAGCGACAGATATTGACAGAGTGTTTGACTGGATCGCATATAAAAAGGGGGCAGCCTTAATTCGAATGTTGGCTAATTTTATGGGCCATAAAGTATTTCAGAGAGGATTACAAGACATATCATAGAACTATTTGAGAAGCGTATGTAAGATACTCCACCTTATACTTTTTTGTGTTTGTATTACTTTGTGGGTGAAGGTTAAGGGGACCTCACCAGGGTGTTAGAGTTACTTGCATACTTGCACATAGCTTGTATTGGGTCACTGTTATCTATTTTGTAATAAAGATTACTATCAAGCTAATATTATAGGACATATTTATATGACCCAAGAAACAAATATAGAATCGGAAATAAGGTATAAAATTGAAAAAAACAGATGTTGGGCTATAAGGAGCCCTACTATGCTATCTGGGATATTTCTTATGATAAAAATAAAAGCACAAAACTCAGCAGCTTTGTCGTAGAGAATTTATTTAATATGTGGTGGCAAATAAAAAAAAAACATAGGCATACAGAAGCAGATATTGGGCAACTTAAATATTAATGTCTTTGAGTTTAATGTACAAGATTCAAATTTAGAAGCTTGGAAGAAAGCAGGCATAGTTAATATTAAGCAACTGTTTATAGGCAATTTAATTAGCGTTTTTCTCAGCTAACACAGGAATTTGATTTGAATAATAGAAACATCTTCCTTTATTTAAGGGTTAAACACTTTCTCGAAGCCTCTATATACAAGGGCAATAAACTCATGATGAAATAACTAGAAGAAATATTTGATAGACATAAAGTAACAAAAATAATGTAAAAAGTTTATAGCTGCTTAAGCTTAAAAATATGATAATAATCATCAGGAAACCAGGTAAAAATTGGGTAATATGCTGCATATAGAAATTAATCCAGATTAATGGCTTGAGGCATGGAAAAGATATAATGAATCACTCAACTGTACTAATATATTGGAAAACCAATTTAAATTCATACAATTTTGGTACTATGTACCTACTAGGCTGGCAAAATTCTCACATATCCACAGTTTCAAATGTTGGAGATGTGGTAAAGCAGAGGGGGACTATATCCACATTTTGGTGGGATTTTAACATAATTAAAAAAAATTTGGAAATTGATTTTTAAATAATTACATTTGGTTTGGTAATGTTAGTATTGACACAAAACCTGAAATTGCTTTATTACATTTAAAGTGGGCGATGATAAATAAAAAAACAATCCCTGCTGATATTTCATTTTTTGTTGCAGCTAAAATATTAATAGCTAAAAAATGGAGCAAACAGATTAAATTCAATGGCCACAGTTAAGAGAACAGATGCTTTTTTCAATGTAGTACGGAACAGGGACTGTCTTGGACAAGTGCTAAGGCCAGACAAGAAAGCATTATTCTAAAAAATTGGCAAAACATTATGGAAAAGTAAAAATTGATTTCTTAAGTATTATGATTGTGGAACTCTTCCCGCCCATCCAGGTATATATGGTGTATGTTTGAACTGAATGTTATGTTATAAATGTATCTGACTTTCTAAAATGAATAATCTGGTAGATTTGAATGATATAAATATTATATGTAACGCAATTGTGTTTATTTAAATATGAAAAATATAATTGAAACAAAATAAAAAAGAGTCACCCAAGTGAAGATGCTTTGGGGGGGGTGCCAAAATCATCTTTGCATGTGTACCCAAAAATCCTTGCACCGGACCTGCAGACAGTTATTCTACATGGATAAGTCTGCTGTGTTTGGTGACTGCAACTCTAGAATACTTAGCCAGCAAGCTCCTTCCATTAACTGTTAAGGTTCTGTCACAATAACTGGGGCTCCACTACATCATTGCCACATGTCCTTCATTGTCAGGGTAAAATTACAATTTATGCAGACCAATACAGAGATCCTTCTAGTTAAAACAAAGCAAGCTGTGGCAATGTCTCTCACAAGAAATTAAAAACAAAAATTAAAAAAATCACAAATCAGTAACATCTATCTATATTCTGTAAATCTAAGACTAGACAATGTGAATAGAAGACTAATTCTAAATTGTTACTAGATGACAGGGAGGAAAACACCCTCAAAATACTGTTATGAAGATATTCAGCAGAGAAGAGCTCAGTAAATAGTACAGTCTTATCAGTATTTGTGCTGATAGGAAGCAAACAAGGCTCAATCACAAAATAAATGCCTGCCACACACAATGCAGACCATGTATATGCATGAATGCAATGAAACCCCCTTTAGATTAGAGAGTCTGGAGCCTGAATTCTAAATACTGCAAATTCCTACCACAGCAAGAGACCTGCTTTTGGTCACATGAACAAGATTAAATTATTACGTTTTATCAAGAGCTGAACGGATTTGTAATACTCTAATCTCTCCGACTCAGTTACAGACTGATGAACTACATTACAGTACTTTACATTCGGGTGTTTATTCACAAAACATCAATTTATAGTGAACTGAAAAATAATTACATAAATTTGTATTTAGGGCATATATGGCAAAATACTTGTTTGGAAACAATCTTGAAATTGGCTATACTTTTTTTTAGTTTTTGCATTTCAGTTCCATTTTTAGTGAGTAACCTCAAGGTTGTCTTCACATATGGATATGCAGGGCAATTGCCGGGGGCCCAACAAGCATAGTGGCCCCATCACGTTACCCATGTGCCAAGGCTGACAGGGGAGATACTTTTATCTCCCCTGCAGACCTATGCAAAGTTGACCTCGCTGTCTGCCTTCCTGGCCGGTGGAGAGATCAACCCCTCACACACACACTGCATCCCCTCACGCACACACTGCACCCTTCACTGCAGTCTGTGTGTATTTAGCAGTCCGTGTGTGTATGTGTGTGTGTATTCAGCAGAGTGTGTGTACATGTATTCAGCAGGCTGTGTGTATTCGGCAGTCTGAGTATGTATTGCATTTATTGGGGGTACCAATAAATATAAGCTTAATTTTATCGATAATTTAAAGTTTTATTCTTGACTGTGATTCTGTAGGCAGGGCCCCAGTGCACTGCTTTGCGCAGGGACCTCTAATGCTGTTAATATGGCCCTGAGTAACCTCTCTAGCTATTGTTCCCGTATTCCATATGGGCTATAATGGAGTGCTTGTACTCAGAGTGGTACCTCTGCTGTAGATTCTCCCAGGTCCCATAGTGAAGCAGTGATTATAACTCCTGCACACCTAACCATCAACTGAGACTTGATGAAGGGTTCAAAATTAACTGGTTTATTATGTCCAGGTTGCCTGTGTGTATACAAATGACCACCAGCATGTAACAGTAAACCCGTCCAGGAGTCTATGCCTGGGAGATAAGTAAGTTTGCTTTTGCCTAAACTAATTATCTTCCAGGCACTCGAGATACAATATATAAAAACATAAAACACCCCAAAATACATATAAAACAGATAGGAACTCCCACACGGTACGATTCCATCCCCGGATAGCCTAGATCTGAGCACCCAAGTTGTCCAAATAGCGCTCAGATCCATGTAGTATAGCCGACTCGCACACGTGGCTGTTGCCCAAAATAGTTCCAGGAGAAACAAGATAGCGGCCAGTCAACTTTTAGGAGTTCCTATGCGAGTGTAAACTAAGGCTCCCCCTGGCTCGTAGGGAGTGAATGTTCCACTCATTCGCGAATGTCTTTTCCCGGAAGAGTGCTCTCCGGGCTTGTGTGTGAGAGGAGCAGGAAACGGTACGATTTTCCCATTGTTCACAAGGTAGAGTATCCGCACTATAGTTCCATGAACTCGACAACCAGGTACCGCTGCCTGTGTTCGGGAGACAAAATAATCGCCATTCCCTAGAGCACATGTGTTCGGTTATACAAATGGCAGCCATTTAGAGAAAATATCTGAGTTAATTGCTCCTTTGAAGGTAACGAGCCAGGAGGGTGGTCAGTGTTCGGTAGTCTGAAAGTACCGAACCAAGGGGAAACATATTGTGTTTGGTTATACGGGTAAAGCTAACTTATGAAGTTCTTCACGTGTGCGTTACCAGAATTAAATGTTTGTCTTGTTCCTATGGTACAGCACTGCAGAATATGTTGACATTATATCAATAATTGTAAATTGAACTCTAAAATGTGTTTAAAATTGTGTCTCATTAAATTTTCTATCAGAATCAGACTATAGTGTATTTTTTTTAAAGCTATTAATAATTGTAATAACATAAGTCTGTTTTACCTGAATTTGACAAAAGCTCCCTATGTTATTGAATTTTTCTGTATTTTGTCACCTAAAGACTATTCTCACTACCCCTGGTTCCCTGCACCTATCCCTCCAAACCCACTACCCTGAAACACCATTCTCCCCAACAGTAATCGTAGTCCAGAAAGCCACAAAGACTATAGCGGGAGTTATGTGCAATTCGTCTGGAACGCTGGTCCTAACTGCCGGTCAACTCCTACCCCTGCCCTTTAAACAGCGGCACTATAAATGTATAAAAAAAAATATTTCAAATATTTCCTCCACTTCCAGTCCAGCTAGAAGATCGCTTTTTGGAGGGAAGGTGTCTCAAACTGGGTGGAACAATCGCTTCCTGGGAGCGCTCCTTAATTCGCCCAAAGGAACTCCCAACATTTGACCGTCCAAAGCACTAATCGCTCTGCAACACTTTGGGGCATGGACAACGTGTGCGGCCAGTCAAAACTTTACCCCAGTGGCGTTTTGTCATCTCTTCATGGATCCGTGTGCTATTTTGCCTCCATGGTCATTTGGATTAGAGCTATCCGGGGATATATAATGTGTGGGGTTCCTGTATGTTTTTATAATGTTTTTGTGTTGTGCTCTCTGGATCTGATAATTAGTTTAGCGAGCCTCATCTCAATTATCTCCCAGACTCTGGGATCACCAGAGGCACCAGAGTGGGATCACTGTATTGTGAATAGAGACCCCATGCAGGGGTTGTGTATAAATTACTGTTTGTAAGGGCTTACCTTGGTTGGAGTCCATAGTGCAGAGATGTTTGCTGACCCTTGCAGATAATCACAGCCCACGGTAACCAGGTATCAAGCCACCTGGGCGGTGAATCTGTGAACAGGGGCTTGGCAGAAACAATAACTGGGTACGTAGAAAAAGACAAAGGCCAATTCATGAGAGTAGTCAGGCACTGTTCCAAACGTTAGGGCAGGCAGCGCACAGACAATAACGAAGAATCCAAAAGCAGGAGAACAAATCAGCCTGGAAATCAAGGAAACATAGGCAACAGCTAGAGAAACAGGTAACAATGAACTTACACTGCCCTCGGGGAGATGCAGTGTTATATACCTGGGTAATGAGCAGCTAAATGGAAGTTGCCTCAGGTGGACTTAAAACGACAGGTAGTAGCGACAAGAAAAGTCCAGCCCCCTAGTGCTGCAGGCAAGGCAAGGCTAAAATCACACTGATAGCACTGGCTCAGAGACAGGAAAGCAGGCAGTATACTGAAGGACCTGGCATCAAATTCCCTGTAAGACACTTGTGGGGTGGCTACGGTATCAAAAGGGAATATATTATGTAGTGTTAAAACCAGTGTAGCAAGGTCTCTAGGTGTCTCTTGGTCGCTGCTTCTCTTATCCTTCTCTGGTCCTGGATTCAGCTACAGCATACAGTGATCATTGTGACCATTCCTGCTGCAAAAAAGTCAGTGCTCCATCAGCTGATCATCTGCAAAGGTAGCCTTCTGGAGGAACACACTAAGACTCTAACCTGCACACTATTATTTAGAGAGACATTTTACACAGCGTGGGAAAGTTCTTTGGAACTTCCCCACGCTGTGTAAAATGACTCTCTGGTTGATTGAAAGCAACCAATCAGAGTGTTATAAGTCAAATTACACAGCATGGGAAAATTCCAAAGAGCTTTCCTATGCTGTGTAAAATGACTCTCTGGTTGATTAAAAAGCAACCAATCAGAGTGTTATAAGTCACATTACACAGCATGGGAAAATTCCAAAGAACTTTCCCACGCTATGTGAAATGACTCAGAGCATTCTGATTGGTTGGATTTCAAGCCAACCAATCAGAGTGCTGTGACAAGTAAATGTAGAGACTTACCTGGCTTGGAATCAACCAATCAGAGTGCTTTAAGTGAAATTGCAGGGCGTGGGAAGGCTTTATAAGTCATTTTGCATGGTGCCCTCACTGGGTGAAGGATTCTTTTTTTAGCGTTGCAATTATTATTATTTTTGTGTATATTTTTTTGCGCTTGGTTTTTTTTATTTTAACAGTTGCGACGGGTATTATAGATTTTTGTTTGACCTTTTTTGGGGCTGAAGAAAGAAAAGAAAAGAGAAGACATCTAATGGTAAGTATGAAATTTTATTTTACAGGGTTAGTTTATTGCCCCCCCTCACTATTATTAGGGTGAGGGGAGTAGGTAGGGTATTTTTATTGAGGAGGGGAGTGACTAGGGTCTTGGGGACCCCTAATAACTTTTTTATTTGTGGTCCCCACCCGACATTAGGTCCCCCCTTTAATTAGGGTCCCCACCCACCACTCATGGGTGGGGACCGGGGGGACATTAGGTCCCCCCTTTAATTAATTAGGGTCCCCACCCGCCGCTCAGGGGTGTGTACCTGGGGGGAACATTAGGTCCCCTCCATTATTTATTTATTTATTTAGGGTCCCCACCCACCGCTCATGGGTGGGGACCAGGGGGGGACATTAGGTCCCCCCATTATTTATTTAGGGTCCTCACCCACCGCTCATCGGTGGGGACCAGGGGGGACATTAGCTCCCCCCTTTAATTAATTAGGGTCTCCACATGCCGCTCATGGGTGGGGACCAGGGAGGATATTAAGTCCCCCCATTATTTATTTATTTAGGGTCCCTAACCGCTGCTCATGGCTGGGGACCAGGGGGGACATTAGCTCCCCCCTTTAATTAATTAGGGTCCCTACCCGCCGCTCATGGGTGGGGACCTGGGGGGGACACTAGATCCCCCCCATTATTTATATATTTAGGGTCCCCACCCGCCACTCATGGGTGTGGACCAGAGGGGACATTAGTTCCCCACTTTAATTAATTAGGGTCCAGACCTGCCTCTCATGGGTGGGGACCAGGGAGCAAATTAGGTTCTCCCATTATTTATTTATTTAGGGTCCCTAGCCGCAGCTCATGTCTGGAGACCAAGGGGGACATTAGCTCCCCCTTTAATTAATTAGGGTCCCCACCCGATTCTCATGGGTGGGGACCTGGGGGGGGACATTAGGTCCCCCCATTATTTTTTGAATTAAGGTCCCCACCCACCACTCATGGATGGGTACCTGGGGGGGGGACACTAGGTCCCCCCATTTTTAAACCTCCCTTTTATTAATATGTGGGGGTGGCGTTAGGAATTAATATCATTAGAAGGAGGGAGCTGGTAGTGAAGGCTCCCTCCTTGCTTTTTTTTTGGCACATGCGCTGTTCTTCCTTTGCCCCAGACTCCCTTTGCTCTTTCTCTGACCCAGGCTCCCCTTGCTCTTTCTCTGACCCAGGCTCCCCTTGCGTTTCCTCTGCCCCAGGCTCTCCCTGCTCTTCCTCTGCCCCAGGTTCCCCATGCTCCTTCTCTGACCCAGGCTCTCCCTGCTTCTCCTCTGCCTAAGGTTCCCCATACTCCTCCTCTGCCCCAGGCTCGCCTTGCTTTTCCTTTGCCCCACGCTCTCTTTGTTTCTACTCTGTCCTGGGATCTCCCTGCTTCTCTTCTGTCCTGGGATCTCCCTTTTTATCCTCTACCCCAGGTTCTCCCTGCTTCTCCTCTTCCCCAAGATCCCACTTCTCCTCCTCTGCCTCAGGCTGTCCGTGTTTCTCCTTTGTGCCCCAGGCTCCCCTTGCTTCTCCTCTGCCCCAGGCTCCTCTGACCTCCTCTTCCCCAGGTCCCCCATACTCTTCCTCTGTCTCCAGGCTCCCCTTGATTCTCCTCTGTCCTAAGCTCCCGTGACTTTTTCTGTCCCCCTGCTTCTCCTCTACCCCAGGTCCCCCTGCTTCCCCAGGCTCCCCATGCTTCTCACAGTTCAGATAGACACACTGATACACATGCAGATACATGGAAACACATGCAGATACACACACTGATACACATGCAGATGCACAGATACACACATATCCAAACAATGACATGCAAAGATACAGACAAACAGATACACACACTGATACATAGGCAGATACATAAACCAGGGCTTGACAAATTTGCTCGGAATCTAAGAGCCAGCAAAAAAAGTTAGGAGCCAGATTTTTCAATGTCAAAAATACAATTCTTAAAAGAGAAACTATAGTCACCAGAACCACTACAGCTTAATGAAATTGCTCTGGTGTCTATGGCCTGTCCCTGAACACTTTTTAGAGAAAATATAGTGTTTACATTGTTGCCTAGTAACACTTCTTGTGACAGTCACTCAGACGGCCTCTAAAAGTGCATCCTCTTTCAGTGCTGCACGGTGCGTAGCACCTACGTTCAGCGTCTTCACGCTCTGTGAGGAGATGCTGATTGGCACAACGTGGCGTTTTGTCATAAATGTCAAAAGCCTCCCAATGGTTTCCTATGGGAAAGCATTGGATTGGCTGAGATCATTAATACTGATGATCTTAGTTATGGAGGCGGGGTCGGTGTGGGGAAAAAAGGTGAGTAAAAAACCCTTTCCAATGTGATTGAAGGGGGCTTGTCACCTAAACACACAAAAACACTGACAGACACACATACACACTGATTTGATGCAGACTCTGACAGACATACACACACTCATTGACAGACACAACACTCACTCACTGACAGACAAATTCACTGACAGACACACACTGACACTGCAATAATCACACACATTTGATCACACACTCATTTAAAAAAATTATTTTCATTTTATTGTTACCACCCTGCCTCTCTACCTTTGGGAGAGCTGGAGTGGTTCGGCTTTCCCTGGGGTTTAGTGGGGCTGCTGTCAACTCCCTGCTGTCTTCCCTAAAGCACTGTTTAATGATGCCAGGGCCGGAGTAACGTCATATTCCGGCTCCCAGCATCACTGTAGGGAACGCGAGGTTGCAGAGCAGCGAGATTACAGCTCCCTCGTCACCCGCCTGCTTCAGCCCTCAATAAGCCACCAGCCTGCCCGTGCTCTTCATGAGCAGGCCGGCCGGCTGGCCAGCCGCCCAGGCACCAAGACAAATATCCTGATTGCCATGGTGACCTGGCGCCTGGGATTTGTCAAGCCATGACATAAACACACAGATAAAAACACTGACACACATGCAGATGCACAGACACACTGATACTCATACTGACAAACATGCAGATACCCAGATGCACACACTGACTCATATACAGATGTACAGACACACAGATACAGGCATACAGATACACACTGAAACACATGCAGATACATAAACAGAGAGATACAAACACCTACACGTACATATACAACCACTGACAAACATGTTGATGCACAGACATACTGATATACAAACTGACATACATGCAGATACACAGATACACAATGACACACATACAGACACACAGACACACTGACACACATGTAAATGTACAGACACACAGATACAAACACTACATACATACAGACATCCAAAACACACATACAGGTGAAAAAATAGGAGGGTGGCTTCTGGTGGCTGGGGTTGATAGGAGTTAGGAGGCAGACATGTCCAGAGGGTCTAATAGAGGTGGGGCTAGCACATAGGGGCATGGTTACATGGACAAGGTGGAGTTAAGTCTGTAATGGGTGGAGTTATGCTGGCAGAGGCAGGGTTGAGCAGGTAAGGGGCAGCGTTGAGATACTGTGGGCGGGTGGGGGCTGGCTCTAGCAGCTCAAGGCCCCCCTCCCTTTCTGTGTGGCAGAGTCTGAGTTGGGAGGAAATGACAGGATCTCACTCACATCCTCCCAGCTCTTCATACACATTAACACTGCCGACCGAGCCCCTCGTGGAACATTTTCATGCCCTCAGGGCCACCCGATGGAACTTCACTCAGGTTCCCAAACCATGCCAGGCGTACTGCAGAGCTGCCATTAATGATTTTTTTTCAAGTACCCCCAGCGTCACTGAATTGTACCCCTGGGGGTATGCATACCATGGGTTGGGAACCACTGCACTAAGACAACCAGAAACCACACAAACCTCATCACAATACTCTGCCCTTTACCCTCATTTTCTAACATTCAGTGTGCACTCTGGAATGCCCGCTCTGTCTGCAGCAATCTGAAATCAACATCCATACATGACCTTGTTTTTGCAAACACTTCTAAAACTCACAGAGACCTGGCTTTCCCCCTCTGATATGTTTTGGTGGGCTACAATTCTCTCACAATCCCAGACCCAACAACTGTAAAGGAGGTGGTGTACGCATCCTTCTCTCCCCTCAATGTACTTTTCAACCAATCTCTGCTGCCCCTGCCCTATCCTTTACTTTCTTTGAAGTTTACACTGACTGCCTATTTAAACCTACTCCTTTAAGAATTGCTATCATCTATCGTCCCCCCTGGTCATTCTAGGCTATTCATTGAGCACTTTTCTTCCTGGCTTCCCCACTTCCTCTCATCTAGCACTCCTTCCCTTATACTTGGGGATTTCAATATCCCAATCAAGAACACCGACTGCACTGATGCCTCCCGTCTGCTCTCTGTAACCTCCTATTTTGGCCCCACGTAATGGTCTAATTAAGCAACTCATACAGCAAGAAACACTCTTAATCTCGCCTTTAACAACCTCTGTACTGCCTCTAATCTCTCCAATATTACTTTTCCTCTATCTGACCACCATCCGCTGACGTTTGACATCAGCATACCCAGGACCCAACTGACACCCTCGGCACATCAATATCACAGAAAACTCCAATGTCTTGACCTAGAGCACTTCTCCAGTAACTTCCAAACTCTCCTTCTACCTATCTCAAACCTCACTTGCCCTAGTTCTGCTATCTCCTTATACAATTCAACCCTCTCCTCTCAGCTAGACATCATGGCACCTCCTACACTTAAACGCAGCAAGCGTCCCCAACTACAACCTTGGCACACCAAGCTGACTCGATACCTCCAAAAATGCTCCAGAACTGCTGAACGCTGCTGAAGAAAGTATCACTCCGCATCTGACTTTCTCCACTATAAATTTATGATGTGCTCTTACAGCTTGGCTCTTTTCTCTGCAAAAGTAAATTACTTCAATACCCTCATAACCACACTCTACCGCGAACCCACGACTTTTTCAAACGTTTAACTCTCTTCTTCGCCCTGTTGCTCCTCTTACCGACTTAACCGCCACAAACTTTGCAACTCACTTCACTGACAAGATCTCTCATCTCTCTCCTTCCCCTTACAATACTTCCCCCAACCTCACTCCTTCTGCTGCTCTATGTTCATTTGCACCCGCCACAGCAGAAGAGGTTTCTGATCTGCTCCGGTCCTCCCGCCCCACCACCTGCTCCCTTGATACTATTCCCTCGCATTTAATTCGTGCTCTGGCTTCTTCTCTTGCTTTGCCTCTTACTAAAATTCTCAATCTCTCCCTCTCCTCTGGTATATTTCCATTATCCTTCAAACTTGCAACAGTAACCCCGATTCTAAAAAAAGCCTAACCTTGACCCTAACTTCCAGTCTAACTACCACCCTATCTCGCTGCCTTTTGCGTCCAAGATCCTTGAGACTTTTGTATGTGAGATTGACAGACTTCCTCGAGTCCAATTCTCTGCTCGACCCACTTCAGTCTGGTTTCCGCGCTCAGCAGTCCGTGGAAACGTCTTTGACCAAAGTATCAAACGATCTACTTGTTGCAAAATCTCATGGTCACTACTCTATCCTAATTCTCCTTGACCTTTCCGCTGCTTTTGATACTGTTGTTCATCAACAGCTTCTTCTTATCCTCCATAATCTCAGTCTACGAGATATTGCTTTCTCTTGGAGCTCCTCCGACCTCAGCCAGCGCTCTAGTGTTTCTTTCTCTGGCTCTGCCTCTTTGTCCCAAACTCTCTCTGTGTCCCCCAAGGTTCAGTCCTTGGTCCCCTACTGTTCTCGATCTATACAGCCTCCCTTGGTAAACTCAACGGCCCCTTTGGCTTCCAATATCACTTCTATGCAGACGACATGCAAATCTATCTGTCCTCTCCCAGCCCCTCTTGACTAGTGTCTCTGACTGCCTCTCTACTATTTCTAATTGGATGACCTTCCTTAAGGTCAACTTGTCCAAAACAGACCTTCTGGTCTTTCCTCCCTCAAGTGTTGCTACTCCACAGTTTTGTCTCCCTCCATGTTAATGGTGCTACCATCAGCTCCACCACGCAGGCTCGCTGCGTAGGTGTTCTCTTTGACTCCGACCTCTCCTTCACCCCTCATGTTAAAATTGATCGCCAAATCCTGCCGCTTCCATCACAAAAACATTGCGTGCATCCGCCCCTACTTATCCGCTTTTCAGTGAACTTACCTGCTGCCAACTTGCCCCATTGCAGTCTATAATTAATGCAGCGGTGAGGCTCATCTTCCTGTCTGCCCACACCCCACCCCTCTGTCAGTCCCTGCATTGGTTTCCCGTAAGATATAGGGCTCAAAATTCTGGTTCTTGCTTTCAAATCTCTACATAATGCTACTATCTATCTCCCCTAATACACAAGTATGTCACGTCTAGGCCCCTACTATCTGACGAAGATCTGCGTCTATCCTCTGTTCTTACTCCCACCTCTGATACTCGCCTTCAAGACTTCACTAGGGCTGCACCATTCCAATGGAACTACCTTCCCTTTTCCGTTAGACGCTTACCCAGTATCCACTACTTTAAAAAATCATTAAAAACTCACCTTTTCACAAAAGCATATCAATTAAACTGTTAATGGTTTCAAAAAATACCTCATTAAGTCTTTATTGAATACTATTCTACCAATCTGCTTCCTTTACCTTTTGTGTCATTTTACCTGACTCCCTCTAGCATATATACCTCAACCCCTCTGTTTTTGTACGTCAAACTTGTTACAATTACGTTTGTTCATCCACCCATTGTAAAACGCTACATAATTTGTTGGCGCTATGTAAATCTAATAATAATAATCATCATAGCCCTTTATGTTACTTGTAAAATTCTCCAATATAGTGGACGAGACCAGTCTTTTTGAGTAAAACAAGTGAACTGTTTATTGCATGGAATATACATGTATTTATACCCCTACACACAACCGGGGGTCTTTAGCCAGAGTATTGCAAACCACTCCCTGGTGTCTGGGACATAATTAGGTTAAGACTGGATAATTCAGTTACCTCCTGGACACCAAGACTCATTTCACAATATCTGTTACACTATAATTAACACAATAGCTTTTACCCAGTTTAACATTTTATATAATAACTCAACAATAACACAATGTACCCCAACATGCTATAACTCATTTTAATGCTGGTGACTGGGCCCATAGTTTGTGTGTGAAGACTAGCCTTCAAGTCTCTCTAAGAGGCTTTGGCAAAGGAGAATTGTGAGATAGGCGTCTTGAAGGTCGAGTTTGACCATCCAATCCCCCAGCCTGAGTAGGTCCCAAAGGCAGTGGATTACCTCCATTTTGAAATGGTGGTACCAGACAAATGCATTGAGGGGACGCAGGTTTATAACCGGTCTCACCCCACCATCTTTCTTGGGTACCTTTCTTGCTCAAAAGCCTGGGAGAGGAAGGAGGAACCTGGTAGATTGCACCCTTTACTCCTCTACCAGGTTCCTGTCCTGAGGGGAAAAAACAATCCGGTGAGGCACGGAGGTTTGGACTTGGTGCTGCACAAACTCGATCTGATAACCCACGGACTGCCACGATCTGCCTCTGACCGGGAAGAAAGGCAAAGGAGACTCGGCCTCCGTATGCTGGAATTTAGATGTTGCGGAGCCTCGGTAACCCCAGTAGGAACGGCTGGGCAGACAACCCCAATGTCTGCTGCCCCACCAAAAACCTTGGGAGAGAACACTCTCTTCATTTTTGTTTGTGCCTTGTCCAGTGTCATGAAGGTACTAACATACCCAGCTCTTTAACAAAATTGTCCCCGAAGAGGAGACCTTTTGCCTGTGTTCCAGGCTCAGATATTTCCAGATTGAAGAGCTTAGGCTCGATTTTCATGAGGATAGATTGATGGGCCCAATCCCTGATGGCCAGTAGATCACCTGGTGCACTGTCGGTTAAGGCCGCTTCGATCAGGTCAAAGATTCTGGCGCTAGGTCCTAATATGACAAGTATCTTGTCTTGGCAGTGACGTAGGGAATAGTTGAGTGCCTTTTTAGATTTCCAGCCTGATTTGCACAGGAACTGGGCAACCTTAGGGTCTACATCCGGTGTGTCACAGGCCATAGGGTTTCCTAATCCATTTGGCCGACTTTGCATTTTGCAGGGGCTCGGTGTCAAACAGGGGTTCTCTCTGCGGGTAGAGAATGGTGCAAGTGTCCGGAGAGTAGTTCTCCGAATCAATAGAACCGATCGCATCGGACTCGTCCGAAACCTCCTCAGAATTCGAACCAGAGTCGGAAGAATCAGTCAGGGCTTTAGCCCTTTTCCAAGTCCGCACCGCTTTTGCCTGGTGGGTGGCTCTTTTATGTGGGGTCCCCACGTCCGCAATGGTAACAGGACGCAACTTGTTGGTCAATCCAGTTTTGGAGGTATGTTCGCCCACATAGTTGGTCTTCTTTGTAGCCTTATGGCCGCGAGGGACCACAGGCTTATCGTCAAAGGCTTTAGGGAGAGTAAAGCCAGAGGTGTGACTAGACGCCATAATAGAAGATGTAATGGAGTGGGACAAATTGTCTGACGTAGCTCCCATAGCAGTGTAGATTGCCTGGGTGACCGATTTGGTCATTGTAGCGTCCAGGAGCAAGTGGAACTCTTCAGAGTTCATCTGCCCCAGTGGAGCTACGTCCTCCCCCGGATGGTTTGGGGTCTAGGGACAGGGGCCAGTCGCTGCCTAGTGGCACTCTCAGAAGTATTAGGAGCATTAACCTTCAACTCAATAGGAGTCTGCACGATAACAAAATATGGGGCAACCACACTCTGCACTGGAGATAATTGAGTCAGATACTGTAATAACTTCATTATCTCCAGGCAGAAAAAACACAATTTCTACAAAACTTGAAAAGTACCCCAAAACACACAAAATCCCCATAAATGTCATATCCCTTAATAGCCCTGATCTGGGTGACCAACATATTCAAAAATCACTCAGATCAGTTCAAGGGTTTTGGAATTTTATGGAAGTCCAATATTGACCGACCGCACACAAGGCTCCTGCCCAGAAACAGTTCCATGAGTTTAGGCTGTACAGCCGGTCTATTTCGACAAGTATTAAAAACGAAAAAATGCACAAACTGCATGGCTCATAGTAGCGATTGTTCCCATGGTTCGTGGGAACCCAACTACTGAACAGCGGTCTCCTGGCTGTTTGGGAAAAGGAAGCAGGCGTTCGTACAGTTTGATCGGTGTTCGGAAAGTCCAGTGTCCGATTTTAGTTTCACATACTCGATTTAGCCAAATAATGGGGTTATGGTCAGTAATAAGTGTAAAGGGACGGCCGTACAGGTATGGTTGCTGTTTTTTCAGGCACTCTTTCTCCATGGTGGCATAACTGACTTCTCTGGGCAATAGTTTCCGGCTGAGATATGCCACGAGGTGTCCCATCCCGTCGTACCCCACTTGGCTCAACACGGCTCCCAGCCCAAACATGGAGCTATCTGTGTACAAGAAATTGTTTAGCATGGTTTGGGGCTGCCAACACAGGTGCCTCGCTTAGTGCAGTCTTAAGTTGTTGAAAGGCGACCGCGCACTCCGGGGTCCAGGTTACTTTTTGGTTAGGTTGGTGAGGGGTTTGGCCAGGGCACTATACTCGGGGACAAACTTGTGGTAGTAGCCTGCTGTTCCTAGGAACGCTAGTCTTGGTATGGGGTTGTGGCCAGTTGGCGATAGCTTCTACCTTAGCGGGTTCAGCCTGCTGTTTGCCTGATCCTAGTCTATGGCCGAGATACTGTACCTCGGCCATGCCGACGTGGCACTTATCAGGCTTCAGAGTGAGCCCTGCTACCCGAATTCTCTTCAGTACCCTGGATAGGTGCTCCAGATGGTCTGTAGATGGCAATATCATCTAGATATGCACATGGGAAGTCCTGAAATACCTCCAGGAGATGTAACGGATTACCTGGCAACCCAACTGGGTACCTCCATTGAAGGATGCTCCTAGCACTTACAGAGGGCTCCAAGTGCTCCGCAGACACCACAACCACCGCAGACCACACGAACCGCCGCAGCTTGGTTGGGGTCTCGCCGTCTCCTACCCACCCTGTACCTACGACAAGTTTCAGGTTCCAGTGGGTGAACCTCTCCTCCAAGAGAGTGAAGCAGGAACAAGCTCTTAAAAGAGCTTAGTAGTGATTAGCTAAGGAAGTATGCAGAGCATAGCAATCCCTTGTAGTGATATAGCAATTCCCCCAATAAGAGACGGGACTCTAGTTTGAGGGTGAAGAAGAACTGTCTGTATTGGCACATACAGCTTCTTTCATTCACATTCTACAAACATAGTACCGCCCACAGGGTTTTGAAGAACAACCAATCAACACATTACAACACAGCTAACACTCCCATTCATTACATCAGAAATCCTCCCCTCTGCCTGTGATACAATTATCTCAACACAATAGACTAACTTAATTATCACAGGCAAGAAAATACAGTATTATAAAACATATCACAGGGACCCCAAAACATGCAATAACCCCATAAAATATATCCTCAGAACCGGGGGATCTGGGTGAACCACATATCCAAAATTCACCTAGATCCGTTTAGTAGTTTGGAAGATACGGTTTAATGCAGATTCCACAGAACATATACAGGCTATATGAAAAATAATTACTGTTAAGTGTGTCACTTGTTCTGTAGTTTAAAACTACTGAACGATGTCTTTGTGCAACAAATACCGGCGAGATGGCACCGTGTAGAAAAGTCAAAACAGTGTCTGTGAGTTAAAATGGCCGCCATCCATTGTTCTCACCACGTGCCTCTGATACATGAAATGGTGGCCACCCAGTAACTCCACAGTTTGTCTGGTAGTCTATCCAGCCGAACCAACAGATTAAACACATGGGGAACAGTGCAACAAACGAAGGGAATCATAAAAAATATGGACAATAGTCATATTTGTGCACAATCTCCAGTTTTGTCACAGGGCACAAATAGTGTTTTCAAATGCCATATATCTCAGGGCCATAGTCAGAAGGTAGGAGGCAGGCAAGCAGCCCCCTCCAAGAACACGTGGCGAGGTCTGTTCCGCCACAGGAGCCTATCGGCCATTCTATGAAAGGTAGCCAGGGCATTCTTCATCCCAAAGTGCATAACCTTAAACTGGTATAGCCCGAATGGGGTAACGAATGCTGACTTGAATGGCCGCTGGCTTCAGGGGGATTTGCCAATATCCTTTGCACAACTCCAGGGTAGTCAAGTAATTACCCCCAGTCATATGGTCTAACAACTCATCTATTCTGGGCATGGGCTAAACGTTGGTTACTGTCTGGTCATTAAGCCTCTGGTAGTTGACACAAAAGCGAGTCGTGCTGTATGGTATGGTGGAGAACATCTCCTGGTATCCCTGGAGTAGCTGAGAGGCCTCGCTCTTTTCTAGTGGGGTTAACTTCTCACCGAGCAACCCTCACTATCTTGAAAGTACAGGGCACATACGGCTGCTACATCTTCTGCTCGCTCAAAGTATGGTTTGAGCATGTTCACATGAAAGGCTCTCCATATCCTTTCATCAGAACATTTGTCCACTATATAGGTAGTCACTTATATGCTCTACTACCCGAAAAGGTCCCTGCCCGGCAGCCTGAAGTTTGTCTTTCTTGGTAGGCTTCAGGGCTAATACCTTCTGCCCTGTTTCCAGTACTCTATCACGGGCACCTCTATCGTACCATCTCTTCTGGCGTCCTTGGGCCGCCTGCAGATTCTCCCGGACAGAGTCGGTGAGCACCTGCAAGCAGTACCTAAATTCCAGAACAATAGGTATTCCTCCATCATCTGTGTAACCCTCCCAGTGCTCCCATATGAGGTCCAGGGGTCCCCGGACTTTTCTCCCGTAAAGGAGTTCGAAGGGGGTAACCCGGTGGATGCCTAGGGCACTTCATGGTAGGCAAACAGAAGGTGGAGGAGAAACCTCTCCAAGTGCCAGCAGGAGGCTGTGAACGTTTTCAGCATCTGCTTAAGCGTGCCATTAAAACGTTCACAGAGTCCGTTCGTCTGGGGGTGGTAGCGAGAGCTGAATAGGGGTTTCACTCTGTAACTTTGCCATAATTGTTGGGTCACAATTGCGGTAAACTGGGTACCCCTATCCGACAGAATCTCCTTGAGTATCCCGACTCATTCGTGACCAGCGCCTCTGCTACAGTTTCTGCTTCTATGTTAGAAAGAGCTACCGCCTCCAGGTACCTAGTCACATAATCTACCGTGAGGGTGTAGCTCTTGCCAAATGCGCTGGGTTTGGGGTGCCTATCAGATCAACCGCTACTCGGTGGAAGGGTTCCTCGATAATGGGTGCAATTTGGTCTTCTGGTGATCACCCCTTCTCCCGGTCTTTTGGCAAGTGTCACACGTCCTGCAATAATGTTTCAGGTCCTGTGTGATCCCTGGCCAAAAGAACGTCTGGGTTAACCGGTCCCTAGTCTTCCGGACCCCTAGGGGGCTAATGGGATATCATGACTGAGCTTGAGTAGCTCAGCTCTAAATTCAAGGGGCACTATTAGTTGCCTTTTGGTGACCTGTTCTGCCCTAATGCCAGCCCCTCCTGTTACTCTTTATAATAACCACTTATGCCACTCAAACTTTTCCTGGGTTAAATCACCCCTGTGGGATGCTACTGCCTTCCTATTCTCCTTTAGGGTGGGATCGGCTCTCTGCTCAAAACCTTGGGGATTATCCCAGAAAGGGGAGGGGCTTCGTGAGGGGAGGTAACAAAGCTCCTACCTGGCATTCCTCGGAGTGTGACAGCTCTTCCATGCGGGCTTGGGCTTGTGTGGTCACTGGATCCGATTCAGCAGAGTTGTTGTGGTTGTTGCGTATGAGTTAGGAGATTAAACAGCCCAGGTTGTTTCCCAATAAAACCTCTGCTCGTATTTCTTTCATGAGGCCCACCTCAAGCTGCTTGGCTCTGGAACGCCAGTTGAGGTGTACCTTGGCTGTGGGCAGTTTGTGGATGGCGCCTCCAGCCACTCTTATGGCTACAGTTCGGATAGTACGGGCTTGTGCCCGAACTTTGTGAGGTTGAATGAAAGTGAGCATAGCGCCAGTGTCTCTCAAAGCTCATGCATCCATTCCGTCCACGGTGACCCACTGGCGATGATGCTCATGGTTGTCTCCCTCCGCCTGTCCTGGATTCACCCCGTGCAGAGTCGTCCACTGCTCCTCGCTGGTGTTGGTGTCGTTGTGGCCCTCCTGGTTAAAACAATGTGCTGCGGCCCTGAGTGGTTGTCTCTCCCAACCTCCTCGATTCGGATTAGGATAGTTGTGCTTCATATGCCAAGGTTGTTTGCAATGATGGCATAGGAAGGGGGCTCTGGGCGGACGGTACCTGGTAGGAGGGTCTGAACGCAGGATGCCCTCCACTTGGTTCAAGTCATCGGCCTTCCTGGTACTTGTCCACCAACCTGGCAGCCTCCTCCACGGTTGTTGGTTAGCGGTCTCTCACCCAGTCTCTGACCTCATTGGAAGTATGGTCGAAAAACTGCTCCAATAATATTAGTTGTAGCGCATCCTCCAGTGATGTTGCCCGGCAACCCTGCATCCAATTTCGGGTGGCCCGATGTAGGCAGAAGGCCCATTTGGCATGGGAATCTTTCCCCCTTTCCTGAGGCCCCAAAATTCTTTCCGGTACGCCTCTGGTGTGACCGAATATCCCCCTGCAGTGATCTGTCTCTTTCTTCCCGATCTCTCTGTTCTTGTCTGGCTTGTGCCATGAGCGTCTGTTCATGGATTGGGTCCCAAAATGCTGAGCATCCATCTCTCGTCCTTCTGCAATTAATTTTCCTCCAGGAGTTCCATTTCCGTGTTACTGGTTTTGTCGCTCTGTATTAATTCTGCAATTAACGTGACTTTTGTTTTGTTACTTGCCCCTATGCCTCAAGCTTCCAGCAAATCCTTTAATGTGGTTCTCTTCAATAGTTCGTATTCCTGAGCCATTCACTCCTTCCTTGGTTCGGAATCCCGCCGCTTGCCACAAGTTGTAGCGAACGCTGCTATAACAGCTACCCGTTTGTCTATTTCCTCCCGAACTACCTGAGCCTGAGTGATTATAGCTCGCAGTTTGAGTGCTGAGTCGAACGATTCTCCATATGAATGACAGTCTCCCAAGTAGATTCTCCCAGTAAAGTAGACAGGTACCCAAACATCAGCCGAAACTAGATGAAGGGTGTAACAGGAATTATTATTATGATATTTATAGAGAACCGTCAAATTCCGCAGCGCTTTACAATGTGTGGACGAACAGACATGTAGTTGTAACCAGACAAGTTGGACACACAGTAACAGAGGGGTTGAGGGCCCTGCTCAATGAGCTTACATGCTAGAGGGAGTGGGGTAAAATGACACAAAAAGGTAAGGATAGTATTAGACTAGTGACAGTTGCAGAAAAGGAATCAGTCAGGAGCTATTAACAGTTTAATTGATACGCTTTTATGAAGAAGTGGGTTTTTAACGATTTTTTGAAGGAGTGGAGACTGGGTGAGCATCTAATGGAGGAGGGAAGCCAGTTCCACAGGAACGGTGCAGCCCTCGAGAAATCTTGAAGGCGAGCATCAGAGGTGGGAGTACGGACAGAAGATAGACGTAAGTCTTCAGCAGATCGTAAGGGCCTAGACGGGACATATTTGTGTGTAAGGGAGGATAGATAGGTGGGAGCAGCATTATGTAGAGATTTGAAAGCAAGAACCAGAATTTTAAATTGAGCTCTATATTTTATAGGAAGCCAATGTAGGGACTGACAGAAGGTGAGGCATGGGAGGTGCGGGCGGACAGGAAGATGAG